TATCCGATCCGATACCATGCACCTATCGACCTAAACCCTCAAACAGAGTATACTACATTAAAGTCCATTTCTCTTTCTCTTCCTCTTCCTATTTCGAGGCGCCCTCCGAAGTTCCCTCCTCCCTGTTGCTGTACGATTAATTCCGAGCGTGCTCGGTAAACAAGTACTTGAAAAAAAAAAAAAAAAAAAAAAAAAAAAAAAAAAAAAAAAAAAAAAAACAAACAAACAAACAAACAAACAACAAGTAGTACATAGTACCACCACACGAAGGATCACTACGTTCCCTACTCAAGTCAATATTTATGGCGATATGGCTCGCTTATATATCCATCCATCTATCTTGAATCAACTTAATCAAATCCTTCACACTAGCGTAGTATTAATTGATCCTCACGCTGCGATATGATATAGACCTAATTGATGATTGGTTAGAATTGGACTTCGTGACTAGGTGAATAGGCCCAAGTATCTACTAGATACAGTGTAATTTGTAATCTATGGCGTACTAACTATATACTCCGTACTACTAGTACTATCGCTGTGAATAAAATTAGATAGATTAGATTAGATCCAAGGTCCGTCTATTTTCGTTTTAAGAGTCCCCAGACTCGAACATCCGTCTAATCATTTAAATGCGAAATATATTCATCACAAGAAAGAAAAAGAGAAAGAAATATAATGCGATAACGCGCCCTAGTATACCACGAAAGAAGTAAAGAAGATTGAAAAGGAAAGAACTATGGTCTCAGTTAACCCGTTCTTGAGTTGGCGATGTTCAGGACAAGAATATCCGTCGCGCCAACCTTGGTCAGCTCGTCCATGACCGTCGCAATCTTCTTCTTCTCGACCATCGAGCTGACGGCAACCCAGCCGTCTTCTTCCAGGGCAGTTACTGTGGGAGCGCGCTTGCCGGGGGTGATGTTGGAGGCGGTGGCCAGCTCCGCGCGAGGGATGTTGTACTGGCACAGGACGTACTTCTGGGCGGCTGCGGAATAAAGTTAGCTAGACCGGTCGGTGAAGGGTATGCAAAACTTACTGATAACACCGCGGATACGGGAAGCGATCAGGTCAACCAGAGGGTTCTGGGTGTTCTTGGACTTCACCAGGACGGAAACGGTCTCGACAACGGTATCTATGGCTTTGAGACCAGCGGCCTTCATGGTCTCACCGGACTCTTAAATACGGTCAGTCGCTGAACTTAGCTCAGGTAGGTCTCCACGTACCAACAAGATCGACAATACCGTCGGCCACGCCCAAAGCGCAGGCAGCCTCAACACTGCCGCCGACATACTTGATCTTGGTGCTGAGTTCGCTCTTCTCGCTCTTGCCCTCGAGCTGGGCGAAGAAGGCCTCGGTGAGAGCAGTAAAGCTGGTGACAATGTTACGGCCGATCAGCTGCTTGGCCTCTGTGATGTCACCCTTCTCTGGAACCTGCACCTGCAGCTTGCAGGCGCCGAAGCCGAGATCCATGATCTCCTCAACACCCGAGACCTCGCCGCGGGGCAGCAGAGCATCGTGTTCGGCAATCTGGTCGCGGCCGGTGATACCGAGATCAACGCGGCCCTCGCCGACAAAGGTGGGGATATCTGCGGCGGGGAGGAAGATGAGGGCGATGGGAAGGTTCTTGACCAGGGCAATGTCCAGGCGGGTTTCGCGGCGGAACTGGATGTCGCAACCGGCCAGGAGGTCCAGGGTGGCTTGTTGAAGACGGCCCTCTGTAAAGGCAAGGAGGCATTAGTCCGGGCTTGTTCGGGGCCATTGGGCTGGAGAACTGGGAGCTTTGCGGTCAGGGAGTGAGTCATGGCGGGAACTTGCTTTTGGGGACAGCGAAGAGGAGTCTTCCTTCGAGGCTGGAAATATAAATGTCAGTAACCAGAACGGATATAGAGGCGCAATTGGATGTCAGGGGTTCAATGTTGCTAAGGGCAATTGACTCACTGGTTGACGAGATCCATCTTGACGATCAACGGCGCGGGGTAAATCGGCGAGGAATTGGAGACAGCGGAGTGGGAAGAAAGGAAACAATTGGAAATTCTGGGAAGAACTTCGAGACTAAGAGACCAATGGCTATACCAAAGAATCTATACCAGACAAGAAGGAGCTGAAGCAGTGTTAGAGGAAGAGGAAGAGGAGAGCGTGGTGGAAGCGCAGAAAAGAGTCTGAAATCCCGTCATCGGAGGGGCCCGACACTGCCTCAGGCCAGAAAGTCATATCTGCCTGAACCTTATGCCTGGTATATCAGGCCATAAGGGATCTTCTGCCTAATATCTCAGGCGGTATCATGCCTGACGGCTCAGGCCACATTAGCCCTGAGCCCTCGCCTCTAGCCCAAAACAGAAAGCCAACCCACACAAGCCGCAAATCCCTCGATTTTCACGAACGGCCTCAACTTCTGTCTGCCAACCCCCCCAACGCCATCTTCCTCCATCCCGTCAGTCCTTCGCTGTCGTCAAGCCCAACTTCAAGATGGATTCCGCCAAGCAGCCCGCTAAGCTCGTCAAGGTCACTCGTGTCCTCGGCCGTACCGGTACGTCGTGATTTGCCTCGATTCGTTTCGCCCGGATTATATACATACGAATCTCTCCGCCACGCTGCACGGTCTTTGCTGACAACTTTACCCCAGGATCCCGTGGTGGTGTCACCCAGGTCCGCGTCGAGTTCATGGACGATACCTCCCGCAGCATCATCCGTAACGTCAAGGGCCCAGGTATGCGATTCTCCGTTGATTGATCTCCCAATATGTCTGGTGTTTGGACCGAATTCCCGGAAAGAGATATCCCGCGAGAAGAGTCAGGAAAGTGGTAGCGCAAGCGAATCGACAGAAGGATAAACACGAACGACGAATGCCGGAATCGACAAATACAGCAAATTGAAGATGGAGGCTTCGCGGGATATTCTCAGTCCGGGGAAAGGGAAATGCAGCCAAACAGACAGACATCAATTGTCGCACACAGGCTAACCTCCAATTCTTCGTCGCAAACAGTCAAGGTCGACGACATCCTCTGCCTGCTCGAGTCCGAACGCGAGGCCCGCCGTCTCCGCTAATTTCCTTTACCGCTCCGAGTTTTCTTATCTTTTTCCCTCTCGAGGCTATGTACCCTTGCTTGCGTTGGAAATGATTCTGGGAGGTCGGGAAGGCAAAAATACTATCTCATGGGCTGATGCGGCATCCGGGTGGTGAATCGGTTTCGTGTGTTTCTTTCTATCCATTCTGTCTGTGTGTCCAACATACCGGGATTCAAATAGAGAGAGAGAAAACGAAAACAAGGATATCAACCGGAAATACAAAAAACGAAGGAAAAAAATTTGAAATCCCACAGGCGCGAGATGATCCTTCAACTCTGTCTAGCTCCTTTTTTTTTTCTCCCCTTGTTTGCCCCGTCTCGCATTCGAATCGGATGAATCTTTATGAATAATGGCTGCAGTGGATTCTTGGTCTCGATCTTGCGCTTGGCGATTGATTCCCCGGGTCTGGTTTCCCGCGTACTTGCACCAGCATCTCCGGATCGTTTTGTGGGATTGGCGGTTGAGGGAGTCGCAATTGATATCCAATGCCGGCCTTTGACAGTTTTGGTCTCAGTTTCCGATTATCCTGGATAATTGGTCTATAAGGGTGCTCGGTGCTTGTTCCGTGGTAGAGCTGTTGGCCCATAGTAAATTCCCCTGGCCTATTTGTAGAAGCGTCAACCGTACGGTCAATTGTGGAAACAGCTGCTTTGCACAAGCCATCCATATCATACATCTATCTACCCAGGCACATAGCTTGTAGTCATGCACTTCCAACAATGCCGGGCGCATCAAAAGCGGCTCGACACCATGATCAGCCGCGTAGCTAATCAATCATAGCTGCTCCGCGCTGCTAACAAGTCGCTCCATCATGTCATCGCCTTTGGAGCCTTCCATGACCTCTCCAACCGCCGTCACAAGACCAGCAAGTTTCCGACGGCGGATGTTCTCCTCCAGCTCTTTACTTTTCTGCCGGGCTTGTTCCAGCAATAGCCCAGGCAGGTTTGCTAATCGTGCAACATTCAATCCGTAACTGCGGTGTGCCACGCCCTCGCTCACCTCGTAAAGAAAGGTGATTTCTTCATCCGTTCCGGTTCCCGATTCGGTGAAGCGCATGTGCACGTTTCGTAGTGCCTGATCGGCGAAGGTATGTGCGACTGATGAGAGATGCTGATAATGTGTAATGAAGAGGGTGAGGCTCCTAATCGACCGCACCATATAGTCGAGGACAGCTTGCGCGATTGCAACGCCATCATGCGTGGACGTACCTCGGCCCAATTCATCCAGGATGACAAGTGACCGAGGGGTCGCCTGTTTAAGTATGTCCGCAGTTTCAGAAAGTTCGACCATGAATGTAGACTCGCCCGCCAGCATGTTGTCGAAAGCACCCATGCGAGTGAAAACGGCGTCCAACATACCAAGCTTCGCCGCTCGCGCGGGGACATACGAGCCAATTTGTCCCATAATGGCAATGAGGGCCACTTGTCGTACATAGCTGGACTTGCCGCCCATATTGGGGCCGGTGACCAGAAGGGCACGTGTCTTGTCGGTATCCAAGTCGATATCGTTGGGCACGTAGCTGTCCAACAAAAGCTGTTCAACCATCGGGTGGCGACCCTGGTCCACTTGGATGCATGTATGGTCCGTATATTCGGGCTTCACATATCCCGGTTGGCAAGCTATCGTAGCCAGAGAGATCAAGCAGTCAAGCGTGGCCAGCGCCTGCACACAGTCACGGAAAGGTTGGTATTTGGTTGCTATATCGGCTAGGAGGGCTATGAAAGCCTTGTCACAAGCCGCAGCCAACGCCTCTTTATGTTGATCTCGCTGTCGGATGAGTTGGATCACTTCCGGTGTATGGAACCTCGAGACCTTCTTGGTGCCGCTGACTTTCACCCAAGATGCAGGGACCCGTTTGATAGAGGCTGAACTGTTCTCAACCTCAATCAGATAGTCGATGCCTGCAACAGATTTGTATTCAACCGTCTTCCTCCCAAGCTTCTCACCGGCGACAGAGCGATGTTCCTGCAGCTCATGTTCGACACTAGCGATTCCAAGCTTCTGATCGCTGATATCCTCTGTCTCTTCGGCTTCGCGGAAAAAGGCATACTTGTCGTCACTCTTCGCAGCATGCATGTTGATCTTGTCCAGAAAAGCCACAACATCTTCCAAGATGGTCGGGAGAGAAGTGATCGCTTCGTTAATGGCAGCCGATGCAAATCCGGTATCGGCAGAGGACTTCACGTCGGAAAATTCCTGCGCGATCATCTGCATCGTCTGTAACACAGTGAGGAGTTCCGGTCGAGTACACTGGTTGCCTCATTAGCCTCAACTCACGTCTGCTCGGTCCAAAGCGAAGAATCCGGGGTGACTAACTTTGCCATAATAAATTCGGATTAAGCTCTTTTCCAGGTCGCTCCTAACCTTACCAAGTAAAGCTTTGAGTCGTTCTACCATGACCGTTCTTTCTGGGTTCTGTAGCTCCTCAACGGCGTTCACCCTCTCTTCGAGCCTCGACTTATCTAGCAGAGGACGTCCGACCCATTTCCTAAGCAGCCTTTGCCCAAAGCGCGTTTGCGTCCGGTCAAGCGTCCAAAAGAGACTGCCTTTGGTGGTGTGGTCGGTCTGGTTTTGGTAGATCTCGAGACTCATGAGGGTGTTCCCATTGAGAAGCATGTGTGAGCGAGAAGAAAAGTGTTGGAAATACTTGGTCAACTCAAAGACATATTCCAGGCCGTACTCTTTCATGTGCTCAATCATGGATGAAAGACAGATGGTTACTTGTTCTGGCAGATTGAGAACCTTCTGAAGTAGGCTACTCGCCTGCGCGTCATCTGCAGCACTGGCCGTCTTCATTTTCCCTGCATAAAAGCTTGAAACATGACTATGGGACTCGGCCGCAGCGGTCTTTGACTTGGAAACACGTTCCACGCGAGTCTTGTCACCGAAGACGTTCAACTTGCTTCCAGAGAGGTGTTGAACAAGCTTCTCCGTGGCCTTCGATAGCTCGCCGACAATCAGAACCTCGCAGGGTGCAATATGCAGTAGCCTCGTTTCGATTTCGCTCCTCATAAAACCGTCTTCGAAATCATCATAGATGATGTCTCCTGTAGCCGGCTGAACTGCTACAATTCCCACCTGAACCTTCTCATCGTTACCCCAGCCTTTGGCGTTTGTCTCAGTAATGCAAAGCAGATAGCCAGTCGCCGGCGAAGCGCCACCAGATGCTGCAGGCATAGGCCCTTCTAATCCCTCCACGTCATCGATATATGTACCTTTCGTGTATAGATTGGTGAGCTTGCGCACGAAGGGCGCGTTGCGGTTGTCACCTGCTGCCTTGAGGGCAGCAGTTTCTATCTGTCTTACGACGCCGACTTTATGACCTGCAGCAACGAGGCGCTTCACATGAACGTGTAGTCTGTGAACCGGTATACTGGCGGAGGCGAAACGGTCGAGGTGTGCTTCAGAGGGATCTGAAATAAAGATACCAAACTTGAGCGCAGCTCACAAAGAAAGCGGGAAAGAGAGGTATCGACTTACGCTCATCAAATCTTAATTTCCCAGGGATGCAGACTATAGACAATTCCTTCGCAGCGACCCTCGCATCTTCGCCGAAAAACCGGAACTTGTAGCCGACCTCGACTACTAAAACCGTATCCATATGCTTGCGCTTTATGTCGATAACTTGTTTCTCCATTGGGGTGAGCTTGCTTCCTCCTTTCTTTGCAGTGGCCTTGCCCTTAGTGGGAGGAGGTGCTGGTTCCTCGTCATCTTCTGCCTCGGCACCATCCTCGGCAGAAATGACTTCGCTGACAGCATTCCTACCGATGCCAATCAGGCAGTCTGCGCCACCCAGCTTCCGAACGAACTTCTGGTGTAGCTCTTCTCTCTCCTTTTGTCTTTGCTTGGCTTCGGGTTCAGTTGTCTCTTGGTCCTCTTCCGTGCCAGCGGGCACAGCAGGTGAACTAGCAAACCTGAATAATTCAGTCCGTTGGCTACTACCCAGCACCGAAGGTCGCTCGGTGGTCGAAGCAGACGTTGGGTTTGGACCTTCATCTCTATCTCCAGACCGAGGCCTGCTTGTTCTGGCTCTCTTAGGAGCGGGTACCACTATATCATCGTCCTCATCATCGATCAAGCCAGTCTCTTGTTTCGGTACTGGTTCCTTGGTTAACGGTTTCTCGGCCGTGCCTTCTGAGCTTTGCTCTTTGTCGACATTGACCGAATCTCGTTGAACAGTTTGTGGTTTCTTTGTGAAGAAGCTCGCGATAGTTGACTGTTTCCGTTTCAATGCCGGGGAAGATGATGGCTGTGATGAGGGAAGAGGCATTTTCTCTTGTTTGTTGGGAAGCCGCTGGCAATCGCTGAGACAGCTGTTGCTGGTACAAGAGGGACTCGCCGTAGGATCAGCGACCAAAGTAGTGGCGACAGAACATTGAGCACCTGCTAATTGCGACTGAGATATCCGGGGAAGGCCTGGGCACAGGAGCTCACTGTTCCAGTCTCAGATGTCAAAAGTTAGCCTTGGCGTCAAATGCGTGTCCGCCGCTCAGGAACCTTGACGCGTGGGGGTTCCGTAACGCGTCACGATTTAACTAATTGAAGTTGGATGACATAACCATTCATGCCTGAGGCAGATAACTACGCTACATATCGTGGATTCTTGGACCTTCTACCTAAGTATAACATGTTCTGCGTCCTAACACATAATGTCATAACTGTGTACAATCTTGGGCTGCATCTTCTAACAGTCAATGTGTCAAGGCTCTCAATGGGGACTGCCCCCAATTCAGTAATCCCCAGGTATCCATACCTCGTAATGGTAGCGCTTGTATATAAGGTGAATGCAAAACAGACTATAAAGCAGAATAGAATCCGCTGGCTGTGGGACATAAAAGTTGTTGAATGCAAGTACAAGAAGATGAATAGACGCGCAGGAATTGACTTCAACCAGAGGATAATAGACAATTGTAGCAGGAGCAGGAGTTAACAGGAGCTCCCGTCGAGGTAAAGCCGGTCAAACTCACCCTCATCGACCTCTGAAATTGTTGCCTCGGGAGATCCCGGCTGTGTTCCACACTGAGACTTCAGCTTGTGGTCCGCTTTCGCCTTATACATTGGATTATCGTCAGCGGCCAGGCGGGGAAGTGAAACGGTCAAAGGGTTAAATGAATACCCAGTGGGGCTTTTTTGACTATCGAACGGACTGAAACCGACGGGCCGAGCGTCGCCAAAAAAGTATTGTGGTGGATAGCCAATGTCGCTGGCTAGATGCCCCGTGAGGGAAGGAGAATGCCAGTCCACCAGAGGATCAATGCGGCCACGAACATCCAGAAGTGGCTCAATGTTCTCTTTGTCCATTGACATACCAAGAACCCGGTCGGTCAAGGTGGAAGTATGATTGCCAGGCGATAGCGGGTAAGCATCAGCATTAGTTGTGAACTCCCGTAGTAAGAATATAGGATGAGGGGAGGTCAATGCCGCAGAATGTGATCCATCACCACGATGGTGGTCAAGTGAGCCTGTGTTGTACTGGCTTGGCATATCACGGAAGACAGTAAATCCGGTGCGAGACTTGAGTTTATTATCTTTGAAAGCCAGTGCAAACTCATCCATATCGTCCCCGCGACTGCCATAGCCAGGGGGGCGTTGGGGCGCTAAGGAGGTCCTGAGAAGTGGTATGCCCCTTCCATTGATGTCTTCATCCACAGCACTTTCGACCCTCTTGGTAGTCCTCCGATTCCTTTTCCTGTCTTGTCCACGATGGATATTAGGGTCGACTTGGGAAAGGACACGCTTGGGACGATTCACTCGTCGTTTGGGGATGGGCGTTTCCCCCTTGAGAGGGCTGCTGTCTTCAACATTACCAGAGATCAGACGCTGCTTTCGCAAGATCCCTGTAGGCGAAAACACAAGCTCCGTAGGCTCGACGCAGAGGGAGGTCTTCTCCATCATCTTCAAGATGCTCTCGTCCTTCTTCTGGTTGCGTCTGCGTCTCATTTGTTCAGTAGCGGAGTCAAAAATATCCATTCCGGGCCATAGTACGCCCTTCAGTCTGGCTATCTCATCGGCTCTTTCTTTATCCATCTCGCTGTTCGTTGGGAAATCCATGCTGTCCTCGTCATTGTCGTCGATAAACGGATCGCAGATGTAGTGGTTGGACGACTGGGGAACCATGTCTGTCTCATTACCCAGTGTCCCAGACCAATACAACGTGTCTTGGGCGGATGTATCCTCATTTTGTGTGGGTTCTTGTTTCCAAATGTTGGAGGCAGGGTGGACAGGCTGCTTCGGAGATCTCACGGAGGTCAAAGAGGGCTCTAACCCAGTGCAAGTGTCCGAGAGATAGTAAGAGGAATCAGTCAGAACGGCATGACTGGAAGCGTGAGACGAGTTTGTATTCCCAGGCTCCGACTCTGAAATGGCATAGGAGTGAGAAAGGCGTGGATCCAAATAGTCGGGAAGTGGGTTCTGGGGTGAAAGACATGCAGTAGTAGAAAGTGGCCCAGTCGTTCGGTGCTCGACTTCCCTCTCCGGGTTTATCTTCTCGTGCGTCTTCTTTCTGCGGGCTTCTTTCGAGGACATCCGATCTGAAAGCAATTTCGCCAGATTATTGGCCTTATACCACCTATCATACTCACGTATCAGAGTGACTGCTTGTTGCTCCTGATGGCTGCGGACTTGGAGTTTGAAATAGTGGGACAGATGTGCCTTTGAGGAGATATGGGTCAGCAGGTGGGATACATCACTGAAGGTAGGCCGTTTGGGGCAAATATTGCACAAAAGTGCAGCTGCATCCATCTTGGCAAGTAGATCTAATATGGAGCAGGTTCGAACTCCGGAAAAGATATCGAGGGAAACAACCAGGAAGAGTTGCTCGAAATGACGGAGGTGATAGACGGGCCTTGGAAGGGAAGGATGCAAGCTTCAGGAGCAAAGACGTCCGCAGAAAACTGACCGGAACCTACCCTGCGGGAGGGTTCACTGCCTCTTCACAACTAGAGAAGGAGCTACCGATACCATTGTACTTGTCATCAATAATACAGACCAGGAATTCTGCTGGGTTTCCGACATCAAGCAGTCGGCCAAGTTGATGTTGGGTATCCCGAACAGGAACCTAGGACTTATTCGCGGTCTTCACCTATAAGAACACTATGAAGATGTCCTTTTTCAGCTAGACAAGGGGAGTAGGGAGGGATGGGTACTGTGTTTAGTAGCGGCTTTGTACCTGTCTATCATTTGGTGAAGGCTCCGGGCGATATAACTACTGAGCTGTGCACCGAACACTTGTAGGTACCCGTAGAAGGCATTACGGATAACTCCATATCGTCAGCTATAAGTCGGTGCAAGTCCAATGCCATCTTTGAGGAAGAATGCATAGGGTACGGATACCTCTCCCAACTATGCTGTAGAGCTGATCACCTTGAATATACGTCTCGACTACCAGACAGTCCATAGCTTTCTGGGGACCGAGCTGGGGCTCTCTACCACATAACTAGATGCTCTGTCCAAAAGGAAGCGTTTCCTTTGTCTAGCCGTGGTACTAGATGGTCGCTTATCGCAATTCACTCGCCACTGAGACCATCTGACGACTACTTGCTAAGATGACGCGCGATTCATTCAGGTGATATAGGAGGGGGCATATCGCAGGTTAGGCAGATCCCCCCAGAGAGCCGACTTTGCGTCCGACAATATAAATTCGTATTAGTGAGACTACATGGAAGTCGTGTTGATTATAGTTGTGCAGATCATGAATAAAATGGCTTAACAATGTCTCAGGCGTCGGCCTCGTGGAGAGATAGTAGTACAAACCTGGAAGGCCTTTGGTAAAACAAGACTTGGCCAACACTCTGGAATCATAACGATGCATAATTGCTGGGTTCTACTCTTGGTGCAAGGAATGGAAAACGTATGGTTCTGATTTGGCTACTATCTAACTACCGTAGGTTGTGAAATAATTATGAATCATGTGCCACTGCGTCTTAACAGCCTCTTATCAAGCTATTGTGAGGGGGTATGAAGCGGAAATAAGTCGCAGTGCCAATTGCTCTTCTCCTGCCTTGTATCCCATGATCCATGGACAAAGAAAAACGGGTTATTAGATTGCAGGAGGTGAGGCCTACAGAAAGAGAGCATAATAGTCGAGACGAAGATACAACCAAATACTACCGGGACAGATATTTCAGTGTTATTGTCTTCGGTAAACAACTGCACATAGGGTTAGCAATCCGCGGTTGCGTTGAACGACTTGCAGACTTACTAGACTGGGTCTACTTCTTGGACACCGTCGAACTTCAGAAGACTTAGCCCGGCAATGGCAAAATGGGTATGAAACACATCAACCATGCTGCCTGGACGGTCTCCGATACCCCCGGCCTCCGAATCCTGAATTGCGTCAGCGCCATGCCGACATGGCCACCACGAAGGGATAAACATACCTGACAACGCAAGATGAAAGCAGCAAGCTTGCCACTATCAATCCAATGGAGTCGGTCAATCATAGCTAAGCTAGCCCCGACCCACCAGCTATAGCATGCATCTGGTAATTTCTCGGGTCGTCCATTCAGACCCCCATTGTCAACTTGTCTTTCGCTGAGCCAGCCCCCTAGACGGTCCCTGTTCACCAAGTCTAGTCGCCCGGCAATTGCCAGAGCTCCTACACAAGTGAAGATCTGGCCAGCGTGCGATTCAGCTCCAGGCTGAATTCCATAGCCGCCATCCAGGTTTTCACACTGCTGGACGTAGGCAATGGCTTTGGGTACATCGACTGTGTCGAGGAGCCCAAGAAGGGAGAGGGCATTGAAGGCGCCATACAAGAAGCGTGTATCCCGCTCGCCCCATTCGTCGCCCATGAAAGCGCCAGTGTCCTTATCCTGTAGCCCTGCGATGAAGGAGGCAACTTTCTCTTTTCCTCCTAGACCGCGCTTCTCCAGTTCGTCGATCGCGTCTAGAGTTACGAGAATTTGCACGGCCGACACCGTGTACAACATGTGCGCATCATGGCCCGGGGCAGCTCCAAAGCCCCCATCTTCCCGTTGGCAGGAGAGTACGAAATTGATGGTGTCTTCGCGAGGAAGAGCATCTGGGCGGCCAAGGAGATGTAGAGCTGTTAGACCCCAATACACCCCATTTAGGCGAAGGTGCTCTGTGAGCCAATATTCTAGCTCATCCCTCCTCTAGCATCACCTGTCAACCACCTTCCCCATCCTGAAGAGAAGAATAATGGTTATAGTAAGAATGACGCACGCTGTCCAAGTTCTTGATGTATTCCACATGTCTTTCGACACTAAGGTTCAAGCTGGATGGGGTGGTCCCAACAGCCCTACCAGGACCCGAAACCAAGGACATTTTGTGATCGGGTCGCTGAATGCAGTACGATTAGTGGTTGAGCCTCGGCGCTAGTCGAGGGCGTTTGCTCAAGGCAACAATTACTGTGCTTGCTAACCCAAGGGTCAAGAAGGTGCAAGGAGAAGCACAACCCCCACGGGAGTTTGTGGCCTCGGGGTGGCAAACACAGGGCCGTGGATGGAGGCAACCACTGCACGTGTGCCCCTCACTGCAGGTGAGGTTAGTATGAGGTGACTTTGAGGTTAGTCGTGGGCAAGTCGGAAGCTGGGAGGGAAAAAACAAGCTTCGGGGGGATGTTGTGTGTGGTTGTCGGCGGTCGGAGACGAGGGAGGGCTGACTACTCGTGACTACGGCTGACCCTCACGTGAGCGAGCGCCACCCGGTGAGCCGCTGGGCCAAAAGCGGGGCCATTGTTTCAGCCTGGCGTTTAGGGCAGGATCACCGTCTCCCACGGACGGCGGTGTGAAACCCCTGAGCGGCAACGAGTGGTTGCCCCTGGGTCCCTGCTTCTCTCAGAAATGTTCGGTGGCTGGCCCTTGTGTTGATGCCATGGAGGGCGGGTTCCCGCGATCCACTGTCATTGGTGGCATTTGTCAATAAAATTCATCAAATGCACGCAAGTCCAAGGTAGGCAGGTAGGAGGTACTATCAGTGTATCGGGCTCGACGGATTACCGTAACGATGAATGCAATGTGCAGGACTGCAGGTATTGACAGGGAATGTGGATTCTGTCTCTGCCCAGATGGTACTAGCTACTAGGTACAATTACGTAGTGCCGGGCTATTGACTCGGGATGGAGAACGGAGAGCCATCTCTCCCACTGTCCCACGTGTACTCCGTAGTGCTCCGTAAACTTCCCTACTAGGCTCCAGGCAAAAGGTCGCAACGCCTCCGCATAAGTGCAGTAAGCCACGGAGTACGTGGTCCCCAGTCAACGTCCACGACAGCTACCCAAGTAGAATGATAGGTACTCCAACTTCTACTGCTACGTAGATGTAGGACTACGTAGAATGGTATGGGGCACGCTACTGTGGCTAACATGAAGAGTTGATTTTCTCCACCTCCATACCGAAGCGCTAGACCGGAGGTGAAAATCTGTGCTCTTATCATCCTGCTGTAAGTGTACAGAGTACCTCGTAAATTATTATTCGCAATGGTGATCTCTCGAGGCGCCCAAGGCTACTTGACTACGAGAATATTCGAGCATTGCTTACGGGGCAGCTGGCTCTCCGTGTGACATGACCAAGGTCATCGTCCCTGCTGCTTCTTTTCTTTGTCTATATTTAGATGTCCGGAATGTCCCATTGTGCTCTGTAGCTCCTCTGTAGAGGGTACCTAGACAGATAGTCGGTGCTATAGATGTCATGGGCAAAGCGGGGCAACAAGAATATCATTTATTCAACGGTGCCTGGTTAGTACCTAGGTACTCCGTAGTAAGGTACAGTCCCCCAGGCACGGAGGGAACATTACTACTTTTTTCATCATCCCCACCAAGTGTATCAAAATTGTCTTGATGGAACCATGGTTAAGCGCCCGTCGAGCTTCAAGAATCAGACAATCGTCCGAGGGATTCCCTGAGTGGTTCAAGATTGAGACAATACATTCTACAGGTTTCGCTCTTTATTTTGATTAGGCCTCTGGTGATACATTCCCGGGAAGAATTTGCTCCTGGCTGGATTGTTCGGGATGACTCCAGTCTCCCTCCACTGGACTAAAATAATAATCATGCGGATTACTAGTGTCATTCGAGAGTCCTGACTACTGCGTACTAAGCAGCCAGATAAGGTGCCACCCAATGCTATGATGGGCCTCCGCGTCAGGTACTCGTGTGTCGCGGGAGCATCTGATTTGACCCTGCAACTGAGTCCCCCGTCCGGCGGGCTTTGGTTGGCCAATCTACGGTCGCAATTGCGGTCTCTTAGCCCGGGCCTGCATCATCCCGCCCAAGGCACCAACTGCCAGACCCGATCTTTTCTGACCAGTCATTGTCACCGTCCCCAGTGTTTGCATGGGTCCTCCCGATCTTTCGGTGTATATCCCAGTGGCCTGTACTCCCGTCCGCGCAGGAGGAGCTGGCCATTGCAGCCCGGGGTTGCCATCATCACAAGGGTTGTTGCGCAGTAGCGTGCTCAGGGGCAACCCGACAAGGCATGGCGATCTACTATACTACACCACCCATGCTGAATCCCCAAATCATTATCGCTTCTGACTCGAGAGACAGGTTCATCCAATATACTCGTAGCTACCTTTGGGTTTGTAATATGATAAATTGACTTTCTGTCCGACAGCCTCTCGATTTTCCCCCCAGGTAATCCTTTACCTTTTGGTTCCCACCCCCTCCTCCTCCCAGCTGTAAGGTACTTGGGTAATTCCGTGACTATTGCAGATATTAACCCATCAATACGTGGGTTGGACCAACGTCATCCTTCTGGTACCAGCCACGAGTTCTTTTTTCCTTTTTAACCTGCGGCCCTCAAATTCGGCCTAGGCTGCCTCATAATTTCTTCCCTTGACCATCTTGGATCAGATCTAATCTGTTACTTGCCGATAGCGATTGCTCAAAAAACAAAAATAAATAAACAGTGAGCGAGTTTGTTCTGCATCCATTCTTCAGGGAGGTAGGGCCATGTTGACCGTCCTTACCCGTTAATTACAGGCGTTATCCACTATCCTTTTTCCAAAGTCAAAGGACCTCCATGACTATCAGGCTGTCTGTGCACTAAACCGATAGGCTTCCCATAATCCCATAAGCACTCTGAAGCCACCCAGTAACTATTTCGGAGCCTTGCAACGCCCTCCCCACTGCCGACTCCCCCTTAAAAAAAAACGGAGGCTTCTTAGCCTGACACACAGCCGCGCTTGCATAACGCTGTCAAGGAATGTGTCGTCGCTGCGACATTCAAGTCTGAACACCTCCAACACCGTGCGGAATCGCTCTCGTGTTTCTTTGATCACTGTTTCCTCTTCTTTGGGCAACTTCAAGCGGACGGAATTTCTTTGTCTTTTCTTTTTCCTGTTCCTGTTCCCTTTTTTGACATCTTCATTATTGCTTTTGGAATACACGGTCCCAGCAAAATCGCCGATACCTACTCGTCCCCTTGGTACGCCGACCGCCCTCTTCAACACCGCTCCAACACACAAAACGAGGATCTTAGGCGAGCGTCTATTTTGCCTGTCGCCACCTTTTGTCATCAGGCGCGACACTCCGGATTGTTGTTACTACCAGAATAGTCGTGGGGGAACAGAGTAACAACTGGAGGGGGGAGTCCTCATCTAACATGAGGGGCGGCGCAGTTTGGTATGTGTGGTGACATTTTTTTGGATTTCAGCAGGATCTCCAATCAATTCTTCCTTTTCTTTTTTTCTCGCCGAGACCGCTCATTCGCCCTGGTGTTGTTGTTCGTTCTAGGGGGTTGGCGATTTGTGGCTCCTCCTTGAGTTGCAACTTTCTTCGACAGATCCCTACTTTTGATCATGGTCGTGTATTAGTGCGCTGTCTCTGTTATCGTTGTCGTCCAAACAACGCGTCTTCATTTGCTATCTTGCTGACCACTATGCGACTTTACAGAATTAACCGCTCCGATCTATCCTCCCAGAACCGCAACATTTCGCGTCAACTGTGCCCAGCAAGCCCGACATATTCGGAAATATTGGCTAAGGCTGGTCCGGTTCCAATCATTTCCTCATTACCATCCCAACGAGTCTTGACAAATATCGGGAATTTCAACGTCTTCTGCCGAGGGAGTGTCAGGATATTTATGCCCCCAGAGTCCGGATTATCGTGGCACTCAATCTGAAAAGGAGTAAGTTCTAGAATCAGGAGCTTGCCGCCGGCCGAATCAGATCCAAATTTAGTACAATTTGGAGTCTTTATGGCTGCTAACCTGTTTCTGCCACTAGATCCCTTTTTATCGTCCACTGGGTGTCGCAGCCGATCCTGGACGTACTATTTATTTCCCTCAGTCCAGACCGATTTCCCGGGCCAGCCATTCAGGGTCAGCTGCTGACCCGCGATTGACACCTAAGATGCCGTCGAGACAGTCCACTGTTCCCAATTTAGATCTAAGCACTTCCACACTGCAGGCGGATGCGAAGATCTCGTCTCCACTGACGCCCGGTGCCCAAAGCTCCGAGGGGCCAAGTCCCCTGACACCCCGTTCCCCCAAGTCAGCATCGAGTTCGCCATTCTTCAAAGGGGCCACAATCAGACCCGTCACACAAGATTCAACCAGCAAGTCGAATAGTCCTACGTTACCAGCCTCTCCCGGCATTGCCTCTGCAGAACCAGCTACTCCGGGCATCACGGCCATTCCCCAGTACCCCCCTTCTCCCAAGGACACCCCTAAGCATACGCGTGACCAATCGCGCTCTTTCTTCGCCAACCTCAAAGCGCCCAAGTCTTCACACAGAGCTCAACGGTCCGATAGCTCAGGAAATTCGGGCGAAAAGCCCAAGAGCCGTGGCAGCTCTCGGGACCGCAAAACGCAAATCTCAACCAAATTATACGAATCAACCCCTGACCTACCAGGTGCTATTGAACGCGCAGCCCAAGAAGAGAACCGTGAGTATTTGCGTCCAACCACCAGTCAGTGCAATGCTCTGACGAGTCCGTCCATAGGTGGTGACCGTACTGAGGGGAGGTGTCCACAACCGTCAGAGGTGAGGAAAGTGGGTACGGAGTCGGAGGCCTTCAACCTAGCCAAGAAGAACAAACCGCGCTTTGCCAATCTTCTCTCTCGCTCCCGCTCGATCCGGCTCGACGACTCCTCTATGAACAGAATTGCAAACCGCCGCCCATCCACTAGCCTTATGAGGCTTGAAGAAAATACCAGGCGGGAGGTTCAAGAACCCCCAAAGACAGCTCCACGTCATGAGCGTGGAATCAAGACAGCCGGGAATCCGACGGCTCGCAGCTATACCGCCGACCGCCCCGCCGAATACCATCACAATAGCCATTTGCGTAAAGACAAATACTACGGCGCATCAATGGTTCCGTCCGCCTCGCTGAGCCAGGTGTCAGGCGCTTCAGCGGCGCTGTTCAACAACCTCAAACAATCCTCGAGTGGTGCTGCTGATCGGATTGGCAAGGCAGGGAAAGGGTTCTTCGGCAAGATCACCAGAAGCGGGAGCACGAACGAGCGGGAGCTCGTGAACGACGACAACTACGTCTGCTCGGTGATCAATCTCCCACTGATACAACAGGCTAGGCGGACTCGCATCGCCAAACGACTGGAGGACTGTAGAGACAAAACTGAGTTTTGGATGCCTGCTCTACCGTATCGCTGCGTTGAGTAAGGAACATCGCCAACGTGTTTGACCCGGTTGCTAACGTTACGCCAGCTATCTCAATTTCAAAGGATGTGAGGAAGAGGGATTATACCGAGTCCCGGGCAGTGGGAAGGAAGTAAAGCATTGGCAAAGACGATTTGATACGGGTAGGTTGCTTCCATCAACGCTTACTCGGAGGTTTCGTGTCTAACATAAATCACTCAGAACTGGACATCAACCTTTTTGACGAGCCAGACCTCTACGATATCAACACCATCGGCTCCATGTTCAAGGCATGGCTCCGTGAATTACCGGATGAGCTCTTCCCCAAGGAGACGCAAGCCATGATCGCTGAAAAATGCGAGGGTGCGACGACTGCACCACAAATGCTCAAAGACGAACTTTCCAAGCTGCCACCTTACAACTATTACCTTCTCTTCGCCATCACCTGTCATCTAAACCTTCTACATTCCTATGTCGACCAGAACAAGATGGACTACCGCAATCTTTGCATTTGCTTCCAGCCTTGTATGAAAATCGATGCGTTCTGCTTCCATTTCCTCGTCTGCGACTGGAAAAATTGCTGGCAAGGCTGCTGGACGGAGAAGGAATACCTACAAATCGAAAAGGAAATGGATGAAAAGGAAAATGCAGCCCCAACGAATCACGAGGCGGTTCATGATTATCATCAGTATCCACATAGCGACGAAAGAGCTGTATCATCCGGTAGCAGCCAACCTGCAACTGAAGAAGAGCCACCGCGTCCGGCATCGCCGAAAGGCCGCAAACAAAGACCCAAGAACATCGAGACCTCACATGCGAGGAGCATTTCGCAGCTCCCTGAACTCGGGCCCCCACTTTCACCCATCCAGATATAGCTGGTACGACGCTCGAGGTTCGGGTGGCGAGCTTCCACTGCGCTGATCTTCACCGATATCCGTTTCCTTGCCCGACTAGGCTGGCCCCCATGTCAAAATTCCCATTTCATCATGTGTGAGGTCTGGGACTGGATCCGCAGGCCAAGCATAACGACTGAAATTATACCTTTTTATTGACATTCGGATCACTGGCCAATTCTCAATACCTTGCTCTAGACGTTGGCACATACATGATTTCCCAACTTTCGATTTTTTCATGCCTCCATCAATTTTAGTTTCGCGACGACTTTCAGCTATATTGGGCCCTTCTCAGACTGCATGCCTGGCGCCTTGGAGTCGGTTGATTTTGATCTCGACATGATGTTTCTACTTTGTTGTACAAACCTTTCTCTTCCTTTTTCTCTCCGTGCTTTCTCAATTTCACCTCCCATTTATGGCAACCTTGGCGATCTATTTCCTTCACAGCCTCTTTGGAATCATTGTATGCATGTATTCTCCTATCTCGTTTCCCACCGGTTCACCTTATTGATTCCCCCTCCTGAGCTGTTACGGCGCATTTCTGTCCGAATTCGGCAACCCATGCTTTCTTTTGCCTTTGCTTTGTACGATCCTAGACTTTCTGATGTACTCTGGTACATAGCTGTAAGATAGACCAACGACTTGCCATGCATCAAATCGAAACTTTGATATCGAAAGAACGATGATCTATTTGTGCTTCAAGTACAGAAGACGTAAGAGGCGTATCTACAAGATAAAGTGCACTAGTACATGCGAGCTCAGAACCCAAGCCCCAGTTGTGGATCTCAGGGAAAGGGAACAAATAAAGAAGGAAGAAAAGTAAAGGGGTAGTAATATGTGATATTGCTTTTTGAGCCCGGGAGACAAAGGTCCAATCGGGCAGCGTTGACATCCAAGACCAGCGACTCCAAACCAAACGCCTTGATAAGCCCCAGTGAAAGAACGAAAACGAGGCAAGATTGAAAAACAGGTGCAGCCTCGACTTGTCGAATCGTTATCAGACACACACACACAACACGATAGTTACCCTTTAACCACCACCGGACTTCCGAGACTTGCGCTCATTGGATCTCATTTTCCGCTCGTTCCGGCGTATCCTGTCCTTGCGTTCGGCACGCGATATTCCACGAATCGAGCTTCCCTTGGCTGCCGCATCCTCCTCCTTCTTCCAATCCTTCTCGTTCACCTCAACCAACCAATCATCATCCGACTTGTTCTTGCCCTTGTAGCCCCAGCGAGGCACCCACTCGCCCTTCTCTTCATCGTAAACCAACTTCTTGCGACGCTCCTTGTCGGCCAATGCGGCACCAGGCTTGCTGCTGTATTTGCCAATACCCTTCTTGCGGGCGAACAGCTCCCACTTGGTCGGTGGCTTGGGCGTCGGCAGAGGCTTGTGACGCGGGAGCACGGTGGCCGGGGACGGAAGGGACAGGAGGACACCCTGTTGGGAGGAGCTGATCGGGCAGGTGGTCAGAAGCTGGTTGAGGAGAGACTGAGTGCCATCCCGGGCTGCGGCCTTGAGAGAAGCGTCCAACGGTTCCGAGCGGGAAATCTCAAGCGGGTTGGGATCATTCGCAAGCAGGTGGCCGAGATCAAATGTGTAGGGGGTGGGCTTGGAGACAGTCACGGGCCTGTTTCATCCTCCACGGTCAGTATATGTGCTCCAATGGGTCATGTGTCTATATAGATCTCAACCGGGGAGGAATGCATTGACGTACAGTCTGTCCTGCTTGGTCTTGGAGTCAGTAGCCGCCATTTTCGACTGTAATCGCACGGACGGCGATAAGGCACTTGAATGACGAGACTGAAGGGATCGCACAGAGACTCCGATGCGAGATGGAGAACTGGGCGCAAAGGAAACGAATGGATTGACCGATCGGGTAAAGGAAAAAAAAAAGTTCGGGAGATAAAATCTCCCCGCTGCTTTTACGCCGGCTACACCGCCTGCCGCTTCGGCGGCACTGGCGCTAGCCCCGACTGGGCAAGGGACGCAATCTGCGTCGAGGCTCCAAAATGTGCTCCGAATTTCAATCCATTCCATGTCTTTGGGCGACCTTTCCGCGCAACCTCCGCTCCCCCATCCCCGCCGCAACCCCCATTGACCGTTAGAACACTGGCCACGGTGCCAGTGTGCCGCAGCACGATGGTTTCCTCCTTCTGTTGGAGCTGCCTTACCCGGCTTCCTCCCGCGCCTCGAGCCATCCTCCCGCCGACATTAACAGCACAGCGAGTAGCCGCATTTCACACGTCAACCGCGCTTTTCTCGTCGCCGGTCAAGAAGAAGAAGGGCGATGCCCCCGTGGCCAAGTTCCGCCAGGCTAAATCCGCCAAGATGAAGAAGAAGAAGCCTGTTGAGAGGACGCGTCCTCCTGCTGTCGGAGAACGCAAAGCACTCAAGAAACGCATTGTTCTCAGCAACCCCAACGCCCTTGAGATCGAGGGTATGCAGGACCTCTCTGCGGAGAACATGGTGGATGCGCGCCTTCGCGGATCGATCCTCGGTCTTCCGGTGCCGATGCTCGATCAATTGAGGGCAGTCCAGGCCTTCAAGCCCAAGCAAGGCTGGTCCATATTCCGTCGGCCGGGTACTGTGGTGAGACGGGAGACACTCGAGCTGGGAAGACTTATCGATGGCATCTCCAGTGAGGGTGAGAACAAGGGAAAGGTCGTTAGAAAGATCGTTACTGGTGTGAAGGGCTCCGGCAAGACTGTCCACCTGCTGCAGGCCATGTCGATGGCTTTCACCAAGAACTGGGTTGTTATCACGGTTCCTGAAGGTGAGTTCGTCGCGAGTGCATGTTAATACGTACATGGAGATACTGACGAAGCCATCAGCCCAGGATCTCGTCATTGCCAACACCGCCTACGCCCCGCTCTCCGATGAGAACCCGAACGTCTATGTCCAAAACGATGCCACCGCCGCTCTCCTTTCTCGCACGGTCACCGCCAACCAGAAGGTTCTGTCCTCGTTGAGCGTCTCCCAGGCTCACCCTGCCCTCAAGTCGGCCGTCAAGCCCGGCATGACTCTGGAGGCTCTTGCCAAGCTCGGTATCCAGGACCCTGCCGCTGCCTGGAACGTCTTCCAGGCCTTGTGGACTGAACTCACTGCGACGGCCCCGGCTCCTGGTTTCGAGAAGACCTTCAAGCCTCGTCCTCCCGTCCTGGTTACCATGGATAACCTGGCTCACTGGATGAAGGAGTCCAAGTACAACAGCATCAACTGCACGCCCATCCATGCCCACGACCTCGTGTTTGTCCGGCACTTCCTCTCCCTACTGAAGCCGAATGCCAACAAGCCCACTCTCCCCAACGGTGGTCTTATCCTGTATGCCACCTCCGCTTCCAACAGCCCTGCTGTCTACGGCCTTACCGTTGCTCTCAAACAACTGGCCGCTCGCCAGGCTGGCGTGAATCCCTCCTCTCCGGAGTACCCCCAGCCTGATCCGTACCTCAACGCGGACAAGCGTGTCCTGGCCGTTTTCGACGCCTCCAAGTCCACCGCCCCCAAGGAAGGCGCTCTCGAACTCCAGACTCTTAGCGGTATCACCCGGGAAGAAGCCCGAGGCTTCATGGAATACTTTGCCCGCAGCGGTCTCCTTCGCGAAACCGTCACCGACGCATGGGTTGGCGAGAAGTGGACTCTGGCTGGAGGCGGTGTGATCGGAGAGCTCGAAAAGCTCGGAAGACGACTAAGAGTAATTGCTTAGACAATCCTCTTCTTCTTGTTCTTGTTCTTCTTCCTCCCCGTCATGCTCTGTAGAGATCATCATCTTGTCTTACGTCGTTGTCTTCCCCCTCTTCAATGTTTCTTTTACTTCCCATCCTGCTGTGCCATTGGATGGGTTCGAGAATCTCTGTACTTTACCTTATCTTTGGGCTTCTTGCGCGTGTCTGTATGCATATAATGGAATTCGAAATCTATTTTTCCGGCTTCTCTTTTTGTATATCGCTGTTGGCCATTCTTCGCGGCACTCAGGCTAGTATATTTCCAGTAAACTTCTACTAAGCGAGTAGTGCGTGCATTGTTGAAAAGAACTTTATCGAGGATACAACTGGAATTCGGGAAATAGAAAGTAAAATATAAGTCACAACATCTAAAATATACTTTCCAGTCACGAAAGCCCACAAGCACATATATAAGTAAAACATCTATTAAAACCCACCGCCACAAGAAACACCAAAAAACCACTATATCAGTAGAACAAGATCAACGAAGAAAAAGCACACGTCAATACTAGCTAGCAGTCACGACAATCTTGCAAACCACATCAACAGCGTGTCTCTCATCCCCCAGCTGCCGCCTTAGGCTGTCTTTGATTCATATGTGGCCCTCCGCAATTACAAGGCCGCCCGAGCACTCGCTGCAAAGTAACAGCGGAGACCTCGTGATCATCCGGATGGAAATAGGAGATGCGGATTTCTTCATCTTTCTCGATGGGTCTGAGTGACCACACGAGGAGGCGATTGAGGACCTCAGGGTCATAGCCCCACGTTGCGTTGTTGTTGGGAGGACAGGCATGATTGAAGAGACTGAAGCCCGGGTATAGATATAGGGCGTGGAAGGTGGGGTCGAGAGCTGCTAAGTCCCGTTCTGGCATTGTCAGCTGGGCCTTGCCGGCGAGGATCTTCTTTTGGTTGATTATCTTGGTAGGTTTGCGCAGGTCTAGATCCCAGGGGACGATGTGCGCGGTGAGCTTTCTCAGGATGAGTTGGATGACCCAGGTGTCGAATGTGAGGTCCTGGAAGATGTCGACGCCGAGTTGCATGAGGATGTCAAATGGGACTTGCACGTTGCCGGCTAAGGTGAAGGGGAAGTTTTGCGTTTGCCAGTTGTTGGGGCCTTCGAGGACGAGAAGCTCGTCGATTTCATGCGCCATGAGGTGGGGGTCGCGTTTGCGTCTCTGGAGTGTGATGTCGAAGACCTCGCGGAGGAGAAGGCTCAGTAATGTGGTGTGGGCCTCGTTTGTATGTGTGTAATATTCTCGGTCGTAGCCCCTCAGAATACTGGTCATTGGCCGCATGGCGTTGTGAAGCCATTCCCAGTCCTTTCCGCATGCTTGAAAGTGATATCGGGCTCGGGCATCCGCGGCGCAGGTTTCACCCTCTTGGTTTGGTGCAGGGCAGAATGCGATGGGGACTTGTTTTGAAATGCATCTGCACGCCTCGCGGATATTACCTTGCTGGACCTCATTGCTGTAGTTCTCCTGGTGTCGGGCGGAGAGGTGTTTTTGGCAGTTGTCACACCGTAATAGTGGCTGAACAATTGGGCCCCTCGGCAGCTTGCGCAGATTGAGATGGCCTCTGATCGGAGGGATCTCGACGAAGATGATCTCCCCGGCCTCAATGTCTTCGGTGGCAACGATACTTAACTGTGTGTCGTTGTTAACTCCGTGGTTGACGTGGACCTTGCACTTTTTCCAAGGGAGACTGGGATTCTGGTCGATCAGAATCTCCGTCGCCTTGTCCACAAATTCGTCCGCAGAACGATCTTTATCATTTGCATCATATGGGTACCTCCTATCACCAAAAGCGTTGCCGGCTCTTTTCTCGTAGAAAAAGTAATCGGGCGTCATTTTCGCGGCGGTGAGGGTACGAACAGTAGGCCTCATCACTTCTGAACGGTCTTGGAATGGTGCCAGATCCCGGTCTATCATGATCATTTGGTGCGAGAGTTCGTTTTCCTTTATGTAATAGTCCTCCCAGCATTGGAGCGCCGCGAGACTGAGGCTGATGACATTCTGGATTGCCTTTCGGATAGTAGGTACAAAATAATTGACCCCATTAGATTGGCGCAACCACTCGAGTTCAGGATATGGATTCCCTGTGGTGGGATCTCTCTCCTGAGCTCTGATATGCTGCTCCAGAGCGTGCCACGTCCGAGTATAGAGTCCAGGTTGACGAGTCCGGAGTGAAGGGTTCACCAACACCTCACAAAGTAGTTGCGCTCGGTAAGCATCTCCGACAGCAAGGTCAAAGAAGGCTTGTTGATAGTGGCAATAGGCCCGACTCAGCCAATAGGTCGGATTATACGGGCTGACAAGGATAGCGCAAGTGTACATGTCAAGGGGCCCGATTGCACTCTCATCCGTGATCTCGATAGCGTACTTGGCGGTATCGTCTCTTTCAATTCCCCAGTGGGTCAGGTCACTCCGTGGTAGGACGTGGTATCTTCGATGCTTTCTGCGTTTATCATCCCGGAGACGCTGACGCAACTGGGCTACTGTGCCTGCATTGGAGAGGTTCCGTTTCTCGAGCGTATCTCTCAGCTGCTGAGCTTTCATACCCGAAATGAGCTGTCCGGCTACGCGATCAGGGTCCTCCGTAATGTCCCCAAGATCGAAGCCTTGGCCCGTGAAGATGTCGTCGAATGACCAGGCTTGAGCGTTCAGTCCAGAATCTACCCATCTCTGCTCCCAATTTCCGGGTCCAAGTGGCACAAGGTACTCTTGCATCAGGTGGTTGTAGACGTTTCTGGCAAGAGCATGCATTGGTTGTGCATGTGCTTCCTCGTCGTTAGTTGGTCTGAGGAAACGAGGCTGTTCTCCCAAGCTCTCCCCAAGAAACGAGTCTGGAAGGGACCAGAATCGACGCGCAATCTTAGCATCATCTTTGCTCAGATGCGGTGCCCATTCTACCTCGTCATAGAGATCGGGTCTCGGAGGGAAGGGGGGCGGCGCAACCGCTTGATGGGCTGGAGGGGTATTGTAGCGACTCTTTGGTAACTTATTGGCCATGATCGTTTGCAAGCTGCAGCCCTGTTAAAAGATACTCCCTCTGACGTTTTTTAAGTGCCGTGAAGCAAATGCCAACTGAGTCTGGGTATTATTTCGCAAAACCAGAGCATATGGAGTGATTCCATCGATTATATGGGACTGATTTTCTTTCATAAACACCTCTCCCCGGAGAACTTAAACCAGAAATACTGGGCAGTGAAGCAATAGGACAGACAAAGACTAGCAGATTATGTCCCAGAAACCGAGCTTCTTTGAAACCTCTGAAACAAGAGTACCTCGTGGCGAAGACTCCAGACAAAGAGTGGCTCCTAGGACATGTCAGTTCTTTGTGAATGCCGTTACTTTTGCACGGAAAACGGTGCCAGAGGACTAGTGTACACCCCATTGCTATTGTCGTACTATGTACAAGCCGCGAGCCACAGTTGACTCGGCACTGAGGCTGGTCCTCGGGGGTAAGATATTGATGCTATCCTTACAGTTTCCGCCCCGCATCTATGGTCGGTGGGGGCCATCAGCGTATGTCGGTCGGCCATACTCTACGGTGAGTGACTATGAGACATTCCGTCCCCATCGTCGGCATCTGAGCCAGGTCCCCGTATGGTGTGTCGAGTGTAAGGTGTAGAGGCGCAGGTGGAGAGTGAAGAGTTGGAAGGGTGGATGAAGTGTGGATGAAGTGTGGATGGGTGCAAGTGGGGAAGTGCGGGCGATGGCGTCGTCGATGGCGATGCGCCCATGGATAAATTTAGCGACTCGGCACAGCCTTACTGCTCGGTTGCTCCCGATCCTCAGCAGCGAGAGGTGAGATCCAAGTGAACCCTGCGAACTGCTGCGGTGCAATCGAGTCGGTGACCTTGATCCGGTCAGCCGATCCAGTCTGCCTCGTGTCTTCTGCCCCTGACTCCTGACGTCGCGGCGCCTTTTCACCTACATTCCCCCCGCGCTGGACAGAGGATCCTCTGTCCTCTATCCTCTAGTAACAACTGTCGCATCCTGAACAAATTTCCGACGATGTACGGGTCGCATTCTGGTCAACAAGGGTCGGCTCCTTCGCAGCCCGAGTGGCGTCTGCCGTCCAAGACGCAGCGACCAGCGCAACAGTCGCAGTCTTCGCAGCATCCTCCGCAACCGTCATGGCGAGCTTCCTCTCCGCCTCCTCCGCCTCGCCCTCCCCGTCCAACATCGTCGCCATACGACCCCAATATCTATGGCCAGATCTCCAGTCCCTCGCCGGCTATTAGTGTCGGTACAAGCATATCCCCAGTTCCTGGCGCTGCGGGCGCCGATACTACGCAATGGGGAGTCAAGTATAACAGGCACCAACTTCATGCGCAGTCACCCCCACCACTGCCCGTGAGTGCTGACCCTATCCCTGAGGGGTCGCAATGTCCTGACAGACAGAAACAATTAGCCTCGACCCCCGAGTACGACACAACCACCGCAGGCGCAGTCTCCACTCGTGAGCCCCTTGGATCCCACTCAGCATTTACCAGCTAGCCAGGGTTTGGCGACCCAGCCTGCGGTAGACCCCTATCAGCAGTGGTCAACAAACGCTCCATATGCATCCCAACAGCCTGTCAATTCTTTGCCGTCGCAACCCCCGCCGCCACCTCCTATTCCCTCGGACTATCAGAGCTCAAGTTCACAGCAGAGCAACTCATGGCAGCAGCAGCAGCAGCAGCAGCAGCAGCAGCCACCACCGCAGCAACTACCGCCCCCCTATTCCAGCGTCCCTCTCACTCAGTATCATGGTTCCCCGATTCAGCAGTCGGCGACCTTGCCAAGCAACCCAACAAATGCAGGGCCCATTGCACCCGGCTGGGGCATTTCGCAGAGCCCAGGTCCCCAGCAGACCGCCCATTTGCCTTACCAGGAGCAGGTTCCTGTGGTAGCGACTATTAGCACGGAGTATGGAGTGTTACCAACTGCTCCTCCACCGGTGCCTCCCAAGACCAGCCCCATCACTGCACCGACTAGTGCTTCCATTCTGGGCTCTGGTGGTCCTTCCGACTGGGAGCACTTGTCGCCTACTCCAGGGAACGTCGATGATATGGGAACTTTTGGTCCCAACCGCCAAGCGTCACCCTCTTTGAACTCGCCGTCCGGGGTTTCTTCGAGCCAGCCAACAACTCCAGCTAAGCCAACTAGGCAAGAAACGTCCATTAGCTCTACCACGCCTACAGGTCCTCTCACCCATGTTGGCGAGCAGAGTCAGGTTGAAGGCCCTTTAGGTAGTTCAAGCATGGCGCAAGATGATCAGAATTTACCCCCTCCAACCACAATGGAAAGTGCTGGGTCTGTTCATAGCCATATCTCCACTTCGGAACCACCTGAGAGCATTGACGGCATCATCGAAGCTTGGAATCGGCCTATCACCTCGCAACCCTCCATTGGGCAACATCCTCAAAGTTTAGAGTCCCGAGCTGGAACATCGCAGAAGCCTAGTCCCATTGAAACCCCCAAGCCAAGACAGGAACTCACGCTCCCTCGCAAAGAAATTCAGTCGGGGTCAGCCTCGGTAGAGGCAGATACCGCCACCACTAAGGTTAATACAGAAAAACGGACAATTCTCCCCGCCTTTGTATCAGTTGACCCGTACGATGATCTTGATCCTTGGTCCAAATCCTCGCTGGAACGTTACGTTGCAATGTTGCGAAAAGAGGCGGTGGCCGATTCCGATGCAGAGCGTTTTAGTATTTTCACGACTTTCATGGCAAAAGAGACAAAACTACGAGAGATCCTATTCAATGTTGAGCCTGACTCGACACCTGTGGAAGATGTCGTAGGGGGTTCGCGACAACCAACGCCTTCTCTGCAGGAGCCGTCCAATAAGCCTGATGACAACAACCCTCCTGTGGAAACTGGGCTGATACCCGTCGAAACCGATGATGACTATTTTATCTCAACCAATGACCATGGTGACTCGGGAGATGGAAGCTACAGCCCCGGAGGGCGCCCGATTCTTCCTACAACACAGACGCCTAGTGCAACCAGTCTGCGAAGATCGGCTTCACGATCCACCTCGGAGCCGCCCTCCATGCTGAATGATTCGGAACGTGAACATACTCTACCTCCTTTGACCACTAATCCCCCACAGCCTATTTACACCCCGTTCCGCTACACCGAAGGGCCCCAGCGAGGCTCCGACGAACTGGTGTTCGACCAGCCCGCCTACCAGGCCTATTCAGCTCTGCGGCAGGCGTCGGCAGAGAGTGGACGGGTGATGTCAAATGCTCCAGCCTCAATACCCCAGGAGAGATCAAGTTCCGTGGTACCTTCGAGTCAAAACGAACATGATGAGACGTTTATTGGACTTATTAGGGAGAAAAGCATTGCCTACCGCAAGAGAGCACCCCGAAAAACGTCCTCTCCTCCACCACTACCGGCTTCCCTCCGGCAGGGGAAACAAGCTAGTCCAGTCGACGAGCTGCGCTCAATGGTGTTGTCGCCATTAGCTAAGCAAGCAGAGAGTTCTTGGAACACGAGCACTAGAAAGAAACTGGAAAGTTTCTCGACTGACTTCGCTTATATCCGCGAGGCGGTGAAATCTTGGGAGGTTACGAGTAAATCTCGCAGAGAGAAACTGGACAAGGAGCGGATTCAACGTCAGGAGGAGTCAGAAAAGCGCATCGATGCACTCTTCAACGGGAAGGAGATCGGCTATGCCGATATTAACGTGCTGGAGGAGGAGTTCCGTCAGAAGGAGGCTCGCGCCCAGCTAGAGGAAGAAAGACAGGAGCTGGAAGAATTTGTGTCCAACGTTTTCGAGCCCTTAGATCGGCGCTTGAAAGAAGAAGTAACCGCTCTTCAGGCGATCTATGAATCTGCGCTTGCTCAGCTCGATCAGGAAAATGGCCGGGTCAAGAAGCCGATCACTGACAAATACAATTTGTCGCAGACGATGAAAACGGCGAATGAGATTTATCGTAAGCTCGAGGTACGCTACCAGAAATGTCTGGAAATTGCTCTGGATCGTGAACGCCGGCGGAAGAAGGCTGAAAGACGGCCTCTTGTTTTCATGGGCGACTCGCTAGCCCTTAAACGAGTGGATAAAGAATTCGATCAAATGGAGAAGCGAAACATCCTTGAAGCGGCCAGGGAACGGGATGAGAGGGCCAATCGACTGATGGACTCCTTCGATGATGCCATTATGCATGGTCTGGGAGAAAACCAGAGCCGCCTTGATGAAGTTGCTGCGAAGGTGGCCAAGGTCGACGCTGCAACCATTCGTTCGTCTGCGTTGTCCGAGTCCGAAGTTGAACAGCTGCTTAAGTCGGTTTATGATATGGTTGAGTCTCTGCGTCAAGATTCCGAGGCTATCTTGCACAATTTCGATGTCGTTGATTCGGTGCTCAATGATGCGGATTACAGCGTTTCTGTCGCCGAGGCGCGTTGCTCGGACGCTGACGCTGACGTTTTCCGTCGGCTTGCTGACGAGAAACGGAAGGAAGATGATAAGATCCAGGCGAATCTGAAGTCCAAGCTGGAGAGTATCAGGACCGGCCCGGCAAAGATCGCCACTGGCATAAACGACCTCCTTAAGTCTTTGGGCAAGGCTCCTATCATTGAACGGCCGGGTTCTTCACAGCCCCCTACCGACGCGCTTGCATCAGCGTCCCATCTCCCTACAGGTAATATTGCACCACGGAAGGCCGACGAAGACCCTGAGCACCAGGAGCGGCTCCGGAAAGCATTGGAGAATGCAAAAAAGAGAAACGCTGCGAGGAAGAATACTGAATCAAGCCGCCCTTGAGTAGATGCGGATCCGCTTTCGTCCCGGCTGGGGACTTATTACTATCATATAGATCAATCATGATGAAACGAATCTCTTTTTTATTTGGCAATTCTTCTACACGCTCTTATTATCATTACCATATCTATACCTTTCCTCTGTGCACTCTTCCTGTTTCCTCGATTTTGTCGTCAATTCCATTCTCGTGGTCCCGTTCAATTCGTCGAAGACGGGGGCTTCTATTCCATAATCGTTGTGTAAGCTAAATTCCAAGAGATCCTTATTAATAGCTAAATCGCCGAACACCCGCTGTAGATTCGGGGAAAGAATCGGGCTTGAGGAAGGAGGCTCTTACTGCCAGCGGTCACGGGGCCCAGCTCAGCTCCCCACAACACCCACGGTCGACTCCCTTCAGTCAAAAGATCAGAGCTTCCAGGATGCCCAGAACTTTCAAATACAGCCCCAATTGCTATGGGCTGAATAACTCATCCTTTGTTGGTGCCAGCTATTTGGCATGTCATATATGAAACAGGCTCATCCTTCGTCAAGCGCCCATAAAGAAATAGCCAGTCAAATTTCACTTGGCTCCCCTTGGGCGTGAGTCAGCATCTTCTCCCCCCGTCATCTGCGATAAGTATTTTATACTAAGATTATATGAGAAAAAGATATTTCCTCGTGGACATTTGAGCTGATAAGTTCGGTGAGCGCAGATACGAGGACCCAGTTTAATGAGGCACTATGGAAAACTCCGGAGCTTTCAAGACACCACTTATGCCGTTGTTACGTTATCGGAAGGAAGACACAACGATAAGAGCCGGGACTCGCAGGTACTCGTCAGACCTGCAGCAACATAAAGGCCGTCGATGATTGCGTGCCACGTTGATAGTGTGGGAGATGCGCGTACACAGCATCGAGAAGGCTACGGAAGCCTCTGGACCAGTGGCACAGACTTGCGCTGCGGCAGGTGTCGCAGATTTACCCATCTTGAGTCTCTCGGGGCGCAGAGCGATAGGCGTTCCGAGTGTGTGGTCGAGAGGAGGGGGCGCCTATTCCCTTCCCGCAAACTCTCTATAAGCGAATCGTGGGTGGCCATCACCCACCATGAAATCCATGGTAACTGATGACCCAGTTGCTGAGGCTGCGCCGCCTGTGCCACATGGATGGAACCATTAACCGCACTTCATATCGCCGCAGGTGTGGTACACGATAGATTGCGGCGCACCCTGAAATCCGGTCCCCTTACACGGAGCCTTAGGTGGCTTTGACAAATCGGTACCCGCGGCCCATAAGTCTCCTCCGGCTGTATTACGAGGGCCGAGAGAGGTCAATTTCTTTCGGCCATTGACTGGCGTAGAAATGCAGTGCCACCAGATGCACCCTCCGAGGAAGGGCCAATAGTATAATTCCCCATAGGAATTTTCCGTGTTGGATAGAAGATGCTGGCGGAGTGGGAAAAGACGCTGCCCAGCTTGCGGCGACACACAGTCAAAGCAATGTTTCGATCCCGTCTCCTTTTGCAACCGGCTGCCGCCTGTCATTAGAGCCTGCGCCGCTGACCAAGTATCTGCTGCGATGGCACGGGTTGTCAAGGAGCGGTGCATTAACCATCCGGCACATCTAGCTTATGACTACAGGCTGCTCGGATGTATTAACTTGGCTGTACATTGTGATTCGTGCAGTTGGGTGCGCATGATTGCTTCTGGCTCTCGATATGGTTCAGCCGGGGGTCCTGTGATTTCCAGATTCTCCAGTCCTGACTCCTGTTACCGGAGCTACGCCGAGTCTCCCACCGATTTTCAGTACAATCTTGTGTCGCCTCTGCATCCACAGCGGGGGATTCAAGCCCTCCTGCGCCAAGCTGGCGTTAAAGGATGATGCCACCGCAAAACCGGGGATTCCCATAACATTGTGGCGTGTGTATGCTCGCGTACATCCAAGTGACAGCTCCGTATTCCTTTATGCGGCGAAGTCAGGGGCCACTGACGGCGCTGCCCGGGCTCAGGGATGAGTCAAATTTCAACAGTAGATCATGTCGAATCCCTCATTGTCTCTTATCGCTGTGGCAGAGAGGCGATTGCGGCGAGCTTGGAGCATTTGCTGGTCCCCAGTACCCGCTTCCACCCTTGGTTCGGAGCAAACTCTATATAAATCGGTCTCGCCGTTGCAGACACCAACAAATACCAATCCTGTCCAGGGGCCACCTGAACCAAAAGTAAAACTTATTGAGAGTGATTGCTCATGTCTACCCCGACCAGGCAGTTCCACGGCCTTTCCATCACTGGTGATATGCCCATGACACGCCCCCAGACCCCGAGAGAGCCACCCACCGATGACAGCGATAGCAGCGAGCTCCATGAAAGCGACAGCGAGGAGAGCCATGCTGATGGGGACTCGGTTGTATCCTCCATACGCGGAAAATCAGGGATTACCTATGACCTTGCCAAACTTGATTCTGACTCTGAGGCCAGGGCTCTTGTTGGGCTGACAAGCCAGTTCAATGTGGCCAGCTGCTGTGCGACGCCAACAGGGTTTGATTTCCAACTCACAGAGCAACCTCGGGTTCACATCGGGTCAGGAGGATATACGTGCACCTGCTCGACATTTTCTGCCCGACCCAGCGTGGTCTGCCAACATATCTTTGTGAGTAGCCTCATGCCCCCACCTGATTCGAATTTTTCCTTTTTCCTCCGGTGTACTGACCCCCAGCAAAAGTGGCTTCTTGATCAGCTTCATGGCTGTTTTATCCCACAATCTCCTCCCTCCGACATACCTCTGTCGAGCGATGGACGTCTAGCGGAATTTGAGCGGGTGGAACACCTCTTGGACGGCAAGCTGGAAATCATTGCAGACCAGCTGAGATGGCAATATGTTCGCTCCGAAGCCGAGGGTGGAATGAGTCGCCAGGAGATGGTCCGGGACATTTTGTCTGCCTTCAGCACGGTTATACTGCCAGAGGACTTCCGTCTCGACCTTCTGGATGACGCAGGACAGTCGCGCACTCCCGAACAGTGTGTTGTGCAGGGGGACTTCGAGGCCACGATGTTTCGGCTCGCCGTGCATGATGACGGGGTTTATTCTAGCCTCTGCAAGGCGATGCCCATTGGAGCCTGCGCGGTGATCTATTTCGACAAGGTGCACCACCGACTGCGAACCTTACTGGCAGATTTCGATCGGTATTGCCTAACGGGGCAGGCTCCGAATGCAGCCGTCACCATGGACATTGAAACTGTAATCAAAGAAATCCAACGCAACGTTGATCGGGTCCGGGAAAACATCATCACTCGAGCACCGCATGGAATGGAGGGGGCTGCCAAAACCTTGGTCACCCTGCTGGAGGATATCTGCAGTCGCAATAAGGATGCGTTAGAAGGGAACGATTGGGGCCGAACGACATTCCACGGGGAGGATGAGGATCAACGCAATTTGTTCCATCGGCTTATTGGAGGAACTGCTGAGGAGACGGGGGAACAGTTTATTCTCGACGCCCTCGAGCATTTGCCAGCTTCAGACCTTCACCAATTTGTGGGCAGACTGAAGGCCATCCTACACCGAATTGAAGTGGATCGAGCCCCAAAGGCTTTTATACTCCGATTCAGCACGTTGATCCGTGCTGCGGAATCTCCCAATGCCAACGCTGGGCAGAAGCGACCGTCTTCAGCTACGAGTCGGGGCGACAGCAAGCGAACTCGGTGAAATTGGGGGAATTCATTCGCCGACTGTTGGAGAGCAACAGTGATTGATTACTGCATGACTGGGCGGCTATCTCATTGGTATTATTCTACACTATTTGTCTGCATCGCGAAGCGCAAGTTGGTTCAATTGATTATCTTGATAGCTGGCACAATGATTCTTGTCTACCTCACCAGCTGGTCTGGGATCGTTAATCCTTCACCATGACGTGATACCGTTTCCTTTGTTCTAACTTTCTTTCGTCCCTCTTGAGAAATTGTACCGCCACCAGCTGCCACGGGATAGTTCCAACCTTGTTGATGGGATGACACAAGCACCGAGGCGGTCCCATGGTTGAAAGCGTACCAAAGAATGCGTCCTGGCATGATCACCCAACCTTATATTAGCACTCACTGTTGCCGCCGACCCGACGGGACGGTTCGATACGATCCCAGTACCGTGGTCATCGCGAACCCCTCAATCAAGCAATGGGAAGAGAATCCGGTTCTTGCTCGCACTCAAATACCCATCCCAGAAGTTCCATCTTTGGTACCAACCGAACACCATCGAGGCTGAGCCGATGGCCAGTCGTCGGCCTAAGGCCGCATGACGTCTACGGACACCAGTCGTCGGTTCCACTAGGGAAGGTGTCCAACTGCCGGTGGAACTTGTGTAACCCTGAACGCGGGCGTGCAGGCCAATCGGCGCGTACTGAATAGAGTTTGGCATGTCTAGATGCATGCCTGAGGCCGATGGGTCCTTCCCAGCTGCTCGGTACCCTGGCCCGCGGAGTTGGTACATCGCCGTCGGAGAATCTTACCCCGTGCATTGATTCTGCAGCACGGAGTACGTAGCCATGAGGTATCTACTCCGGACTATTTACTGTAATCTGTTGATGGCAAAGATGAAAGCAGAATTTGCTCCCTACGTACTTACCTTCCGGCGCCTCCGAAATTGCACTTAGTAATACATTGAATGATGGACGGTCTCAAAATCAAGTTCCCCCGAAATTTCGCCCGTCCACTAGTAACCGGCCCGGCAATTTCATCCGCTCAATAACCTCAGTCCACACAATCATCGACTTAATAATTAATAAAAGGCAGAGCTAGTAACTCCGTAGTACGGAATTAGTACACTACCGTGCTCGGGACTCACTGTGTGCACTATTTGCCGTCAAGTAGTGGACCAACAGCACTCGGCCGAACCCGGGATAGCTCGGTGGCCTTAATATGCCTGAGGCAGGTGCTGAAGACATCCAGGTATACCATGTACGAAGCACCAGAGAATCATAAAGAAATCCAGAATTTAATAGAGCAATAAGAATCGCCTATATCTCTTTTGAATCATGTTCACTTTCAAGGTCAGATAACCCTCAAGCCAGGTAAAGTGAAAGTCGAGAGATAGATAAATTGACTGTGGGGACGTTTCGCATTTCATTTTGGTTGAAGCTTGGTTACTTTTGGCTGATAGTGTAAAATACAAGACGGGTTTACAACAACCAGGCCGGCTGGCCCAATGGTAAGGCGCTTGACTACGGATCAAGAGATTGCAGGTTCGAGTCCTGCGTCGGTCATTCTTTTTGGTTTTTTTCGTTCTTTTTTCATTGGCTTTGCTGGGGTGGAAGAGGATGGATGGATGGGAGATGGTGTTTCTTCTCTTTTATTTGCTTTTTCTTCGGGGGAGTGCAAGGCGGGGTAGTGGGGTTCAATATTTTGCTTTTTCTTTTTACTTGTATGTTTTTGTTTGGAGTTCCATGGTATAGGGGATTGGTGTGCTTGGATTGAATCATAGTGTGTTGTTGGGTAGTAATAATCTCTGTTGGTATATATCGTTGTTAAACCTCAACTCCGAATAGGTATGAAAGCAGAGCTACATCAAACTACGACAAATCAAGGACTACTCGTCCCTGCAACTTGCCCTGACCGATCTCCTCAAAAACACCCGTCAATGCTTCCATCTTCTCCGTCCGGAAGTGAGCCTTGATAATGCCTCGCGCGGCGAAATTCAATGTCTCGATCGCTTCTTTGCGCGTGCCCACCGCTGACCCGGTGATGGTGAGTTGTTGAGAAATCATACGTCCAGGGAATGCGGTCGCAATGGCCTGGGGTGCGTTCTCGGGAATGCCTACGCAGACGAGCGTGCCGTTGAAGCGCAGGAACAGCGGGGCTTGGGCGTAGGCGATGTTGGATGCAGTGCATACCAGTACGGCGTGTGCGCCCAGGCCGTCGGCTAGGGATTTGATGTGAGCGGCGATAGCTGCGCCCTTGTCATCACGAGGGAACTGGGTGATGTCGACGAAGTGCTCGGCGCCCGAAGCCTTGACGAGCTCTTCTTTGCAGCCGTGGTCAATCCCGATCACCCGGAATCCCATGCCCTTGCTTGCGAGTTGCACGGCGAGATGGCCGAGGCCACCTCCGGCGCCGGAGATTACGACCCATTGGCCCGGTCGGGCGTTGCTGCGCTTGAGAGCAGAGTAGACGGTCACCCCGGCGCAGAGCATCGGGGCTGCTTCGTCCGATGCGAGGCCGTCCGGGATCGGGGTCACATAGTTGGCTGGGCCGAGGGTGTACTGTTGGAATGTGCCGGGGGTGTAGTATCCGGAGACCTTACGGTTGAAGCAGATCCCGTCCGCGCCCGCGTGACATGGTTCTATCGTTGCCATTGTCAATATAGGTCTGCCTGGGATCATGGGATGGATAGGATAGACGCCACCCACCGCAATTTCCGCATATACCGGAAACCCATTTGATTCCTACTCTGTCGCCGATCTTCAGGCCGGAATTCTCGGTTCCAGGACCCAGCGTCACGATCTTACCGACTCCTTCATGGCCGCCAACCTGGCCTGCCGGTGTGGGGTCGGGGAGGCTGCTCCACTAGTCAAGTTAGAATGGATATGCAGCTGGAATACAGCTCACTACTCACAGTGTTGGTCATTACTCCATAGTCAGAGTGGCAGACGCCTGAATGGGTGCTTCAGATCCCCGTTAGTCGAATGAATCATTGTACTGGTCTCGATAAAACTTCATGGATGTTGTATGGGTGGACACGCTGCACCAGACACTAGAAAAGAATGCGCCACGTACAGATTGATCAAGACTTCACCCACCCCAGGCTCGGGCACATCTAACTCGACGACTTTCGTAGACACAGTGCCGGGCTGGTCATAGATGGTAGCCTTCTGCTTTGCTGGAATTTCCGGCATAGCTGCACCACCGTTGCCATCAGTAGACGCAGTCATGTTCGCAGGGCTATGGTATCTTCGTTGTTGTAGAGAGAGGGAAGCGAAACCCAGCGATCGCAGACCAAGGATGCAACCTCTCTTTATCCCCGCCCCCCCCAGTCGATACGCTAAATGAACTGGGATCATCCTGACGGATCATTGCCGGTACTGGCCAAGAAACAGGCCGTTCGTACGACCGCGTAGATTGCTGAGTCTCAGATCTCCATCATTGAAAGAAGCGAGACCGCCGTCAACTGCAACCGAGGCACAGTCCGGGGTATGACATCGTCATTCGCCATACCCCTCTTTCTTTGAGTCTGGAGAATACCTCCTGACAACTGAGAAGCTCGTATAATTCCCCGCCATAACCTAGGCATCGAGGAATCCCCACCGCCGAAGCCAAACCATCTCTGGCCGAAGTGCGATTGGTGAGGGGTAACGGATTGCCCGAAATTGGGTCTGTCGTGGAGCTGGAGGATCCCAAACGACGAAAAAAGCAGCGATGGGCCCTGGGGCCATCCCCCAGATATATAAAGCCTTGTTCTATAGCTGGTAAGCCACAGAAGGTCTTCAAGCATGCCGCCCGTCGGGGGAAAGTAGAGACCAGAGACGAGGATGCCGGCTGGGCTCGGGCCAAAGCCCCCCCGATGGGCTGGCCAGCCAGCACCAATGGATCTCCCCGCACTGGGTGACATCGCATGATGACCGACTGCATTTCCCCTCTTCGACAGCTGTTCGCCTGCCATTGCACCGTAGTTAGCCCTCCTCTGCTTCAGCTTCATAGTTGCCTTCTTTCTTCCCCGTCCCAGCCCTCCAACCCTCCGACCCTCCCACCCCGCACTCACCACGAACCTCGGGATCACCGCCGAACAAAGAAAACATCCGTGACAATGCCGACGCCAATCATCGACTCTCATATTCATCTCTTCCCAGAATCGCATCTCCGCACCCTGGCCTGGTATGGACCCGGCAGCCCTCTAGGATCCCAGCACTCAATCGACGAGTATCGCCTCGCAACAGCCTCCACTCCCGCCTCCCCGGACTCAGCCCAACCGCTCTATCTCAGGGGTTTCATATTCCTCGAAACCGACCGTATCTCCTCAGTCGAAGAGGCAGGACAGGGTGGCTGGTCCCTCGCCCTCGACGAGGTCTCCTTCCTTACTCGGATTATCACTGGAGAGCCCGTCCCCGGGGAAGGACACAAAGATGTAGATCGCGAGCTCTGTCTGGGCATAGTGCCCTGGGCACCTGTTCCCGGAGGCCCTGCTGCTCTGGAGAAGTACATGGCACAGGTGAAAGAACGGACCCGAACAGAGGAAGCACACAAAAAGGTTCGTGGAGTTCGGTACCTGGTTCAGGATAAGCCGAGAGGAGTCATGCTCGAGTCCGGTTTCATTGAAGGGTTGAAATGGCTGGGAAGGCAGCAGTTAATCTTTGATCTTGGGGTGGATGCCCGGCAAGGCGGGATTTGGCAGCTGAGGGAGGCTGCCGAGATGATCAATAAGGTCTACCATGGCGTGGAGAAGAAGGATAGAGTCAAGATCATTATTAGTATGCCCCGTCCTCAACACGGTGAGATGTGTTATTCCTAACACGCTGGGTTTAGATCACTTGTGCAAGCCGAATCTTCGGCTTCCATTCTCGTCGCCTGATTCTATCGCTACACACCCAGATTTCCTGGAATGGAGCTCCCTCGTCACGGCCATGGCTCAGCATTCGTCCACGTATATGAAGCTTTCCGGTGGATTCTCAGAGTTGCTCCCGCTTGTGGCCGAGTCGGAGCCCGATATTGCGTCCCTGGTTGAGCAGATTCGGTTATGGACGGATGTCGTCTTTGATGCTTTCGGGCCGGAGAGAGTCATGTTTGGGTCTGACTGGCCGGTGTGTAATGTGGGTGGAGGCGGTAATTCAGTGGCTTGGAGACGTTGGAAGAGTGTGGTGGAGGGTATCCTGGAGCGGAGAGGTCTATCCCAGGACCAAAAGGAAGGCGTCTGGGGCGGAGTTGCAGTCAAAGCATATGGGATTGAAATATAAATGTCATTCACACGCGAGAATATGTACACCGATTGCCAAGTATGTTCACATCAGAATGCAGGTCCATCACCCATCACCATCATAATTACTGGAGGTTCACAAAAAGCCCCCCATCCACAAGTATCTGCGCCCCGGTCTATCCAATAGTCAGCATTCACCCTCAAACCCAAATCAACCGAAGAAAACACAACACAGCACTTACCACATAACCACTCAACGCCTCACAAGCCAAAAACACCGCCGGACCAGCCAAATCCGGCGGCTGTCCCAATCGGCCCAACGGAATTCTCCCCTCCATATATGTCCTCTTCACCGGATCACTCATATCCTCATCATTCAACTGAGTCCGGATCGTCCCCGGCAGGAGCGCATTACATCTGATCCCATATTTCCCCAACGCCACAGCACACGACTGCATCAGGCTAAGAACCCCCGCTTTCGTAGGCGTATAATGCGTCTGCTGTCCACCCCCAACAAGCGCCGAGATCGAACTGATTCCGATAATCGACCCGCCGGGTGGAGATTGGGCCAGCGCCATTTGTCGTGCTGCTGCCTGCGTCGCCCAGAATGCCCCGGATAGGTTGGTGTTTATCGTGTGGCCGAGGAGGGGAGGGTCGACTCTATGTTGAGATGGATGTTAGTGACATACCCGCCATATCCTGTCAGACACACTACACACGTAGAAGGATTGGAGTCGGGGGATAACTCACTCCAAAAACTCCTCAAACTTGCACACTCCCGCATTACTCACAAACACATCCAATCGACCAAATGCCTCCACAGCCTTTGCGACAAAATCCCGCCCAGTTTCTGGCTGTGTGATATCGCCCGCGACAAGGAGGAATCTGTTTTCGGTGTCGGATCCGGTGATAAAGGATACGTCGTTGCGCATGGCTTCGATGAGTGTTTCTTCTTTCGGTCCGCCCAGGTGGTTGACGGCTACTTTGGCGCCGTGGCGGAGGTAGTCCAGAGCGATGGCCTAGATGAATGTTAGGAGGATTTGGTACTCGTGTTTTTGGTTGGCTCTTTGTGTGCCTCACCCGTCCGATGCCGGTTAAACCGCCTGTGATGGCGGCGACTTTACCGACTAGGAGTTGTGGGAGGGGCATTGTGATGTTGGTTTCAGTGGGAGCTCTTCGAGAGGGATTGAGCAGTTGGCTGAGGATTGATGTTGGCTGTTCACTGAACTGCTGTCTTGTAGATAAATATTCTCCTATGCTGGTGTTTCTGGTCCACCCCCGCCGGGTGATAAGATACTACGATGTGGAGTCCGCCTCGGGCATTTCGTGGTATTGTTGCCCCGAACCCCCACATTTTGTGGTTACCCCACACTGGATGTTGGGAAGGCATTCTGTCCAAGTCACGTAGGGTCCCTTGTCCCTATCTATTATTCGGAATCTGTAAGAAAATTGTTTCATGTATACATGCGAGGCCAAAGAACTACAAAATGGAAAATGCCACCCAGCAGCCTGCGAATCTAAAATGTGCCGGGAATACACGCTTAAGCCGTGCCGTTAGATTCCGGCTGGCTCTCAACAGGAGCAACCAATGCTTTCTGAGGAGCAGGAGTGAGGATAGATGATGCGGGAATGAGGGGAGCCGCCGGGTTCAGCTCAAGTCCGAAGCCCGGCTTGTCCAAAATTGAAACATCGAGATATCCCTGGGTAGGAATAGGTTCGTTCAGGAACATGTTCCCGAAGACGGGCTCAACTGTCTTTCCATCGGCAGAGTTGGCCAGATACTCCTGGAATGGCGTGTTGGGTTGTGAAACCACAAAGTGGTACGAGTAAGGCCCAGATGCATGGGGGACAACCGGGATATCGTAGGCGCTGGCAAGCGCCGAGACCTTCAGCAGCTCCGTCATGCCACCGACCCACATGACATCGGGTTGGATAATGTCCAAGTTGCGACCCTCCACGAGCTTTCGGAAACCGTATCGCGAGTACTCATGCTCACCGGTGGTGAACTTGACCGTGGGGTGGGCTCGCTTCAAGAGCGCATGGCCATCAAAGTCATCGGGAGTCAAACACTCCTCCCACCAGTCAATGTTGATGCCTTCCGCCTCGCAACGTTTGACGAGCTCAATGGTGTAGGGAACGTTCAAGGACATGTAGCAGTCGACGCGCAATGGGAAGTTGGGCCCGACTGATTCCCGCTGCTGACGGAGGTATTCCACGTTCTTCAACAGTCCTTCCGTACCCTCATCCGGACCGTGAGGAAGGGCAACCTTGGCTCCGGAGAAGCCCATTGCCTTGGCTGAAGCGGGCTGCGGACCAGTGCAGTAAAAGTCCAGGCGTGAGCGAGTCGCCCCGCCAATGAGTTTGTAGACGGGCTCGTTGCGAATCTTGCCCAAGAGGTCCCAAATAGCCAAGTCAATCACCGAGATGACGGCAACGGGGAGACCCTTTCTGCCGTAGAACATCGAACCCCGGTACATCTTCTCGAATAGATCATTGGTATCCCGTGGGTCTAAAAAGACAGGTGAATATCAGCTTGGCTGCTATATTGATCATGGATGGTATGGTCAAGGTAATTCGCACCTGCACCGAGCAAGAAACGCTCAAAGTGTTGATGGACCAGCCAGCAAGCGGGGGGGCCACCGAATCCAGTGGCAAACCCCTTGGTTCCGTCGGTAGCTTCGATTTCGACGCAGAAGGACCCCAAGACGTTGATTCCCCATGACGTGCGGGAGCCACGGTATTGAGCCCAGCGAGTCATGGGGGTGGAGATGTTGCTGTCAATGAGCCAGTGGCCCCCTTTGACCTATCACGAGCGGGAGTTTTAGTGCTGCGTCAGGAAGATCCAAGTGTTGCCGAGCTTACATTGTGGTAGTCACCTCCAGATCCCACCCCATCAATGATGAAGGTGCGGATTTCTTTGATGCGGGGAAATTGTCCAATAGAGCCCATGGTGGTGGTAGTCTGACAGAAGAGGTATGAACAGGATCGCGGATGCTAGAGAGAGAAAACAAAAAAGAAGGAGAAGCCAACTTCGGCCAGGGGAGAATGTCCCATATTTGAAAGCATACGAACAGGCCGGCGTCGAGGGGCAACCCGTGAACTTCCCCTCGGTTGAGTCGCGATGGCTCGGGGCAATGCTACCCCGAGCTTGTCAGGATGAATGGATGACCAGGGCTGCATGCTTGGACGGGTGAACGGACCCTGCGGAGCGGCATAGTTAACCACTCCCCTGGTTAGTCATTCTGCCTCCCCAGAGTTCTTCAGCCTGCGTAGTTCCTTCATTCCATGGATGATGGATGGTTGTGGAGGTGGCCGGGTTTTGCGGGGTCCCCCGGGTGTTTTCTTGGCTCAGGCCATGCCAGCCCGACGCCCTTCGTCGCTCTCCTTCCCTTTCATTTTCTCTATTCTCCTTTGTTTCGCCTGCTCTACGCAATTCCTCCTCTTACTCTCTGGGCAGACTCGGTCTAATTTCCCCGACATCCGCCTCTCGTGCCAGGATGCTTCATCGCTGCTGATCCAACTGCCGTGGCTGGATATCGGTACAACCCCGGACTCGCTAAAGTACCATGCCGACCACTGCTGCAGCTGCCTCTGCTCAACAGACTCCACCGCCATCCCGATTCCATGGCGATCTGGAACGGGAGAACAGCGGGGATGAATCCTGGTCCGCGGTCGATAGCGATAATGATCGTGTTGCGCAGAACGGGTCGAGCGTCCCTCGTGCGCTGAAACGTAAACGACCCCTCACAGTGTCGTACGTACCAGTCCCATGCTCCCTACAACCTTCCAAGGGCACAGATCCTGTTTGGGCATACTGTTCTTGCTCAATCCTTGACTCTTTCTTTCGAGATACGGTGCGGAGGGCCAGCTCATTGGACGTCATACTAACCGACTAAGATGCGAACTATGTAAGCAGAGAAAAGTCAAATGCGGTAAGGATGCCCCTCCATACTGTGGCTCCCCTCATGCCAATTTCTTGCTGGATAAGCATCCAAGCTAACGAGCGTAGATCGAGCCCAGCCTAGTTGTGGGTGGTGTGCCCGCAATGGCCAACTGTGTGAGTATAAGGAGCGGAAGAAGCCTGGTCTTCGCGCAGGTTATGGCAAGGAGTTGGAACAAAGGCTAGGTGTGTCTCTAGTCTCAAATGATGCCTCTCTGGCTTGGATTTGCTACTCACTAGACAAACAGATCGGTTAGAGGAGGTCATCCAGACACAGGCCCGCCTTATCGAGACGCATATTCTGCACAGCCAACCCAGCAGGAGTCACGAAATCCCCGGGCCAGGACCATTCTCTTACAGTTCCCCTTCAGAGCCAGCTCAGGGCCCTAGCCCTCATAATGCATTCTATTTTCATGAGCCACCACCAATGGTTCCACCGCCGCGTCCGTCTGATGCATCCATCACCAGCCCCTCGGACATATCAGCCAAGAACACCATACATAGCCACCTTTCAACTGCCATGCCTGCGCCAAGTTCTATACAATCAGCGTCGAATAACCCGCCCCACAACGATTATACAGGGAATGAATCGTCGCTAAAAGTCCCGGTCAATCTCTATGCCAATCAGGAACAGTCACTGGCGGATCCAGAGCTTGACCTACCGCCGTACGATCTGTTGTATGCGCTGGTGGACCTTTACTTTGAACATATCAATACTTGGTGTCCCGTTCTTCATCGTCGCACCACTCTGGACACCTTTTTTGGTCCGTCTCCACTTGAAGAGGCGGATAGAACGGTGCTATACGCTATCGTTGCGACGACACTTCGCTTCTCAAGTGACAGTCGGCTTAACGAACAGAACCGCAAACGGTATCATGACTCCTCAAAGCAGAAGGTACTGCTTTACGGACTCGAAAACTCATCGGTCAAGGCCCTCCAAGCGCTGGTGATTCTGGCTCTGGATCTCGTGGGATCTTCCAACGGTCCTCCCGGGTGGAAGCTGCTTGCACTGATTACGCGGTCCGTGGTCCAGCTGGGACTAGCCGTAGAGGCCAAATCTTCACTCATTGCTCCTAGCTACCCCTCCATCTATACTCTCAGAGCTGTCACGCTGCCAGAACCCGAATCTTGGATTGAAGACGAAAGCAGGCGGAGGCTTTTCTGGATGGTATACCTGCTGGACCGTTATTCTACCATTGCAACCGCCTTTGATTTTGCCTTGGACGATAAAGACATTGACCGGAAGCTCCCATGTAAAGACGAATACTTCCTCAAAAGCCAGCCGGTCGAAACCAGATGGTTTCAACGATCGAGTGACCGTGCTGATTACGTGACGCGTGCCGAAAATGTTGGAACCTTCGGACTCTATGTCGAAGTGCTGGGAATTCTCTCTCGGATCCATACATTTCTAAAGCGACCCGTTGACATAGGGGCTTTGTCGGATGTTGAAGAGTGGCAGGCTACATACCGCAAGTTGGACAGCGAGTTGACCTCTTGGGAATTCGGCCTCCCAGCCGAATATGCCTACGAAAACTCATCCCGGCTGTTCAGTGGTTCGAAGAGCACCAAGGGAGTCCATTGCGATTGGGTTCAGCTTCATGCCACGTATCAAACGTGAGTATCATTATCCATTCTATCGTCGAGCCATCACCTAGACCTACTAACCTTATTCTTTCTTACAGTGCGGTTATTCGGCTTCATTCGTCAGCAGCATACCCAACCACGCGATCTCCAATATTCACCCCTTCTTACAGTGCAAGCCAGCGATGCTTACTTGCAGTCGACAACATCCTTTCCGTGACTCATTTTGTCGTGGACAACAACATGCTCGATAAACTGGGACCCCCGTTTGCCTTTACCCTTTGGGTTTCAGCTCGATTGTTACTTGTCCACGGATCTACGATAGCTCACACGGTTAGCCCTGATATACTGTTCTTCGTCGACACACTTGCCCAGATGGGGAAGTACTGGAAGGTAGCAGAACGCTACAGTTCAATTCTGCAACGTGTCCTCGACGAATACGGGGAATACCAACAATCCGGCGTATCCGACTGCGAGCGAGCCACGCCATCCACCGTAAAGATACTCGCAGACATGCGTCGTTGTGCATTCGACCTAGACTTTCTCATCTCACGGCAACCGCGCACATCTCCAGCCAGTAGCCAGCGGTCGGCGCCCGCAGCGACAGTCAGAAATCCGGCTCCCAATGAACTTGAATACCTCGACGTGTTCGGTTTCTTCAATGTCCCGCGTGTTCCAGCCGCTCGAGCTCCAGATATACTCAGTCTGGACATCAGCGATCCAGTCAACAATCCAATGTCAGTCAATGGGTTGACTGGGGCTGGCAACGCCAATCACGTCGTTGATGGGACGCACTCCAACACCAACGAATTCAATATCACAAACTACTTGATTCCAACCCCCGAGACTGATTGGCTCTTTCGTCCTAGCGGATGAATGAAACCGGGTGATTCATTCCCGTGTCTGACGAATATCTCACTTCAAGGCAGTGGAAACTTCCTTCCAGGCTATGCTACATAGCTAGGGAGAGATCCCACATTTCTGGTGATATGGTATATACCATCACAACTCTCGAGATCTGCTGGCATGAGTAGGCAGCTACTGGCTTCGTCGAGGTACTCCCTTCGAGTGCTGATTGTATGAGGCGAACAAGTCCTGGAGTTTTACGGTCCTAGCCTGATGTGTTCATACACAAGGCTTGCTCGAATTCCATGTCTCATATTCAACCGGGATCTGGTCGGTTTCATGATCCATCCGAGCAGTGCATCACCCGGATTCCTGTAATTCTATTCCTGTCATACTAGGTACATAAGTGCACCGGCATTGATAGACAATCCAGAAACAAATCACGTTACCCTCACGTCATTCTGTTATCCTTACATGCAGAGGAAGAAAAGAAGAAGGAGAAAAAAAAAAAAACGAAACGGGATAGAAACTTGAAGGCTGTGCCATGTATCCACAGACGTAATCAGAAAAGTGGGAAAAGAAGGCCAAATTCCTTTAAGGCAGCTTCTGTTTACTAAATCAGTTGAAGGTTCCAGCCCAGAAATCTCCAGGATAGCAAGATGAAGAAAAGCGGGGAATAAAAAGGACTCCAAATCTGACGCCTGTGAAATCTTATGAGACGCGGGGGCCAACCGGGCATGGAGCACCAACAACAGAGCTTTTATGCATTGGGATCAGTCCCACCAAGCTTGTCCTGTCAGGCTCTCTAGCGAGAGGGCGTCAGAGATAAACGAAGAGGGTGGTTTTGCAAAATGGAGGGTATTAAGTGAGTCAAACAAAGACACACAAAAGCCAAGGTTGATTGGGCAGCTGCCATGATGGTGGACAAGATATTTCAAGTCCGATCACAGAGCCATTCCATGCGGTAATTGCTCCATCCGATCGAAGTTGGGGTGGTATGTTCTTGCTCGAAGTGGAAGAATCTCTCTTAAAATCCAGCCTCTCAGGATGGAATCTGCGCTATGAATTGCGCCATGCTCAAGAACTGAGCCGTATCTAGGCTCTACTTGGGTTTGAATCAGAGTCAGATGGCTCAACTCGGACAAGGATCTCTTCCAGAAAGCCTTCCAAAAACGAGGTCACTTGGGCGCCCATCCCCACAGGTGCCTCATTATCCCACCGCTCAATCCTTGTAAACATGTTGCAAACATCGCCCACCAGGCTTTCCATCATCGCGTGAACGTAGTCCTGTCGTGACTGGTGGTCATACATGTTGTCGCCAGCATCCCTAGAGGAGTTACGTGAAACGAGTTCCAGACGCCGTGTCCGCCGACGGATGGCTGCTTTGAGTGCAGGTAATATAACGCTGTTCAGAGCTGTCATCTCATTCGACGAGGGCAAATGGCTTGCCTCCCGCGCTCTTTCATCGAGTGCTCCATCAGTTGTGTTATGGAGCTGGAAATAGTCAGGCCTGACGGCTGAAGGCTGAGGATCATGCACCGGAGCTTGCTGGGGTCGTGGTGACAGATGCTTTGGTGTGGGAGGGTGTCTGTCATGGGGCTGTGAAAACGACTGACGTTGTGGATGAGGTTCCATGGCAGGTCTAGCGTTCTGATCCGCGAGATTCGAAACTGGTTGAGCCGGCATGCGTCCCTGATACGACGGCTCCTCCGGAAATTGTGGCTGTCGGGCCTTTTGATACCCTTGTACGGCTGGAGGAGCACCTCGGTCCTTCGCGGCAGCCGATGGGGTGCCTGGGGAGCGATCGAGCTGGAGGAAACTCAGGTCCTCAGCCAGAGCTTGTTGCAGGGCCCTATCATATTCGCTACCGGGGCTTCCCTTTGGTTGACGCGAGACTGGCTGTTGTAGGTGCGATGGTGTCTGTGGTGGGAGATCTCCCGGCGTTTGCTTGATGGGAGATGGTGGCAATGGGATCTTGGTTGGTGACAATGGTTTAGGGACAGCACTTGGTATATGCTTCGTTTGCAGGGGTGCAGAAGGTATACTGTTCTTTGGTCGTAACATATCTCTGCGATGCTCGTCTTTCATGTTCCACTCATTGGTTTCATGAATCCGCGCATTCATGTCCGCTTCTTTCATCGGCTTCAGAGCGGATGCGCGTCCCGCAGGCCGCACGGTACCAAAATCCCATAGATCATCCTCGTCTTCAGGTGAAGAGGTCTTTGCCAAGGGTTCCTGAACCGCTTCCTCTTCTTCTTCAGACCCCTTATTCCCATGGACTGCATTCCAGCGCTCGTAGCGCTCGATTAGCTCCGTCAAGTAGGTCGTCTTCTTTGCTCTTTTGATGAAAGGGTGCTCTAGCAGCTCTCTGGCTGAGGGACGTTCCCTAGGATCTCGTCTTAAACAAAGCTCAACGAAGTTCTTGAAGGCCTTGCTGTAATCGCCCTGTAATGTCGGCGGGGGGTTCTTGGGAATCAAGAACAACACTTTCATAGGGTGGATATCCGAGTAAGGGGGTTCCCCATTGGCCAACTCAATGGCGGTGATTCCAAGAGACCAAATATCGGCCTTGTAATCATATCCAGATTGTTTGATTACCTCGGGTGCCATCCAAAATGGAGTCCCGACGAAAGTATTCTTCTTAGTCATGGTAGCTGAGAGTTGGCTGGAAACGCCGAAATCAGCCAATTTCACTTGTCCGCTGGAGGTAAGCAAGATGTTTGCGGCTGTCGACTATGTTAGCCTCGCAAGGAAGATTAGAGGAGGAGAGAGCGGGTGGCACCTTTGACGTCCCGATGCAGCTTCTTATCGCTATGCAAGTAGTCTAGTCCTCGGAGTAGCTCTTTTATGATGATCATGATATACTCCTCCGGAATCGTTCCGGGGCGCATCAGATCGGAGCAACTTCCCCCGGAGCAGAACTCCATGATGATCCACAAGCTGGACCCTTTCAAGAACGACCCATGGTATCGCGTGACATAAGGGGAGTTGAGTTCCGATAAGATTGCAATCTCTTGGATAATATCTTCGACCTCATCTTCGGCATTTTCGACATCGATTATCTTGATTGCAACGGAGGCACCGGTACGCTTATCGACGCTGGGTTCAATGGCAGTGTAAGTCAAATATAACTCAAAATTGTGGGAGATAGACGAGACAGGAGAGCTGTGGCATGGCATACCCTTTGTAGACCCGTCCGAAGCTCCCGCCACCTGCAACCGCCGAGTTAGGAGCTTTGATTCCGCGGTGGGATGACTCCCGCCCTGTTTGAATACGTACCAATGCAGTTCTGCTTCATGTAAATCGTCTCTGGATCCACTAGGCCTTCCATCTTGACTGTGCTTGCCGCGGGCGCAAGAGGTGGTAATGGTCAATTGTCTCACTTGGTTCTGCAACACTCAAGCGAAGATTAGCATCTGGCATCAAGAGCGGAATGAATTCTGTGGAATGGAAGGCCCCATGCGGGAAAGTTGAGAACATATAAGAATAAGATTATAACCGATTGTGGAGGGTCCAGGCTGACATACCTATTGCCCAGGCTAGGCTAGGAGGTGTAGGTAGGGCTTAGATGGGAAACACGCAAAGAAAGGAGACATTGAAGTGCGGCATCTATCGATGGTCGTGCCCCAAAAGGAAATGCTATTTAGAATAGACTCCGGGAGGAATCCGTGGGAGAGGCTGACGTTGACTCGATTCCGATTGTTTTGGGGGAGACAATCGACGGCCGACAGCTGAGGCGCAGACTGGGCGTGTCTCAGAGAAGGGAGAGCAAAGGCACAGCCACCGATCCTTGCGTGCACGCTAGAAAGTCCGGCAGCAAGGGTTGAAGATCGGCGATATAGAAGGCAGATAGATAAAATGGAATCTAGATGGAGAAGGGATTGGGGGGTTCCCTTGCATGGAATCGGAGGACAACAATGGGACCGCTTAGGTTGGAACCGGACAGGAACAGGAAGCGCCCGGTGATTATGATTGGGGCAACGCGGGGTTCTTTTGCCGGGCGGTCAGCCTGTCGCCCCACCACTCAGCGCGCCCGCTTCGGCAGGCGGTGGGCGGGAACTATACAAGGAGGGGATCAATGATGATCCCTCTCTCCTTTGATATCTTTTATGGTTTCTTGTTATTTTTCTTTTCCTTTTTTTTTTTTTTCATTTTTTTTTCATGTATTCATTAAAATTTCCTTCCTGCATCCTCGTATACCGAGAGTAATTAGCTGAACAAGGATGACAGACTGTCCATGACAGGAGGATGATTCCCAGCACGCATGCTTTGCTTCCAGAGAAATGCCCATTTGTGTCAAACGAAGGCATCCATCCCCAACGATCGTAGTCGCTAGAAGAGCAACAGGCCCCGGGCTTGACCTCCCCTTGGGCTTCCAGCCAGGACCTCCAATCTCTACCTCCTGTGCAACATCCAATGTCCGCAAGCCATGTCCCTGACTACTCCTCCAGATATCCTATCATGACCGTCCCGTTCTTGAGTCCAGCATCGGTAATGGTCTGGTCCAACGAGTCAATCAGATTGCGGCCCATGGCATTGAGTTCAAACTCTACTCCGGCTTTATCGGCCAACGGGGGATCGGCCTTCAGCCATTCATAAATCCGCTGGACAGGGTCCGTCAAAGCGAAACGCCGAATCACCCGCCCAGATGGGTGCCGGAACTGAATGCGCGTGGTGGTAGCAGGGTCTGCGGGGGGCTCCGTATGGAATCGGTCGTCCGGGATTGATGAGAATGCGCTATGTTCGGGTTGGTCGGCCTCTTCCATGTCGATATCATCATCTACAGCCCTTCCCTTGCCCTTCACATCTTCGGTGCTGCGAGTGAGGTCATCAGGGTCCTCCACCTTCGGGGCTTGTGACGCCTCGTCACCCAGACTGTTTCTCATGGCCATCTCCAACATTTCTTCCTCGGTCATTGCATCGATGCTTTTCTCTTTCTTCTCCGGTTTCCGCTTCGCCACAGGGTTTCGCACATTGTGCTTCAGACTGTAGCGGTCGAGGAATTCGTGAAGCTGCATTAGGAAATCCGCGGCCTTGATTACGGGTGGCCCCGACCAGACCTTCATCTGCTCTCCAGTCCGTGGATCAACAATGGCAATATGAGGATAATTATCAGAGACGTCGCTCGCCTGGAAGTAGTATTGCAAGTACGGTCCTGCACGAGGGTCATCTTTGGAGTACTGCATGAAGATGAAATGTTCCTTAACGGTATCTTTCACCGCAGGATCCTTCCAGAGGTCTCTGTTCAGAACCTGGCAGTCAAAGACAGAAGGGTCCTGGATGTTGACCATCAGCCACCTTTCATTGTCGCGGCCTTCCTGTCGAGCCAGATCCCATGGAAGTCTAGACATGATGTCAAACGGAGGGCGATACATCTCGGCCAGCATATTCGACTTGTTCGAGGCCTCGGAAGCCCCTCCAGTCGCTGCAGCCAGCCTTTCACGCTGTGAGGCTTCATCATCCCCACTCCATATCGATGTGTCTCTCTGGTTGAAGATTCCGGGACGGTCTAAGGCGAAACGGAGTTAGTTACAGCATCGCAAGAGAAAATTCCGGAGAGGAAAGGTAAATTCTAACTGTTTCGCTGCTGGCGCGCGCGCAGTTGGCCCAATATGCTCGCATGCATATCGCCATCGTCAAAGTCCGCTTCAGGCCCCACCAGGGTCTCCGTCGTCCGAGCCATCGGCGCACGCACACTTTCTTCACTATCTCCTGCCCCGTACATTTCTTCTTGGAGACGGCGAGCCATGGCCGCATCATCTTCAAAGGTAGCGCCTTGCGATGGGTGATTCCGGGGCGCAGAACGAGTCTCGTCTATCGTGATATCGTCATCTGAGTCGACATTAACAACTCCGCCGCCAGCATGGGAGGGTTGCTGAGGGGTGGAGGTCGATGGTAAGGGCTCTTCAGTCAGTGGTGCACCGCCATTCTCGAAGAAAAGCTGTACAGCCTGCTCGATGTTGAAATCAGCCAGCTGCAGATACTGGGTGGCCAGCTCTGGCTTTGAGCCGGTGATCTCAGTGAACTGTGCCACCACATCGCCGTCCATGGCGGACACAAGGCACCGAGAAGATATGAAGGGTAAAGCGACCGAGGGAAGACGAGGGGATATCAGGTCACCGTGAGGGGGGGTCGTATGCAACAGAGTCCAACACAAACGTCGAAGGTAAGTGAGGTGATGCAAACAGCTGCAAACTGCAATGGAGGTGCGAGGCGGTGATCGATGAGATTAAAGCGATGAAGTTGAGATAGTTTGGGTGTATGATCGTAGATGGGAGCATGGAAGAAAGAGAGCTTCCTCAGGGTTCCACACGAGTGCTCCAGGAGATAGTGCAAGGGGATGAAGCACAAACAACCAGGATCAGTTGTGTTAATACCTAGTGCAATCATTAGGTAGACTTGGTGACGCACTCCCCAGTTCCCACGGACGAGCGGATAATCAGGCGGTCCGATCCTGTGGCTTCACGCCTCAGGCATGTGCCAGTGAGTACCCCGCCGGGTGACCGTGACTGGCCGGGGCGCGTCAGCCGCCAATCTTATCACGTGATGAGATCGATCCACGCGTAACGCGCCCAGCTGAACGCGTCGAGATGCAACGCGGGTGAGAACTTCATTATGCCTCCTTGGGAAAATGGCTGCTTGCACCTCTCCACCCTAGTCTAATCGTAATATACTCCCCCAACACCCGCACTTTCCCTTCTCACCATCGATGATCCCACCCCCTGTTTATCTCCCCTCCCCGGTTGCTCTTGCTCTTATTGAGACTGGATCCATCATATCATGGCTGCTTCGGTCCTAGGCAAGCGCCAGCGGGCTGCTATCGAGGCGGAAGGTACGACTACCACTTTGCTTCTTCCCATGACCTCTTGCTGACATCCTTTCGTAATAGTTCCAGCATTGCCGGTGCGCAGGGCAAGCAGGCGCCGGACCCAAGCACCTCGCGTCCAGGAAGAAAGTGTACCCTCTGCACCCCAAACACGCCAACTAAGGTCAAGGACGAGGAATGCCAGCGCTATCCAAGAAGAAGACCAGAACGAACCCAGGGACATCCCAGTCGAAAACGATCAACCGAAGCGTACTGTACGAGTCAGCAAGGCTGCGTCACCTGTTAAGCGCAGTCACACTTCAGATCCGGTTAATGGTAGGATTCATACACACGTCTATTGAACTACGCCTAACATGTCTAGATGAAAATGCGACCCCAGTTGAGCTCAAAACTCCTTCAAAATCTCGATACCGCGATGTGCTCGATTCTCCCCCAATCACACCTAAACACCGGGTCCAAATTGGCGGGAAATCTTTGACTCCGCGAACGCCTCGACACATAGAAACACCGACGACTACACAGACGATCTATTCTCAAGCCAGGCAGCTATTTGCGCGAGGTGCAACTTCAAGTCGAATAGTGGGCCGAGACACTGAACGGGATAAGTTGGTCTCGTTCATTCAAGATGGTATCGCGGCACGCAAAGGTGGCTGTCTGTATGTCAGCGGTCCTCCGGGCACCGGAAAGAGTGCATTGGTTCAAGAGGTATGCCACGACATGGACTTGGAGTCTCTCAAAATTGCACACCTCAATTGTGCAAGCATGCGGGGTGCCCGTGACGTCTACAGCAGGCTCATCGGCGATCTGTGTGACGATCATGAGGTGTTCAAGAAGAGCGAGGCAGACAGGGTGCAAATGATGTTTACATCTGACGAAGAAGATGACATGTTCTTGGTCACTTTGGATGAAATCGACCATCTCCTCACCGCGGATTCTGGCATTCTTCAGTCCCTATTCGAGTGGTCGCTACAGGAAAATTCGCGGCTCCTGCTCATCGGAATTGCCAATGCGCTGGACTTGACTGATCGGTCACTTCCACAGTTGAAGGCCAAGAACCTGAAACCACGCTTGCTTCCATTTTTGCCTTATAATGCAGGCCAGATTGCCGGCGTAATCACGAATCGTCTTCGTTCTTTACTCCCAGAAGGTCAAACGGTGGAACCCAGTTTCATTCCTTTCGTCCAACCAGCAGCCATCCAGTTATGCTCCAAGAAGGTGGCATCACAAACCGGTGATCTACGGAAGGCATTCGAACTGGTTAAGCGCGCCATTGATCTTATCGAACAGGAAGCACTCCGAAAGCTCGAGACCCAAACCGCCAACACCGAGAGTCCTTCCAAGACCATTCTCGCTGAGAATAACAATCTTTCGTCGTCTTCAAAAACATCTGCATCTAAGCAAACCCCTACAATGACTTATACTGCAATCACGGCGCCACGAGCCAGTATTGCGCACGTTGCACGAATTACTTCATCGGCTTTCGGACAGGGAACGGTCCAACGACTCCAATGCCTTAATCTCCAGCAGAAGGCAGCCATCTGTGCCTTGATCGCCCTTGACCGGAAGCGGCGGCAAGGGGAGTTTCCGGCCACACCATCAAAGACCAAATACTTGGCCCCGACGATCAAGCAAGTATACGACACATACTGTACCTTATGTCGGCAAGACAATATCTTGCATCCTTTGACATCTACCGAGTTCAAAGACGTGCTCAGCAACTTGGAAACATTGGGCCTTGTTGGTGAATACCAAGGCCGAGGCCGAGGTGGCACTCTCGCTGGGGGCTCGGATTTGAGGCGCAGCCCTTCAAAGTCTCACGGCTCAATGACCCCTAGTCGAGCGTTGGATGAGCAGAGTCTGGTTTGTTTCGTCTCCCAAAAAGAGATCGAGACTCAGGTCACTGGACCAGGAGAAGGCATCCTTAGAAGGCTTCTCACAGGCCAAGGGCTATAAAACACTCCTTTGATTTCTTTTGTGTAATAAAACCAGCATACTTGGTCGTGCGGGGCCTACTGCGGGCAGTTGTTCCGTTCTATTGGTGTTGGATACGGGGTACAGATGCACATAACGTTTAGCGAGACTTTCAGCATTGGCATACGGCGTTACATACATAGAACCTATAAGATATGATAATGACAGCTTACAATAAATATCATGATGCATGAAAATGGAAGCAGATCGTAGATTTTTCTACATGCTCAAATCAAAGCACGTTGAGTCTTGATAAGATGCTATACAATGGAATCCGCAAAGGTCGCTTGTAGAGGAAAACCAAACGAGTTGGCAAGACAAGACAAGTCAAGTCAAGAGAGGGTGAGACATACAAGATGAATAGCTATGCATACAAAGAAGCAAAAAGAGAGATAAAGGTTGAGGGAAAATAAAGGTAAAAATCACAACGTACAGAAAAATGTTGGGTATGTAAAGAAGATAGGGCATATAGCTTCAAGACAAAGGAAACAACAAGACCGCCAAAGCAAACCATCTCAAGCAATAAGACCTGCTCCAGTTTGAGAGGGTGATGGCGTCACACGCGCGTCCACGTATCAATGCTCAATATACGAAAGCATGCTTAGGCTCCTGTCTTTCTTGTACTCCCCAAGAAGTAAGTGGTAGTAGCAGCGTCATCGTTCGTTCCTGATGGAGAAGAAGATAAGGGAACGGAGGGACAGTAGCAAGGCAGGCAGCCCTCTACACTTTTGTTGTCCCGAAGGCTTTTTGGTCATGGATACATCTAGTCATCGTCCATCGGCTTGTCTTCCAATGTGACGCCCTTCGGCTCGGTCTCAGCAAGACTGCTTCGCTTGCTGTCCGTTCCACTCTCCGTGCTTGAGACGGCGGGGAAGCTGGACCGGTTACCGAGACCAGGCTTGCGAGTATAAGAGACGCTGGACCGGGAGATCGACGAGCGCTTCTCGACTTCTTGGGTAGGAGTCGTGGTTGGAGTCACCGACTCGTCTGATTCAGCCACTGGGGGGGGACTGGAGCTACCCGACGAGGGGCTTGCGCTGGCGGTAGCGGAGGTAGGGGACTCGCTCAGCGCACCGTTGATGGTGTGTTCAGGCCCATTGATGTTCACGCTCGTCATATGTTCCGATGCAGTGGGAGACTCGCTGCTGATGGGAACATCCAGGCTGCTACGGGCGATGGCCCTCCGTTCAGTGGGGCTGGTCACGTTGATGGGAAACCGTCTGGTTTCCGAAGCGCCGCTGGAACGATCGCGGCGGTGCTTCTGGGGAGGAGCCGGACTGTTGGCCCGGCTGCGGTCGAGAATGGCACGGTTCCGGGCTTCCATTGCTGCCCGGCGGTTGCTCTCGTCGGTGCTGATGGCACGAGGACGGTTGGTGGTTCCGCTAATCCCCAGAACACTCGATTGGCGCTTCAATTCGCCAAAGATGGAGTCTTTATGAGCAAACAGATCGCGGATGAGGCGGTAGCTGTGACGCTCATTCATCGTAAGACTGCTCTCTGTGCGTGGGCGGAGAATGCAAGGAGACAGTGTCTGAGCAAGTGCAGAGACATAAGTTTCGTCGGCAGAAGTAAGGTCAATCAAGCGCGTGAAATGGGTCATAATAGCGTCAAGCGTGGCAATGTTGTTAAGACGGAGTTGTCCAAGGGTGCTCTGCAGGACCTTGATGCGTCCCTCTTCCGTGGTCTCATGAGCAGTGGTCGAGTAGATGGTCTTGACGATTTCGTAAACTTGAGAGGACACCAGGGAGTCTGGGACATTTGTTAGGCCTGCAGCGCAATTGATGACAAGAATGCACACGAACCTGGCAACTCAAGGAGGTACAACTTCAAGACGCTCGCGATGATAGGAATTTCGTATTTCTCCAAGATTTCGTTGTAATCGGCTTTACTGTTGTTGAGAGCGCTGCGGAGGTGATGCGTCGCCGCCAAAGGTACATCGTAAAGCCATATCGCACGTCGTGCCTCGTCGCCCTCAAGGTCGGGATAGCCTAGTGAGACGTCAGACTTAAATAGACCCAATCATTAGACCTTGAATCCGCTTACGGTTGTCAAGGTACGTCAGGAGAGTGGTCACCACGATGGGGACCCGCTTGCGATCGGCTCTTGCTCTCGCCTCGAGGTCAACGCCAAAGTTTTGATCTAATGCATGTCAGCGGTTAAGAATACCTGATAATACCCACGTGGGCAGGATGCATACCTTCCACCGAGCCGTAGTAATTCTCATAGGCTTGCACGCGAGGCACGAAACCTCCGGTCCGGTAGTTTTCCAGGAGATATCTGAGATCCCCTAGGGGCTGAATAGTCTCTTGGTATAGCATCATGTGGTCCACCGTGCTTTGCAAGTTGGGAATGACATTGCTGATTGCACCAGAGAAATCCAGGATCACGGCTTTGATTGCCTTGAGTCGATCGAGCTCACACTGCTCCATGAAGCGCAGGTTTTCAACAACCTCCTCCTCAAGCTTGCACCTGATCATGTCAAGCTTGCGCACCGCCGACTTGTACCGTTCATCGGCCTCGCGAGCTTCCCTGCGCAACTTATCCGCCGGCGTCTCGTTCGGGTACGGGTTGTTGAGAGGGTTCCAGCCGGCCAGCATCTCAGAAACAGAGGATAGTGGAGACTCACTGCCGTCCTCGCTCGTTGCCGCCGAGGTTACCCGCATGAGAGGCTTCTTCTTCTCTGGGATGCCTGTAATCTGGAACACTTTGGGACGCCATTGGTATCGCATCTTGGAGCTGTTCGCAAAGGTGCTGCCCATATTGCCGACCAAGCGAAGGAAGCCATTGTCAACAAGGTCCTGACCAATGGACTCCGAATAAGTGATGCTGTTCGCGTTCATATGCTTCTGGGTGTAGTCCACAATATCTGCACCGGTCGACGTGTTCTGATAAGTGCCGATGATCGGCACCTTGACCTCGCCCATCTTGATAGTATTCAGCATGTTCGTCAGGAGCCTCTTCAGGTCCTCGGGAGGGTAGATGCGATCGCCGATCTCCACCGGTTCCTCCTCTTCCTGCTCTTCCGGCAGAACGATTTTGGGGGTGGGCTTGATTTTCGGGCTCGTCTCGGGACCCTGGAAAGCGAGCTTGTTCTCTTCCTCCAGATCTTCGACCACACGGCACTTGTTGAAATAATGGCTCCGGAGCTTCTTGACCAGTTCCACCTGCTTGGTGTGTTCTTTGATCCGGGCCTGGAGATCATCATGGGAATTTTGGATCCGGGCTTCGTGCTGGTCGCACCAACGCCGGAATGGCGAAACGACAAGCTCCCGGATGTTCGACGCGATCTTCTGGTGGTTCTTGGATGCCTCGACCATCTCCGTGCGAACTCCCTCATAAGCCTATAAGTAAAGTCCCCAAGATCAGTATCGCCCAAACCGAAATCTGTCCAAATCATGTTTCACCAACCTTCCTCACGCTCGCCCCGTCATCTTTACCGAAACCCGCTCCTGTCACCCGGTCAACGGTCGGCGCAATATCCCCCAACTTGAGACCATATTGTTCTTCAGCATCTGCGCGCATAGAGGCAATTGTGATGATCTGCTTGTTCTCAACGGCGCCTTGCTGAAGTTTCCCGTAAAGCACCCCCAGACCCGTGGCGTAGTCTGGGGTCCAAAATGAATCCGCGAAACCCGGCATTATGATGGGACCAGGCAAGCTGACGTCGAGAGGAAGTGATTGGTGCCAGCTTCAAACGATGCGCGAGCAACCCGAAGCGAAACGGAATCGAAGGGGAAACGGCCGGCGTGCGTTACCGACTCTAGGCCACCAGGATAACTGTCAGATGCAGAAGGAACGCTGCGTAAAGAGAACCACCCGGAGAATACCTAGCGAAGTGAAGAGTAACCAGCTCTGGTCGCAAGCGCCTGGTTAAATCAAGCTTTGACGGAGGTTATAGTGGCACACAGCGGCTGCGAGGAGACATAGGCCCGGTGACGGGTATGCGAGGCGGCTACAGGAGACCAGGAAATTGGAGGGGGAGGCTGGGTAAGCCGCGCAAAACAAGGGACAACACGAAGACGACAACGGAGAAGAAGGAAGAAGAAGGAGCGTTGGGGAAAGAAGAGCCACTTGCAACGGTAGAGCTGCAGGAGAAGATGGATGACAAGTGACAACAGGGGAGACTGGATCTTAGGTTCAGTTGGCCGAGATCTGAGGAAAAGCAACTCTCGCCCGGTCCTTGGGCTCCGTCATGTGTAATTTACACTTTACGTACGGACCTGAAACTAGACCGTTGCCGCCTCAGCCTCACGTGTGGTTGCCGGGTGGCTATTTTTGGGGGCCCCGTGAAATATTACAGTTTGTCTTAGATTGATTTCCCAACCACGCCTCATGGGCTCTTAGGGCTGGTGGGAATTTTTGGGAAGCCCCATCATCGAAAGGCCGCTACCCAAAATAAAGGGAGAGAGCCTCAGATCATTGCCTAAGGGAGGAAGGGTCCAAATTCAGCCACGACGACAGCCCGACAGAGCTGGTGGTTGGCAGGATTAGGAGGGTTGGTAATCTGGCTGGCACTTCACCACCGCAGCACAGCTACGTACGTCAGTTTAGTAGTAGGTAAGGCTTGGGGGGAGATACAGGCTGGTACAGCCATACGGAGTGTCTGGTGTTACATACAAGGCTGGAGTCGCTGCCACTCTGGACCGTCTCCAGATGCAAACATGCCAAGACCGGAGAGCGCCAGGAGATCCCGACTGGCAAACACGTTAGTGTTGAACGGTGAGCTCAGGAGCATCTGCTCTCTCACTACCCCGTACACACCTTCATCAGGGTACCACTGACTGATCACTACTCCATATATGCAAGCAAATCGGATTGATGCCAAGTCCATTGAGTCTATAGGCGGATTCGGATACTCTGAATGCCCTTCGTTTTCGCCAAGTACCATCGCGATTCGTGAACATTCGCCATCCGATGCATCGACTCTGCGCTACTGAACATGCAAGTTTATGGACAGAGACAGAAAAGGGAGACATGATCATAATCATACATTATTTAAAAGAGAAAACGCAGCCCATTCATTTAACTCCAGCACCAGTGAACGACCTAACCGAAGCTCAACAGAAGAATTTCCACGCCTTCTTCCACATCGGCCATTCCGCCTGCTCGGCCTTCTCCTGCTCAATGAGGGCTTGGAGGTCGAGCTCGCGGCGACCGGTCTGAAGATCCATGTCCTTGGCCCGAATGAAGGGAGTTCTGTACCAAAGCTTGTAAGGGATGTAAAAGGCTAGCACGACAGGCGCAGCTAGGTAGTCAGAGAAGAAGTTGGAAACCAACGAAGCAGCTGACATGGAGCTATATCCGGAGGGCGCGAAGCCAACCCAGAACTGGGCAACCAGAACGAGACAGTTGAAGATGAGTCCCACCCAAGAGCCGACAATACCGGGTTGGGATTTGAAGGCCAGTTCGTTGAGGCTATGCCCTTGCAGTTTCCAGGCACGGCGGAACCGGATGTGGCAGAGGCAGATTGAGCCCCAGGTGAAGATGGATGAGAGACCGGAGATAGCCATCATCCATGTGAACGCTTCGCTCTCTTTGTCAGAGGCGGCCAAGAATCCAAGCAGGCCGAAGACCGACGCTACAACAAGAGCCGGGAGAGGGCGACCTTTGCGATCGATATAGGCCAGGAACTTGGGAGCTTGCTGTTGCTCAGCCATGGCTGCCAGCGTTCGAGAAGAGCCATAGATGGATGCGTTGCCCACAGAGAGCACGGCGATCATGATGACGACGTTCATGACGGAAGGCAGCCCAGAAATACCCGCATTCACAATGGAGATGACAAACGGAGATGCTTTAGCGTCGGCGCTGGACGTTCCATCGAGTAGTCGAGGATCGTTGTAGGGGACGAGAAGGCCGACCAAGGTGAGAGACACAATGTAGAAGAGGGTGATACGCCAGAACACCTGCTTGATCGCGGTTGGAAGCATTTTTCTAGGATTAGAAGTCTCTGCGGCGGCAAGGCCGACCAGCTCAGTACCCGCGAATGCGAATGCAGCATTCACGAAGACACTGCAAAGACCCTTGAACCCATGGTGGAAGGCACCTGGATTGTGCCAATACTTTCCGCCGATATAACCACCATGAGGACCGCCACCACAGGTCAAGATGATACCAAGGATACTAACTCAAGTCAGTGAATGCTTCTAATCATAATGGACATGAGTGAGGCCGATCCAATCCACTTACATGAAGCCAACCACGGCAGTAACCTTGACGATGGAGAAGACAAACTCCGCTTCACCATAACCCTTGACGCCGAACATGTTGATGGTCACAATCATTGTCCAGAAAATGGCGACCCAGGCAGCATTAGAGATGGTATCATTCCAATAGTTGACAGTTAACGAGGCAGCGACGATTTCGGTAGGCAGGGTCACAAGCCACTGCAGACAATAATTCCAACCCATGGCGAAACCCCAGGCGGGATCAATGAACCGAGTGGAATAGTGCGAAAATGAACCAGCGACCGGGAAGAGTACAGCCATTTCACCAAGTGCGTGCATTGTGCAATAAAGCATGCAGCCGATCAAAGCATAGGCGATGAGGACAGAAGCTGGACCTCCAGCAGCCAGGACAGTGCCAGATCCAACGAAGAGACCGGTACCTAAACACATAACCTGTCAGCATTCTCAAGGCCAGAACGGCGTGAATCTTAGCACTAAGGGGCCATGCTGCGTACCGATTGAGCCACCAATAGCAATCATCTGGAGGTGGCGGCCTTTCAGCTTGCGCTGCAGCGGAGACTCGGCAGTTTTTTGAGCGGCATTTTCGAGATCAAAAGCTCTCCCATCGTGACCAGGTTCATGATGCGCTGAAGCATGAGCATTGGGATCTCTTTTAAAACTGTCCAAAAACCGCTGGCTAAAGGTTCCTTTGGTTGCCTCTGATTCTCCGTAAAGTGGAGGAGCGTCGCCGGACGAAGAGGGTTCCGACTTGGGCTCAATAAATTCTTTCTCCATGGCTAAGATGGAATGCGACGTTTCCTTCCAAGATGGACCAAGACAGAAACAATGTGTCCAAGGCAAAGTCAGAAGCCCCAGTAAGAAGGAGGGGAATAGGGAGGACGGGGTGAGAGGGGGTCCGTCAGATATTTATTGCAACCCGTGCAAGTGAAGGTACTGTCTGAACCCCAAGATTGTAGGTAGGGAAGACTAGGGGAATGGGCGCACTGCTGGGAATGGGCGGCACTTCTTACTTATTGCTTTGGTAGCAAACCAGGGCCCGGGAAATGCCTAGAATAAAAAATAAAATTAAAACCAAATAAAATAAAAAATCCCTCTGAGACATTACTACTGGCAAGGATGCAGGAATTTAAATAAGAACCGGAAGATATAGGTCACAACCGTAATCACCCACGTTCAGAGCCGGCAGCCCATGGGTCATTCCGGCCCCGGTCCACAAGTGATGGAGGACCACTGAACAAGCTCTCGAAGCCTAGCGCGGGCCGGATACTGTGAATGGCCAACAATCCATGTGGTCTCGCAGCTACTAGTGGAGGGGACGAAGGAGCGTCGTGCACCAGCTGGGCCAGAGGGCCGGATGCGCTCTGGCGTAACTATGGGGAAAGCTAAACTGCCCGACACAGAAGGGGCCAATCGGCGGGGGCGTCGACCGATCATGGCCCGGGGATCTCGGGGGCCTCTCCAGTACGACGTTTTGATACAGCCCGGAGGCGTCCCGCTGATTGGTGGCCGGTGGCAGTATTATTAACCATTACTCGTTGCTTTAGGTACGATTACTGCGTGCACTATCATAGGATTACGACTGATAAGTCTGCTGCTGCAGCTAGCCAAGACTAACCCAGACCAGCCACACCCACACCCACACCCTCTGAACTGAAGTCAGAAGTCAGAACCTTCCCGGTCTCGCTGGAGCCTCGGCGACCCGCTTCGAGATACGAAAGTCCTCCGCTCCCAGTGCTACCTCAGACTCCTTCAGATCCACCTCCAATATGTTTAATTCGTTGTGGCATCACTCCCTCAGGATCCCTTCGGGCAACAAGGGAAGAACAAATAGGAGGGAGCCTTATCATCAAAGGTCCAACTGCGGAGTCCAGTACCTACATATTGTGCGGATTTCGCGCAACGCCTTGCCCAGCAACAGCTGACAGCGTCGAACGAGCTGGGGGTACATCACCTCATCATCAGTGACGGAAGTAGGTAGCATTTCCCCATTAAGGTTTCGACGCCACTGGCTTCGTTTAATCCCGAGCCAGTACTAGGCTAATCGTGTGATCCGAATCGACCCAGAGGTCACTGAATAATCATTTCCCCCTTGTGGCCAAGATGGTTCATGGTATGGAGTACATGGAACGGTACTACCGTACTACTAAGGCAGTTTCATGTCGGCGTGCCCAGTCAGACGGCCGCGTGCTATCCATCTATCTATCTAGGCTTCCCTTGTCCATTGTATGGCCCCAGGGTCCGTCAGGTGGAGCCCCGTCAACCCGCCCTTATCTCCGACTACGTACCTGCCTTATCTTACTCCGTACACTCGCTCCCCCCCAGCTAACCGCTCGCTATCAGGTTATCGGCGCCCCCATCGTGACTGGAGCCACCCAAAAAGAGGTACATAATGGCTCGTAGTCATTTTTTACTTTCTTCGATTGTCAGGGAACAGGTACGACCGCTTCATCTAGGTCTAGCCTTGTTCCAGCCGCGCACACGGTAGGATCTTGTCTGATTGTTTCTCCCTATAACCACGTGCCTTTTGCCTATATATTGAAGCTAATGTGTTACTTACCGAGCACTACGCAGTACACCAACTTTAACGCTGACTGCCCGCAGCATTCAAGGAGAATTAGTTCAAATGGCCCCAACAATAGGTGATAAGTAGACACTAGGCTCCCGTTCCAAATTGGTCTCCGCACGGTGATTTTACGCGGTCCGCGCCGGGGCCAATCAGGCCGCGTACGCAGGGATGTTGATAAGAGCTCCCGCGGATTGTCCGGTCAGCTCAGGCTGTGCCCCGAACATGAGCTCATTTTCTGCCTATCAAGGCGGGCCTCCTTTGCCTCATACTACACCGGGCACCTCACTCCTCATTCCTCTCCTCCGTATACTCCGCCGTTGTCCGTGTCTTCTCCGTACTAGCTATTTGATATCGCCTATAGCGACTACGATGGAGTCATGGGCTCAGACACATCTCTACGGGTGCCAGCATGGCACACATTACACAGCATGAAAAATGGGAACAGCAACTGTACTATATGGGATGCCTCCCAAGGCGAGTCTCTTCTTGCCACCCCTTTTCAGTTTCCAGACCTTGTCCAGACCTTGAGGACCCGAAGGAGCTACCCAGACATAATAGTGGCTATTATCCCTTGCTTATGTCGCTCATGGCTGGATTCTGGAATGATGCCGTTTTGCTTCGGTCCCCTTGGTCGGCCCTTTAAGGTTTTCAAAGCACCCACCCGTTCGCCCACCCTTCTGCTAGGGATACATGGAAGCGCGGGAGAAGCCATTGAGTCCTGGGCGCTATTGCTTGACGAGGTCTGCAGGGCCAAGCCACGCTAAGAAGCGTTGAATGATTGAGTCAGCTGCTTACTTGGTCTGTCCACTATCCTCGTACTCTGTAGGTGGTGGCAACATCGGATATCGCCGACTCATATAAGCAACTCCTTGTGGCTAAATCTCCGTACTAAAGGGGTTGCTTGCCTCTTACGAGCCCCCTGCCTGACAGAGTTGAGTAGGTCAGGTATTTGCCTCCGAGTGGTGCCATTACAAAGGATCTAATGGATCTATAGCCTGCATCTTCACATGACATGTCTGACACCCCGTTTCGATGGTAGTAGATGGCATCGGGCAAAAGTCAGTCGGCCATGTGGCCAGTGGAATGTGGTGCTACTTTCCCTGGCAAACCATGCAACTACCTCACAAGTGCATACAGTAGCCTGACGCATGGGCCGTTTGGTCCATTTACCTGCTTCGAGTAGACCGAACTGCAGCTCGGTACATCACCAAATGCGCTATGCTGCAGAGCCCTCTAACTTCATAAGCCAGCACATCCACAAACCGTGGCTATGGTCAAGATAAGGAAGGCTCTAAAAATCCACAAGTCCATCTGAGAAAAAGAATTTACGCTCAATATAGCCAACTGACAGATCCAACACAAAGCCGAGCAAAAAAGCCCGCAGACGCTTTTCTACAATAGTAGAACCCTGACCACAGACCGCCGAGGAAAACTAAACAAATTGCGCGGGCCAAACCTCCTCGTTTCAAGGTGCCCCCGGCCCGGTGTAAGCACCTGGGCAAGCGACAGCCCAATCCACGACCTCTCTTTGGCCAAGTAATATAAGGCTACCGCCAATGTCTGAGGTCGCATTGCAGCCGGTCCGGTCGCCCAGGGAAGAGCCTGGACACAGTGTGGCTGGGATAATGACTCTGGGACTGATTCCGAGGTCACCTTCAAGTTTCAACCAGGATATCACCAGGTTTCCACACAATGGCATGTGCAGTAGTGCATTCTAGACCAGGCCTTATGTAGGCCTCGATGTGCCTTGCCTTGTTGATTGACAGATGTCACTTTATTTGGTACCAATCTCGTTCAGGGTGGTCTGCGAGGCTGGCCCGGAATCGACTCGTGATTACGGCAGAGATGGTACTCACATCATCTAACAGAGAGCAGAGGGCAATCATAGACCCCATCATATACGAAAAGCAAAGCAAAAGCACACCAAACCTAACCCCCTAAAATTCACAACCCAGTCGAAACGCGCCCGTCAAGAAAACCCTACCTGTCAGTCAGTCAGGCTAATCGTCGCAGTAGTATCATCCCGTCCGGGCTGAATTAATCCCGCAATCCCGCAACCGAATCTCATTGGCCGTGCTAATCCGCTCTCGCATAACTTACCTAATTCCTCCCAGTACTAGTTAATTAATTAGGTACCAGGTACATCGATCCCTCCGACACCCAAAAACCCTCCCATCCATACAGAACAAAGTCCGTACTTCTCGATCATCCACCTGAGTCATTTCCGGGTGATAGATAGGTTAGGTAGGTCGTCAGATGAAGTGTAAATTAGAGTTAATTCCGCAATTGCGGGCACGCAGCTGACTTGTCCACTTTGCGGGGATGCCGTGGGATTCTGTTATGTAACAGATTCCACCGCGATGTTACCCCGGGTTTTTGGAACGTCTGGGGTAAAAGAGGGACGTAACTTTCTGGAATTGAGGGGGAATGGAAGTTTGGGGCTCGTGTTGGGTCTTGGAAGGTTACTAACTCCATAGAGGGGTTTGATTGTGTGTATAGGTGTGGATTGAGGGGTTGGTGGTGGTTGGTTGGTTGGGATTTGTGGGTAGTGCTGGTAGCAGTATCGAAAGGTTGGAGTGTGTTACTGGATACGTAGTAGGTGGTGACTCGGGGCCTTACCCTATTTGGTATCTCGAAGAGATTATGGTTGTTTTGGTTTCTTCACTTGATGTACTAAATTGGTCATGATAGGGTTACTACTGGAGCCATTGGCAGGCTTCGGGACAACGGAGCGATGAATAATCATTTTGGGCCATTTTGCTTTCATCGTCCTGTTGATTCCTAATGAGTCAAAGGTCGGTAATGACTTCCCTGATGATCTCATGTATCCTTGTCCTCTTTCATCTATCGTTGCACCGATCTCGTGTTTTTGGACCGTTGGATCCATCCCCTGTGCATTACGGAGTTCCTGCAGATGGAACAAAGGCTACTAGCAACATGCACGATCCCTGATTGAGGGCTATTCTTAGGGATGCCAGTCAGCTGGTATTGCGCAGGAGCGTATCCTGTAGTTGTGATAGACCTTTGCTGGTTGCCCATGCCTCGGATGTAATTAATCTTGGGTTTGGCTGCTGATCAAACGGGAGTTCCTGCCACTAGGAGCTATGACTAGCATATTACGAGAATCCCCTAATGCAGTTCTTTTTCCTTTCGTTAATGGAAAAGCTCAGCCATTTATAGCATGAGAGCAAGGACAGTCGCCAACGAAACCTCGCTTTTAAGCAGAGTCAAAGAAAGTGAACGTAAGAATTAAAAACCCATCATTACAACATTTTCTATGTGAGATCATCAAGGTTCATTCTCAGAATTTTGACATAGCAAGGAAGAATCGTGGATATCATGATCTAAGAGCTACCAAGGGGCCCCTCACCACCGGGGATCAACTGCGTGGGAGTGTTAGTCTGGAGCAGGACAACAGGCAGGGAGCTCATACCATGCAGACATTGTTGCCATTCAACAAAATCTTGGGGAGCTTCACCTGGGCGCCGGTGTAATCGCTGTCTCTGATTTAGTGATGGTTCTTTGCCCGGACAAGAGAGAAGCGAAGGCCCCAGAAACCAGGACCGTACCAGCCGGATAGGAGAAGGACTTACAACTCGGTCACATCCTCCAACACCATGTCTGCAGCAAGTCAGAGTCGAATTCATGCATTGAAGAAGCAGAAATAGATTCACTTACTGACGTAGTCATCGAATCCCAACAACGTTCCGGCGAATTCTGATACATGTTAGCTTACCTTCCCCCCCTCATCGCGGGGCCATCCAAACCCTTATCATTCTTCATAATGACCCATATTCTGGATCCGACACACTTGTCGATCAACTCTGTCACGGATGTTAACAAGAAGCGTCATGTATACGCAAACGACTGGATCATTGTCAATACCTAGTGGAAGAAGTTGGGACGCCATTGCGGATTATTTAAACAGCTACTTTGATTCAGCACGTGTCGCCCAAGACATGGACCCCATCTCCGTAGATGACTTACTATGACCTCCTGGATGAAATCAGAGCCCCGCCTAGATTGCTATAGAAATTGAAGCGGGCGGACGGATGCTTGATGATTCCATCCCGTCAATCTTGGCGGATCCGGGATGCGGGTTTCTCCGGTCCGGGAGCCCAGCCCCAATCAGATGTACAATCGCGCTCCGCTTTCAACATGATCACGCTTTTCTGGTACCTCTTTGGCTTTGTTGGGGTTTCTTCGGGGGCGTTATTCACGACGATGAACTAAGTAGATGATAATAACCTGCTAGTGTTCTAACATCATGGTCCTGCTTCAATCCATCTGCTCAGTCTGAACCATCAAAATCTGCCTGACCGTTCCGACAACCTCGAAAAGCCGGATGTCGGCTACGGTTAAGTCCGGCGGAAAGTGTCAGTTGATTCTTTCGAGCTATAATTTGGCTCTTCTCAAAGCAGCAATGTCGTGGTAGGTTTCCCCTTCAAAGTGTAAAACGAAGTTATCACTGACGCTTGTACTAGCCCATCTAATAAGCATGTGTGCACCCGTTCGCTACACAGCCTGGCTTCCATGGCAGCCAGGCCCTCAAGGTCGTTACGCAGGCCGTGCGCCTTGAATCGGGAAATGGCACCGAATGGTTTGATGACCAGGTACTGCTCTACCGTCGGAAACAGTGCTACGTTTCCTGGCTCGAGTAAAGATGTCAGTCATGCACACAGCCAGGGACTGCTCCAAAGAGATCATTCCAACAACCCGGTGCACAGTCGTGCCCTGGAGGCTACACTTTCTCCTGTCCCAACTAGAGAGTCAATAAGTTCATATCAGACCTCCCATCACGTTGATCAACAGAATATCACAGCCCCGGGGCGCTGGGAGACAGTCTCCAGCACTCCAGCGGCAAGACCAATGGCCCAGCAAACAATGGAGAGCAAAGCACTTGCAAGATACTCCACACCCGATTTTTCCGTGCTGCTCGCGGGCTCACTAACCCGACGACCAAAGCCCAAACCCAAGTTCTTTAGCCACAATTTGCGCAAAAGCCCCAAGGGGAAAGACGTCCTCGTGCACTACTGCAAATCACTCAAAACCAGCGAAAAAATCGCCCAACACTTCCTCAACGACAAAACCTTAGGCTTCGACATGGAATGGAAAGCCCAGGCCTCCGCATTTTCCGGCATCAAGAACAACGTCTCCCTCATCCAAATCGCCAACCAAGAGCGAATTGCCCTCTTCCATATCGCCAAATTCCCAGGCAAAAGACCCAGAGACCTGGTCCCCCCCACCCTGAAGCAAATCATTCAAAACCCAGACATCACGAAAGTCGGTGTCTCCATCAAAGCAGACTGTACCCGGCTTCACAAATTCCTTGGAATCGAGGCCCGCGGCATCTTCGAACTCAGCCATCTCCATAAACTGATCAAATATTGCCACACCGACCCGGGCCGCATCAACAAACGTACCGTGAATCTCAGCGAGCAGGTCGAAGAGCATCTGGGTCTGCCGTTGGAGAAAGTGGATGATGTTCGGTGTAGTAATTGGGCGGCTTCTTTAAGTTATCGACAAGTGCAATGTAAGTGTCGAGTCATTCTTGGTATGGTCTATGCGTGAGAGATGGACTAACTGGGTGTGTATAGATGCTGCGGCCGATTCATATGCGTGTGTCTGCTTGTTTCATGCTATGGATGCGAAGCGGAAAGCGCTTGATCCGACGCCTCCGTTGCCTGCGCACGCGGATTTGGATCTCCCGATTCAAATCGTGAGCGAGCCTGCGGTGGCTACGGACAATGATGATGTCGAGGTGGTGAAGTCTTAGTGGCTGTCCAGGCTACGTGATCTGGTAGTGGTGGTGATTGGTGCATTGGTTCTGGGATGTGAGAGACTCCGTCCGCAGAAGGGTTCTTTTGCTGCATCATAGAAAGGCTTGGGATCATTTTATCTGTATAGACAGGCATGAAGCCAACATCTTGGGTGTTTTATTGATCGACTAGAACGTGATACCCATGCTAGATACAACTGAAGGTATTGAACATTATCAAGAATGATATGGTTTACAAATGAGACTGTAATAACTGCCTCTAGAATATATGGGGTATAAATATAAACAACCAAGACATGACACAGTCGTATCGGGAGGCGTAAATGAGTTGAAGGTCGTGATATAAGTGCTGGCACGGTCATGAGATAGGGGAGCTGTTCATGTATCGGTGAATTTATCCCCTGAGGGGCAGGACCTTGGACAAGAGGACCTCCTGCCGACAAAGGGGACACTCCGGCTTCTCGCGTACCCAGTCTCGTACACATGTCCAACAGAAAACATGTCCACAGGTTGTGACACTGGGATCTTTGAACAGCTCCAGGCAAAGCGTGCACTTGCGCTGCTGACCGCTAGGTATCCAGGGGATTGCATTGGAATCCTCCGAAAAGTCGTACCGGGCACTGGACGCGGGGAGGAGAGGGAGTGATGAAGGGTGCTCGAGGGAAGATATCATGGCATCCCCATACTGTTGGGCTCCATTGGCCTCTAGTCCACTATTTTGGTCCTCCTGTTGTAGATCGGCTCCGACCTTCCTGATATGCAATATCCCCTGTACAGCGATCTGCAAGACCATGAGCACACCCAACACCTCATACCCAACTCGCTGCTCGCTATCCTCTAATTTCTTTGTGAACACATATCGTAGTCCCCAGAACCGCTTCGACAGATGATAATAAGCGCCGGTGAAATAGAACGTTGCGATGCTAAGAGCGTAGACGGGCGACAGCGACGTGATTGAGTCGAGGTGCTCTAATATGTATTTCTGGATCCGCAATTTCGTGAAGAAAGACTGTTTCTTGGAGGAATTGTTCTTGGCGCGCTCTACTATTCCCTTGGCCTGAGCCGCCTTGAGCTGTTGTCGAGCGATGCTGCGTTCCAGCTTCGATCGCAGTCGCTGCCGGAAGGCGGGAAGGATTCGCTGGAGCGTCCAGGGTAACAGAATGGTGCTGAGGATGTATCCGGCTCGCCTGGGGAGGGAAGGAAGCTGAAGGGTGTCATCCTCCAGTTGCACCAAGTCGCAGTATTCTTCTCCTAGCGTCCGGTTGCCGACCAATGTGGTCAAGGCAAAGTAGAGGATCTCGGTCAGGTGTTTGATGGCATCGGAGTGGGTGTGAGCGTAGCGAGCACCGCGGAGAGAGCGCACAATCGAGTGCACTTGGCTGGTCAGGCTCCCGGTCATGAAAACATCCTTTTCGTGCGACCGAATGATATCCGGGGAGGTAGCGAATGGGTAGAAATGGGCCGAGGGACTGACGGATGGTGTCGGGGCGGAGGGGGCTAGGGAGAGGTCTTCGTCGGCCATTGTGAGGACGGTGAGTGAGGCGGAAGGATGTTTGGAAAAACGGAATGGGCGGCCGGGTCGAGAGACAAGAATCCTCTCTCGTTGGGGAAGCTATCATGGTCGGGAGATAGGCCGGTCTTGTATGGCGGGCCCCAGCTGGAGCGATCTCCGGAGGCAGCGGAGATGCCTCGGTTGACAGCACGTGACCGGACCAGATCGTCCGTGAACCCTGCCGGGCGGTAACGTGACCGTGCCTCCCGTGACCCTTGTGTCACGTGGCAGGGTATGCAGCCAAAAATGGCAACCGGCGGCAAGCGGGTAGGCGCTAAGCCGCAAGCGGGTAGACCCAAAAGGCAATGGCCGCGCGGAGCCGCTGGCCCAGTCGAGGCGGCAACCTGAAACCGGCGGTCCCTGAGCTTCTTCACTCCGCCCGGTTACTGCTTCGCTGGTCATGATTTGAGCCCTTGCGGTCGCCAAACTCACCCCGAGTCACTCCTTGGCCTTACTTGATCGCTGTCGCTACTCCCCTTCACTTCCAATTTTCTGCTCTGGGGCTCGCTCGAGTCACTCCCTCCCTCCCAATTTCCACTTGGTCCCTCGTCTGGCGCTGAGAGACCCGGTGCCGCCTCTTCAATGGAATATGGGTCCTGATCAACATGCTCAATTGGATGGCTTCAGTCTCTTCCTCCCCTTCCCCTATCGCGTGGCGGTGATATTGCTGGCTGGTATGCTGACTCCCGCTAATGATCACCCTGTGGCCCGGCGTTCCTTGGGCTGACGAATTGTTTATCGATAGGTTTCTGGGGTTGGGGTGTTAATCTGCAGTACCTCCTAAAGGCGAACATTGTGGGTGGATGCCCCTCATTTCCTCCCTCCCTCCCCCCTATCATTAGATACGCTTGCTGATGATTCTTAGGACGTTCCGGCCCTCATTAAATACCCTGCCCGCCAATCCTCCAGCCAGCGCCCTCACCATGCCTCGACTTACCAGCTTGCCACTCTCCTGACTATCCCGCTCGCCATCTCCCTCCTCATCTTCTGGCCGGTCACTCATGGCTCCGCACAACGGGTTGAGTCCGTGGAACTTATCCCACAGTCATACTTCTTTATAGGACTATTCATCCTCCTCTTGCCTTTCTACCGCATCGCGCGCTCGGGCCGATATCGGTTCTTCATGACCCTGAAGCGCATCAGTGTCGGAGGGTTGGCGGAAGCGCAAGATGGCAAGTTTGGCGATATCCTGCTGGCGGATGCTTTGACAAGTTATGCCAGGGTTCTTGCGGACCTGGTGGTCACTTTCTGCATGTTCTTCACCACGGACATCTCCAGTACATCCAAGCCGACCCGCAAGTGCCGTCAAAATGACTACGTCGTTCCCTTGATCATCGCCCTCCCCAGTATGATTCGACTGCGTCAATGTTTGACCGAATACCTACGTGTGCGTCGGGCTGGTCCTAGGAGTCATGGCTTGGGTGGCCAGCACCTGGCCAACGCCCTGAAATATGCCACTGCATTTCCCGTTATCATCCTTGCCTCTCAATTGAAGCATTACAGCCCACTAGACTTCTATGGCTATAGTGAGATGAGTCTCTCGCGGCTTCTGTATGCCCCCCTCCTGCTTCTTCCAATAGACAAGAAGTTGCTAGGGCTAACTGCTTTCTTCGTGGCAGGTTCTTCTTTACCTTCATCAACTCCGGATATTCCTTCTATTGGGATGTAACCAAGGATTGGGACTTAACCCTCTTAACCCCCGCCCGCAACAGCCACGAATACCCTTACGGTTTGCGCCGCCATCGTTACTTCACCGATCGGCAGTACTACACCGCGATCGCCATCGACCTGGCTATCCGTTTCTCCTGGCTCTCTAGATACGTGCCCGGGTTCCTCTGGTTGAGTGACACAGAGTTCGGAATCTTTGTGCTCATGTTCCTCGAGGTCGCACGCCGGTGGATGTGGAATTTCCTCCGCATCGAAGCCGAGTGGAGTAAGTCATCCCTCACACGACCACGTTATCGTGTCACGCTAACATGGGGGGTACCACAGTCCGGAACAGCCGTGGTCCCGCCCCGGACGATATCCTCCTCGGCGAGTTCGGCGGCAAATTGGACGCGGACTAAACCCGCCTTCTTCCGCATCTTCTTCTCCGGAATTCTGCCGTTTCTATAGATTGACACGATTGATTTGTATCCACATGTAGCCAGTATTCATTGTTATTGTGATTACGTATGTGACCGTTCTTTTTTCACCCCTGCCTTTTTGGGCTCGGCTCGGCTCGCGGCCCTTGCTGCAGCTCTCCTGCAGTTGGCTTGGCTTGGCTTGGCTCTATTACATCTTTTGCACTCACTGCTGTGGTTTTTTTGGCGTCTGTATCATATGGGCTGGAGTGTTGTGGAGCGGTGTCGTATACACTACACCAACGTATAGTATAAATCCTCAGTCTTTTCTGTTTCTTCGCTTCCCTCTTTTTTATTTTGCGCTTATCCGATGTAATATTTTCTTTTTACCTGAAGATCGCAGGTTTATCAAAAGACGACGGGTACGAGATTGGGAGATGTAATGTGAAAGAAAGATAGATCTAATCAATTGGAAGAGTATGGAACGCTCTTGATAAAAATGCTATGAATAACACGTAGGCCTCTCCTAGTTCAAAGAATCAACATGGACAGATATAAAAAGAATATGCAAAATAGGGAGGTAGCTTCAAAATGATAATCGTATAAAGATTCCAAATAAATCAAGACGTCTGAGCAAACAGAAGATGAACAATATACAGTACACAGTGATAAAACATACATGGGAGGGGGAAAGACTAGTTAAAAAGATATGATGTATAATCGACGGAAGAAGAATTTGAACTATACAACATAGCAGAAGAGATGTCGTTGCTCGTAGCGTCACCGAATATGACCGTATCAGTGTCCATTCTGGGGCGCATGGCTGTCGAAAAGATCTTCCAGGTATGCACTCGGAGTTCGGCCCTGGGGAGGAGAGGAGAGATTTACTGTGCTGGTAGATGCTTCTTCTGCGCGAGACCGTCTGGCGCTGCGGAGTGGCACGTCTTGCTCGTTGGCTGATGGTGACAAACCTGGTGATTCAGGAGGGCTTGGGCCTGACTTGGCCTTGGAATAGCCGTGAGACTGGGGCCCCATGCCCGGTAGATCAGCTGCCGAGAAACGTGTTTCTTGGCTCCGGGAAGGCGCAGCGCTGCCGGCGTTGTAGTATCCGGCTGGAAGGTAGGCCGATCGCCTGTTGCTGCTGGGTTGCATTCCGGCGGTGGGCGAGAAGAACAAGGCGCTGTTCGAGCTAGGGGTCTTGGTGGAGGACCGATGATGTCTGCGGCTGTGGCTATGGCTGCGGTGGTGATGACTCTCACCGAGTTTGTCCAGCGTTACTCCTGGCCCAGAGGAGGATCTTCTGGAGCGCGATCTCCTCTTCTTGGAGCGAAGCAGTCCTTTGCTTTCGTATGAACGCATCATGGCTGCTTGACGGACGGATCGGTTCACTGACCAGGCCACAATTCCGCGCCAGGCCAGAATGGCGAGCCCAATTGCACCGAGCACAGCCCCGACAACAATGAACAAAGTCCCTTCAGGGATCTTCGACCTCTGCATGTACGGAGCATCTGCTGTGGGCGGTACAGTGACAACGGGGTAACCATCCGTCGAGGTGGACGAGGTTGATGATTCAGTCGATGTCGACTGAGTACTTGTCGTAGTGCTCGCTGCTGAGTCTGTTGTCGTTGTCGCATCTGAGGTCGTAGTAGACGAGGTTGTCGCAGACGTGGTTGTAGCGGTGTCCGCAGTTGTGGCAGTGGTGCTATCGCCCGTGGTTGAATCTTGAGCGACCGAGACTTGCGCAACAAAGATGATGATCATCAATAGAAGTAAGGTGAATGAAGGCCGACGGGCCTTTGCGAGGCCCACAGACAGGGCTACCATGGTTGATATAGATAGATCGTTGGATCACTGATCGAGTGATAAAGAAACGAGAGGCTTTTTGGAACTACTGATGACCGGCTCAATGGAAAATCCCTAGCGCAGACGATATAGGGTCATATTCAACCGGGAGATGGGATGGTCAAGAGCGCAGGATCAGGATCAACTGTGTCTGGTCGTCGATGGATCGCAACAATAATTAACGGGAGTCTCCAGGCAGGCGGGCGGGACTCCGATCGGTCTCCACCCAAACAAGAGGGTCAACAATCAACGAGGGTCAAGGCCACGATCGCCAAGATAGGGCAGGCAGACAAACGAGGGACTACAGCGGCAACGGCTGTATGGTCGGTCTATGTCTCAGGCCCAGAAGCGAGTGATGAGCATGGGAAAGCAAATCAGTAACGCATCGCGAGGCCAGAAGGCCGTCGGGGGGAAAAGAGAGAAAGCGGGAACGAGGGAAAGCGGCGGTGGTCCCGTGCCAGCCTCCGGCCTGAGGCCCGCTCCGAGGCCCACGTGATGGCTGTCGGGTTCATTTCCAGCAGCGGCCAAGGTTCGGGCTATTGCATTAGGCTCTACTTAGTTAACTAGTACTTGGGAACACCAGGATTTGTCATGAATTCGTGATCAGATGGTGGTAGGTAGGCCCACAACAGACACGCAGGGGGTAGTATGCACTTGTACAATATGATAGATTCCACAAAGAAGTCAACGCCGGTTCACTGACATACAGCCTATTCATAGCATAGCAAGGTATGGAAGAAAAGCAACCCGAGTGACAAGGGCTTGGAAGCACAACCTTGAATCACTGCTGCTTCTTTTGCACGCTCGCGGACGTATCTTTTTCGAACGCTGCATAGGGCACCTCCAGGCTGCTAAGAGCGGCCAATCCAACATACAAGATAATCAGGAAAACGAGGGTCGCAAGGAATCCCATCCAAAGGCCTGGAAATTGTCAGATTGAGCGCTGCAGTAGCTTGAATTTCGCTGTGCATACCTGGGGTGAGGAACTGGTATTCTTGGAAGAGCGTCTTGTTGGACGCAGTAACCTGACTACCATGAGCGGAGTAGTCGCGCTTGAGGTCCATATGGATGGGGTCCTCCTCCGACTGGTAGAAATCGGCACCCGAGTTTTCAGATTCCTTGGGTGAAGTGACATAGAGGATCGTGTAGCCCTTCGACGCTGGGAGTCGCTCAATGACATCAGAGAGCAGACCATCTGCAGTAACAATAAGAATCTCTCCAGAAGTAGTATAAACGCCCGAGGCACGAACCATTGTCTAGAAGCTGGTGTTTCCGCTCAGAGCCCAGAGGCAGAACAGGGAAGTCAATGAGGATAACGCGCGGCTCCTCACCAAAGTCGGCAGAGAAAGTACCAGCTGAAGGGTGTCTTCAGCCAAGGCTATCATCAAACAGCGATCATTCATCAAGGAACACGTACAGGAAGCATCGACCACAGTCGACTCGGCCCCGCACTCCTTCTCGAGCAACTTCTGGATTTCCTTCGCTTCCAGCGCACCCACAACCTCATTGATGATCATCTTTGACCGGATCGCCTTGTCCTTCCCCGTCATCTTTGCGCCCAGGCGCGGTGCAGACTTGCGGGCAGCAAAGTCAGTGCTATGCACACCGGGCTGAGAAGCGATGACATAGTAGTCGGAAGGGCAACCGCTTAGCCCGGTGGAAAGATCTTCTAGTATGGAGGGTGCGGTCTTGACGTGTGCCGACGTGGAAAGGACCCTGTTTGAGCTTGTTAGCTGGCCCATGGATTGAGTCCCGCAATTGAGCAAGCAGAGTCACGCATACTCGGAGGTCGATGCAAGGAAAAAGGGAGAGGTATCGCGGAGTGCGCTCGCCGAGGTCGCTCCCAGAGCGAGCAGCGAGAAGGTTCCCAAACGCATGGTGGTAGAATAGATGTAGCTATCAAACAAAGCGAACGGTTATCTAGAGAACCTCCCGGGAGGAATGAATGATGTTGGAGCCAGGCTGGTGGATTGGCCGACGACGGCTCGGAGGCGGTCGAGCCAACCACCGGCACGGCTTAGCTCCAACTGGCCGCCGGCCGTGACGTTCTGGCATGCGCCCTCAGGAACTTTTTTTTCAAGAGAGAAAAAAATATTGAGCCCCCACCTCCAAGAACAACATCGCCTTGCCATAATTATAGACAAACACTCACGTTTTTTTCTCATAAGGAAATATGGGTCCACAAGGGAAAAAGAGAAAGGCCGCCAGCAAAGTCGAAGAGATCACCTTTGATGCGGCCGACCGGCAGGAGTTTCTCACAGGCTTTCGCAAGCGGAAGCAACAACGAATCAAACATGCCCAAGAGGTGGCACAGCAAAAGGCTCGGGAGTTGAAGAGGGAGTCGCGGAAACGAGTATGTCTATGCTCTGGCCACCACTGGCCACACTCCCCAAGGACAACGCTGGGCTAACCTGGATTGCTCGCTAGATGCGCGAAGAACGAACCGCGGAATTCCAGCAGGCGCTAGAAGAGCACCGGAGACAGCTCAAGAGGCTCAAGGAAGAGGACAGCGACAATGAGAACTCGGCTTCAGGAAGTGATAGTGACGAAGGCGACGACCAGGAATGGGAAGGGTTCGAAGAACCGCCAGCCGTGGATTACGAAGCGGAATACATAGACGAAGACAAATACACTACGGTCACAGTGGAGGAAATGGATCCCTCCAAGGAAGGCCTACTCCGATCGGTAGGCGATGAAGACGACGAAGAGGAAGAAGCGGAAGAACGGACTGAGGTGACCTCTGCATCGGACCCCAACTCGAACCCCTCCGGCGAAAAGAGCAAAAAGAAGAAGGCCGATACCAAGCCGAAAAAGAAGAAGAAGTTCCGTTACGAAAGCAAGGAAGAACGCAAGCTTACCAGGGCGAAAGAACGCTTGTCGAATCACAGGAAGGCCAAGGCTCGACGAGAACGCTGATGATATTCAGTCTTATACAGCACAGCACGGCACTCATATGAACCACCATTCGGTTAAGAATACAGAAACCAGAGGGGCAACCCCATTAAATATGCTCTATGTACCTTCACAAAGACTAATATGTTATAATAAAAAGCCAGACAGGGTCACGAGGATGGGCGGAGAGGCCGGTTGATGAAGAGGATAAAGCCAGCTAGATGACACGACGACAGGATACGACTAAATCCGTCTCCTGCCGACAGGAAGTGATATATCAAACTGTGATGTGCAGGATGGGAAAGCAAAGGTAAAAGTATATTTGGCAAAAAGAAGAAGGCAGAATCCAACATCTTCCGGGGCTCGGCGCCATCTCTCTAGACGTTGCTGATCGAGACCTCGAGGTCGTGCAGATCCTTCTGCAGCTCGGCGTATTTCTTCGCCATCTCCTCATACTTGCTCTCCCACTGGTCACGGGACGCTTCGAGAGCCTGCACCTTGCGTTCGTAGTGGCCAGCCTTGACGTCGGTTTGGCGGAGCCTAGAGCACCAGCGTAGTCAGTACTTACGTTCCTCCGTTAGGGGTACGAGAAGGGGGGTGAAGGTGGGGTTGATCGTACTTCTCGTTAGTCTCCCGGAGATTCCGGTCGGCCTCCTCGGCCTCCTCTTCCAGCAGCTGCAGACGTCTCTGAAGGGCCTCGTTCTGGGTATCGTGCTGGGCACTCTGGTTGGCAGAATCCTTGGCCTCCTTCAGGGAGGTCTCGAGCTTCTCCACCTCACCCTCCAGAAGCTGGTTCCGGTGGTTGAGGGATGTGATCTCCTGTTCCTTGGCGAGGTTCTCCTGTTCCAACGTCTTCACCTTGGTCTTGAGCTCCTCGACCTTCTCCTGGGCCTCCTCAGCCTCGAGGCGGAGGTTGTTCATTCTCTACATCAGGGTGGTCAGTTCAGTTTCCGGGCACTATTTTATATTTCTGTCCCTGTGGTAGGAAGGATAGTAAATCATCATAGATGATGGAATGAAAGGCAAGGGCTGGTGATGGTGGTGGTGGTGTATGTGCATTTGCTGGCAGCTTGGGAGCTACCCCGCCAACAGGGGGAGGGGGGGAAAGGGATCTCACCTCCTTGATCTTATCCATTTTGGGCAACGAAAGGAAGTTATTTGCAACGAGAAAGCGGGAATATGTATGGCAGAAAGTAGACGGTCGCTGGGAAAATCCGAGAAGGCTTTCGCTCAGCGAGAAACCAGACAGAGATGTGCAAGGAAGCAAGTAGGCAGGAAGGACAAATGGGTTTGGGTTTAGGAGAAGAAAGGAAGTGGAGGAGGCCGCAGGTAAGGTTGACTTTCTTGCCTGGCCTGGCGGTCAGCCGCGACTAGTGGGTTGGGCCCGATCCATTTTTGGTATGGTAGGGGGTGCCAGATTCCCCCCCTGGAACTGCTGGAACTGCTGGAAGGCAGCCGTGGCTCCGTGGCTGAGGCCTGACGGTCACTCGCCGTGGCGCTTTCCTCCCCCCACCAGCCACCGTCTCCACGGGCAACCGCCACGAAAACATCTCGGTTGCGTGACGCTGCATCTAGAACCATGTCGACAGACGCTCCGCTCCCCTTCCTCCGTTGCTGACTCGCCGCGTCGAGCTCCTTAGTTCCGATCCCGCTTATACCTACGTCGATCGACCCTCGCAGTTGAATGTCCCGTGTGAATACCTAAGTGCCACCATGTTGGCTGTGCGCGACCAAGAGAACCTGGTCCACTCTCACCAGACCGTGGCCGCGTCGAAACCGCTGAACCAGGGCGTGAGACATTTGCAGCCAAAGACCCCGAGAACACGGGCACCCAAGACGCCATTTAAAGTTCCGTTGAACGATGAGAATGATCCCTTGGCCTTTGGAAAGAAGACCGTGAAGGCGGGAGGTAAACAGAAGGACAATATCAGCTTGATCACCAAAGATGCCTTCGTCACTCCATCGGGTAAGCTTGGAAAATTACGACCTTATCCTGGCGTTTGCCTGAACTGTTCAGTTTGAGAGGACTAACACATTTCGCAGCAGATCCCCGTCATCGTGCCCCTTTGGGCATGAAAACGACAAATGCTAAAGCCAAGGGGTTGCAGACTCCGGCGCCACCTGGAGGGACAGTGAAGCCAGAAAGAACCATTAAAAGAGGTTCCACTCAGAGAGTGAAGAAATTCGCTCCTTTTGTTGAGCAGAGCCAGCCAGAGGTCCAAACGAGGCCGGTGGAAGATGATGTCCCTGACATCGAGTACATGCCACCCAAGCCCAAAGGTTAGCTTTTCTACAGCATCCGCGCACGTCAACAAGAGACCAGTATATCTGACCAGCCGCAGATCTCCCTGATATTCCGGATGATATCACATACGATACCACGTTCCCGCAATTCCAGCCGAAAAACCTCGCTCGCGGACTAGAAAGCGTGTATGGCGATAACGAGATTGGCCCTGATGGACTTACCAAGAGAGAGCGAAAGTTCCAGGAAGACTCTGCTGCTTGCGACAAGATGATTGAAGAGATTATTCAGAAGCAGGTGGAGAGCATTGGCTTTGAGGAGACATATGATATTGTCCCATCTAGCGGACCGCCCGCAGGGGGCGCTACGAAACACCGGATGGAAACACGTCGGATGAGAGCGGCTGCCGGCAAGCCGAAGTATTCCAGCAATATCCCCACTGTTCGAGCTCGTGATGCAGCTGCTGCCCTTTCCGAAACGCAACGTTCCGTTCCACGCACCAGACCCGCTGTTTTGTCTAAGCCTAGGGTTACCTCGGCCTTGTTCCCATCCAAGAAGCCCAGAAGCCCTACCAATCCATCGAGTATGCGCCAGAGTGCCGCTACCGCCACTTCTAAGTCGACGGTGGGATATAGTCGGGGCCGCGAGGTGTCGTCCAAGTTGCATGGCGAGACGAGCAGCCCGGTGAAGCCGGAGATGGGGCCCAAAGGAATACTATCTGCCGAGACTTATCTGCAGCCCTACGGGACTCCACCTCTGATCGCTGACACGATCGGGTTAAGCTCCGAACATGCGGAGGACGCCCTTCCCACCTTCGAGGAAGATGAAGAAGCCGAAAACTTCCAATTAACGCTGTGATGTACGATGGTTTGCGGATCCCAGGTGAATACAAAGTCTACTTCCGGCGTCCAGTATGGTTTTCAATGGGTCAATGTTCTCGGTAGTTTGGCGGTGTTGGTGATTTCACTTTTCCTCGCTTTTTATTTTATTATCTTCTGGCCAGTGTCGTTTCATCCCCCATGCCTTGGCCTCTCTACGGGGCAGAAGACCGGCCGGGAAGAGCAGGTGGTACAGCAAGGCGGAGCACAGGACATGAAAGGGGCGTTCTATGATATATGGTCTATTACCGTGTGACGAGGAGCGTGGGGCTTGGCTTCGATTGGGGAGGGCATATCATCTTATTTGAGCATATGAATTTTGGCCGTATGATTAATGGAGTCAAATGGACACGTTAACCTGACGCCGCTGGGTGATGGATCTAAAGTACGGAGTAAGGGCATTCGTAATGGACCCTCAACAGTGGTTCCCGGGGGGTCCGCTGATTCAGCCCGCCGGACCAAGCAGAAGGAGCCACGCACCGCACTCGGTTTCATGCCAACCTTGAATGAGCCTCGCCGGGTCCCGATCAGGACTCCTGGGATGGAGCCGATGTATGCAGCTCATCTATCCCCTAACTACGGAGTACTCGGTATCATCTATAGAGGTGTCCCGACCTGGACCGCAGAAACCAGAAGGGAGTTGTCCATCCTTAGTACCGTCGTACTGACCAGACTAGGCCGTACAGAAGACCAGACCCATACTCCAATACGACGTCTCCATTCGCCACGGACTCTCACCGCTTGTCCCGGGCTCGCAGCAGCTTCTCCGTAATGGGCCAGCTGGACCAACGGTACAGGGTATGTATGTACTCCGTACTGTAACTGCATCACCGCATCACCGGACGGACAACCAGCTCGGATTGTAAACACCACCAGCCTTACAGGTGCACCAGCAGCAGGCGTAGTCAAGTATCGGGTAGTGCAATGGGGGGTTCGGAATGGCCAACGTAGAACGAAAGTAAAAGACAATTGATAGCAACTGGACTGAAACCGCATCGGTCCCTTCGGCGCAGACGAACCCTGGCGGTTGATCAGCTCTCCTCGAGCAATAATCCACTCGCTCCCGCCTCAAGCAATAATCTCGCTCCTCTTTTCTCTTTCTCCTCTTCCCTCCTCCCACCTCCTCCTCTTCTTCTCTCCCTCCCCTCCCCTCCCCCTTCCTCCTCCGTTCATTCGTCTTGTCCGCCATGACGAATATCCATCCCGAGTCCCCAGAGGACTTCGAGTTCATCGAAACTCCTCCCGCCTCGTGCACCACGCCCGCCGACGATTGCGGTGTGCGGACTACATCGGTGAGTGCTACCCATGGCGGCTCCTCAAGAGCTTTCCCCTATATTTCTAGACTCTCAAGTCATGAAGCATCAATTGGCCATCCTCAATTCGCAAGACTAATTTTCACGCTCTTGCCAGTACCCGGCCATCAAAAATGCTCCCGTTCCTGCGGACTCCCAGGGCAGCGACAGCTTCTCCAACACCCTGCTCTTCGCTCTCCTCATCCTAGTCCCATGGTATCTCGCTCGTCAGATCGGTGGTGGTTTCTACACCACCATCTTCCTCGCCATCTTCACCACCGTCCCCATCCTCATGGCCTTCTGGTCCATCGCGTCTTCCATTTCTCCCCGCAAGAATGAAAAGGCCAAGTATGCCGGTCGTCCCGTCGAGTACTACCTGAACTTCCACAGCGAGCACGACCGCACCGCCTACCGCGGAAAGAGCAAGATTCCCATGGAGGTCTTCTACGAGAAGTACTTCAATGGCGAGGTGGACTTCAAGTGCGACGCTCTGGAGGCTCTGGAGTTCAGACACGACTGGGCCAACTTCCGCTTCACCATGGGTCTCTACAAGCACTTCCTCTTCGGTTTCATCCCCGAGATGCTGATGCACACCCGCTCCCAAGGTTCGTGTCTCTTTCTCCATGCAATTGAAGAGCCTGTTCTCTTGCTAACACTAAGCTCCTGCCAGACGAGGAACAGGTGCGTGACCACTACGACCGCGGTGACGACTTCTACGCTTGGTTCTTGGGCCCCCGTATGATCTACACTTCCGGCATCATCAGCGACCCCGAAAAGGAGGAGACCCTGGAGGAGCTCCAGGATAACAAGCTGGCTGTGGTTTGCGAAAAGATTGGCGTTAAGCCCGGTGACACTGTCCTCGATCTCGGTTGTGGCTGGGGTACTCTGGCCAAGTATGCTTCGGTTCACTATGGTGCTCAGGTCACTGGTATCACTCTGGGTCGCAACCAGACTGCTTGGGGTAACAAGGGTCTCCGTAAGGCTGGTATCGAAGAGGACCAGAGCCGTATTCTGTGCTGCGACTACCGCGACGCCCCTCGGGTTTCCGGAGGCTACAAGAAGATTACCTGTCTCGAGATGGCTGAGCACGTCGGTGTCCGTCACTTCACTACCTTCCTGTCTCAGGTCTACGATATGATGGACGACGACGGTGTCTTCTTCCTGCAGATTGCTGGTCTTCGCAAGTCCTGGCAGTACGAGGATCTCATCTGGGGTCTTTTCATGAACAAATACATCTTCCCTGGCGCTGACGCTAGCACTCCCCTTGGCTTCGTCGTTGACAGACTGGAGGCTGCTGGTTTCGAGATCAAGAGCGTTGACACCGTTGGTGTTCACTACTCCGCTACTCTCTGGCGCTGGTACCGGAATTGGATGGGCAACCGCGACAAGGTTGAGGCCAAGTACGGCAAGAGATGGTTCAGAGTGAGTCTTCCCCGTGCATGTCAGTAGTGTAGTAAGGTACTAATCTGTGATTACCCTCCAGATCTGGGAGTACTTCTTGGCCTACTCTACCATCACCTCCCGCCAGGGTGGTGCTACCTGCTGGCAGCTCACCCTCGTCAAGAACATCAACTCCACCCACCGTGTCGAAGGCATCAACAACCAATACGGCCTCAGCGGTGCCCGTCAAGCCGCCATCGACCGCGCCGGCAACGGCGCCCTTCCCAAGGCCCATGTTACTCCCAAGGCTTAGATATATCCTGCGACATCAATACCATAAGTTTAGCAGGCGTCTTCATATGGACGTTCTCTAGACCCTCCTATTGATCAAACCAGGTCACTATGTCAAGCACTGAATCCCATAATGGACTTATGTACTACATGGGAGGGAATTGCTAAAAATGAAAAGCGGGAAAATGCAAAGGAATATAAGGTAGGAGGATGACTACTATATCTTAATCTAAGGTATGCCACGAATGAGGGGAATTTCATACGGAAATGACAGACTAGTTATGTACAATGATTCTGATCTATATACTTCTTCTTGTTCGCAACGGGGACAGGAAAACTGTACTTGATATCAGAATGACATGTAATAATGAACCATAGAAAATGTGACGCATGATTAGTACGGTCTTGGCCTCTTTAGCATTAGATTACAAGTCGGCAGTTGATATACCCTCTTAACAAATCATTGACACTTGATTGTCTAACCATGGTATATACACATCCTCGAAACGCCAGCACGTGTGCTATCGTAAATCATACAGGTACCCTCCCCGTAGCTAAGCCTTGACAAACTTTGAGTAACAGACAATCCCTGGGTTGCAGTCTAATCCAAGCGCTTATAAAGCTTGGCTTTGCTGCTTCCCGAACCGGAGCAGCATGAGGGAGCAGCAGCAGGCTCCGGGTGGAGGGTAGACTTGTTGAAGCTCTGCGAAGACTGTGGTACGTCCACGGCAGGGTTCTTGGTGAAGAAACCGTCAGGGCGCAGCATCACGCTGATGCGCTCCATAGGCATGACGGGGAAGTCCTCGACACGAGGATTGTGGGTGAGGCCGAACGCTGGAAACGACCATGTTAGCGATTGACACTTCCGTTTCACAAAGAAGTACACGGATGCTTACTGTGCCAGAGAACCACATCTTCATTCTCGGTAGGGTCATTCCTCTGAGCCCAGGTCTCAACACCATATGCGCGTCGGCTCTGGTTGGTAAACTCGCCAGCTGCGTATAGCTCGTCATCCTGGTATCTTGTCACCCAGATGGGTTTAGTGGCAAACTCAGCCCGGCCGTACCCAATTGCCTTGCTGCTCTGCAAGAGCATCTGACTGGGTGCCGCGTGAAGTTTGTAGGCGATGGGCTTGTATGTGATGGGGTTGATAACATTGTCATTGCGGATCTTGAACACCCGGTTGCGGCTGATGTCGAGGTCGGCTGAGCCTGCCTTGCTAATAACCGTCTGCTCAGTGGTGTAGCCCACTAACCAGGGGTTCTTCTCATCCTCGGGGAGAGGCACACTCTCCTCGTAGTAGACCGTGTTGTTGAACCCATCAAGAGCCGGATCGATCCGTAGGGAGAACATGTGCTGGTGGTAAGGAGCCATGACACCAGGGCCGACATTAGTACCCCATTTAACGGTCTTGCCATTCTCGTTGTCGAAAGGCACCGTCGACAGGATTCCAGTGGCGCGCACTTCAAGTTCAACATTAGCCGCCTGGTCGAAGATGTAGGCGAAAATGTACTCATAGTTCGCCACGGTGCAAATCATTTGAAGAACAAGCTGGCGATTGCGGACCACCGTAGCTGCGCCTGATCTGTAGTTGGTGTGCTTGTGTTGCAAGCCATTATCCTGTTCATGCATGCAGATGATATTCTTCAACAGGACCGGATTTCCCTTGCAGTCCGCCCGATAGCCGTCAAAGTACTTGATGTGACCCAGGCAGTCACAACCCAGCGTAAGCTGGTTGGCATTGAGACCAAAACCGACATCGCCGACGTCGAAAGCTTGCTTGCGGTGGTAGGGGGCACGGGGGTCTATTATCTCATTTAGTAAGAATTTCCATCAGTAAGATCCAAGTTCTGCCTACCTCCATATGGGACCGTCATCTCCGAGACTGCGAGACGGTAGAAGACGCTGCGGTTATCGTAGGTGACGTTGTAAAGAACCATGCCCTCCCGGTTGTTGAAGCCGACTCTGAAGCGCCACTTCTGCCAGTAGACGAAATTACCATCCACAGAGAAAGAGGGTCCCTCCGGCTGCTGCACAATATATGGCTTGAGGTCTGTCCGAATGGGCTCGTCCTGCAGGTCGTGGGCATATTGAACCGCCTTGACAGGCTTCCAGGGTTGAGTTTCAACTAGCTGGGCATCATCACCGCCCGGTAGGTAGTCCATACGGATCAACTCATGTGTAAATGCATCGAATACCGGCGAGAACTTGCAAGGCAAGGAATAATGGTTGTTTTCAGGGTGGTCCACAGCCACCATGTACATGAAGCATTGGAACATCCGTCTCGACTCGCTCAGGCTTTCAGTGCCGTACATCCATGGATCATTGCACACGGTCATGCCGGGTGGTAGCTGGAGCTTCTCAATTTCTGCCAGCACAGCTGGATGCTTCATGCAAACTTCTTCGATGACCACCAATTCATCAATATCGACTGGGGGCTGTGGGAGAAGCCGTCAGAGAATATCTAAGGTGCCCTGGAGTTGATTGTACATACCTGCACTCCCTCGGGCAGCACTTTGATGGAGACAACCGATGCGGTGTCAGCGTTCACCAATGCCTTGCAGCACACACCGGTATCGAGGCGATGAAAGTAAGAGTATAGGAGACGGGCCGGCTTTGCAGGGAGGGGTTTCCTTAACCTCTCTGCCTCGATGTATGGAACAACATCTTTCTTGATGGGCTCGTGGATATCAATTCGATTGTATCGAAGCTTGACCCCGGGGAATGCGGCTTCCAAGACACGCGCAGCCAAGCGAATCTCTTGGGGCCTGATGGGGTCGAAGGGGTGAGGGCTGGCCGAAGTGGCCAGTCTGGGCCCCTGTGCTGCAAGTGACATGCTCACAGAATGTATCTGTTGTATGAATGGTGAGGATAGGACGAGTGTTTAAGGGAAACCGCTTGAGGTTTCAAGTTATATATCATAGGATAGATGAGACGAGACAGTAAACAGCCAGTGCCCGGGGCCCGACGAGGCTTTAAGTAACCCATTGAGCTCATCTACCTTCCTGGCAGGGACCTAGAGAGAAGCAAGAAAGGGAAACTGAAGGAGATCGTGAAGGCGGACGATTCCCCACGGCCAGGATGGACATGCCTGATCGGGAAAGGGACGAGCCGCGGGTGGGGCGCGTTTAATCGGTGCTCCAGTGATCGCTTCAAGTTCCCGATCGATTATTTATCAGGCTCGACTTGACAGGCAGATAGCCGGGGCGCATTGGTCATAGGTTGCACTTGCGGTGACACTCGTCCGGTTCGGCATCCGAGGAACGCGAGGATAAGCCTCAATCGGGGATTGTCGCCATCCATCCATCAAGCATAGCACATGCAAGGTGTCATGGTCCCTTCCCGCCGATAACGGGCTTCTTATCTGAGGAGAATCTGGGGACACTTCGACTATCAGTTCTGGGACTTGTACTCTGCCATCAAACCTCGTCACCTCCATTAGTCAGTGTTTGACTCACCTAGGGGTCCCGAGTGCCAGCGATTGAAGGTGCTCGGCAACTAAAAAGACTTCCAAGAACGGAGAGGAGAAGAGCGGAGGAGAGGCAGAGGCAGAAGCAGAGCGATAAGCGGGAGCGTATCTCCTTCCTCATCCGGCATAGCGTGCCTTCCCCCGGGGTAATCGCTGGTCCCTCCTTCCATTCATCTCTTCCAAGCCTCATCTTTCCAACTGGCCCAAGCAAGGCACCGTGGATTTCAATGGGGACGACCGGTGAGTCGGAAGTTTTCCTGACAAGTCCAACCTAACCCCCTTGTTGTTCCTCTCCCCAAGTTCAATGGTCTAATCTACTGCGGGTACAGAAATATACATAGTACATCAATCTATGCCTTCCATAGATCAAGGCCTCTAATTACCCCCAACCATAAAGCATTGACTACTAAGCGACTACACCGAAAGTATTCTGTACAGTCCAGTGAAACATATCATGTGCCACGGCACAGTTATAAAGTATGACTCAGTGCAATAAGACTACCCAGACCCCGACAAGAAAAAGATACAGGCGAGAAGGCGCCAAGTGGACTCGGTCGGGCTGCTTGACCTGCAAGCGCCGTCGGAAGCGGTGTGATGAAACCAAGCCATGGTATGAAGAAGTTGATCAGATGTCGGAGTGTCTGCTCACTAACTGGTATTGTGCAACAGCTGTCAGAGCTGCGCCAGGCTGGGGTTGAAATGTGAGGGCTACGGCTCGATGTGGGCAGCGCCTTTGGACCCGTCTGCACAGGTCTTCAGCCAAGACAGAGAATCCAAGCGGCGGAGAACAAGTACACCCTCTTCCCCAGCTTACTCTCATGGTACGGCGGAGGAACTGTGGTCGTCTCCGAGCTCACCCTTATCAAGCAATGCTTCGACTGCGCCGACAACGCCATCTGAGCTCGGAAATACCGGCATTTACTCCCTAAGTAATGAAGACAGCGAAGACGGAGATGGCCAGCTTACAAACAGCGATGTTAGCCGCTATGGCGCACTCACTGTTGCTTCACCTATGCCAAGTAGGGTCTTCAGTCATCTTTCGCAACTCGAAACACACTATCTCCAGTATCACACCGAACTGGGCTCCAAGTTGCTAGCCAACCTCGAAAGTGATGATAACCCTCTACGCTCGCTGATAATACCCCGAGCCTTATCATCATCCCTTGTATTGAAGGCCTTGTGTGCGGTGTCTGCGACGCATTTTGCGAATCGCTCCCGGGATAAGGTGGAAGCACAAACTGCTGCTACCAGCTACTATGTTCGAACGCTGAGTGGGCTGCAGTCGACACTTGCCAAATATTCAGCAGGAACCTTTCCCGATGAGACCATTCTAGCTGTCGCTCTTCTTTGCAAGTACGAAATCGTACGTGGAAGCGTTAAGCAATGGACTGTGCACCTGAATGCTCTGCAGAAGCTGATCGTTGCTCGGGGTGGGGTTGGGGCTCTGAGCGAAGACACGAGAGAATTTGTATCGGGATTGTAGGTCTTGCGAACAGCCCCGCGCTTGCTGGAAAGGAATTTTAACTATCCTCATAGCTACATCTATGCTTATAACGTGGCCAGGATCAGCAACCGTAGGCAGATAAATTACGACAGGCTCGACATATGCAACGTCAAAATCACCAAACTTGACATATACATCGGCTACGCAGAAGACCTCATCAAGATCTGCGCTCAAATAGCCGATCTACCCCTGATGTCTCACGACCCCGTTGCCCTGGGTTTGGAAATCCATGGAATGTGAGAACCCTAGACCCCTAAACCATTACTGGTTTACATCACTAACCCTCGAGCGCAGAGATACATCGCTTCGCAACTGGACACACACAAAGACGCAATACGCTATCCCCAAAGGAATAACTGAGATGAACCTCGCTCGCCTGCGCATGGTAGCTGACTGCTTCCGTGACGCGGCGTATATTTATCTCCATTCTATCCTAGAGCAAATGAGCCAGAGAATCATGGATCCTTTCTCGACAGCATGGACAACATTGATCTCCTTATCTAGACCAGACGCATTACAGCAACTCCTAGACAGAATCAGGATTACCCCCCTTGATGAGCACTGTGAATATTCTGCTCTTACATTCCCGCTTTTCATCGCAGGTTGCGAGAGCAGAGATGCTAACGATCGCGATCTCATCCTACGTTCCTTAAGCAGGCTAGAGGCAAACTTTGGTATAGGGAATGTGAGACGAGCAAAAGACATGTTGCATATTCTGTGGAAGGAAGGGGACATGCATTGGTTGGATATGTTGGAGCAATTACAATGGGACTTGATTCTTGCCTAAATATTGAATTCATAGATAGGTGTATACGAAGTCAATGGCGCAGGACCCTTTGCATGACGTCCTATGTATCGTTGAATAGGGCTACAACGAGTCTCTATCCCTTCCATTGAACCTCCGACATCATGACGAGTGATATCCCTCGCAAACCAGTGCACAAATTTAGGTATCAATTGATTACAGACAATCCTGGACCGCGACCCTGAATCGAGAACAAATACTCCTTTATTGTAGGGCCGAGACCCAGGGGTATCTTCATTTCGCTAGGGCGAGACCCACCGAGGATAACAATGTAAGACGAAGTAAAATAAAGAAGAGTACTCAATAACACCACCCAGCTGACGCAAAAGCCCGAAAGTTCGCTCTGCTAAAAAATCAAACCCATACTGGACGCCACCTGCAGGCTGTCTCGCTCGCTTGCTCCATAAGATAAAGGAGGAAAGGAGGACAAATCAACTCAAACCCATGTTGACCTCGTCTCCTAAGCCCATTTCACGCTCTGCTCTTTCCGTGCCCCCGGTCGCTCGGGTGGCCCAGCGGTCTAGTTGGTCCTGGGCATGAGTGACCTCCTTCTCTCTGAGACTGCCGTCTCGGCTGCTGTGGCTGGCGCTCCCTGAGTAATTAGATAGCTTTCGCGTGTGCGGGACGCTAATTGGTCTGGTTGGGGGCTTGCCAGGTGGTGTGTAGCTGGTGGTGGATTTCAGTTTTCCGAGATCTACGGAGGAGTTATTCGTGGACGTCGGTGGAGCAGAGGAGATGCTGCTGGCTTTGTCGCTTACACTCTTCGTACTTCCAAACCAACGCCGTCTGTGGGTCTTCGATGAGGTGGATGGGGCAAGACTCTCCGTATCGGCGTCGACTGTTGAAGCGTCGGGGGTGCCAGATGCCTTCTCCTGTTCCAATGACTGAGTTATTCCGGACTTGGTTTCCACCGATGTGCCCTCTGCGGACGTGATCTCAACCAGTTCAGCGTCACGGCACCACTTCCGACGACGGGTGTACCGGTCCCAGCCATCCTGGCCGCGTCGGCCGTCGTTCCACTGTTCCCCTGGTGTTAGTGACACATGCGCCTGATAGGCTTCTTTGGTTAGTGGCTCTCACCTTATTATCATAGTAGACCCAGCCGCCACCATCGGCCTTGGAGTCGGACTTTCCACTTGATTCGTCGGCACCTTCAATATGCCAATCACTGTTTTCGACCCACCGCCACTGGGCATTCCCATTCTCCACGCCCGGCAAGTCAAAAAACTCCTTAGGTGGGACCGGATTCAAATGCTCGTCTGTCCAAGCAGCACGCTCAGAAGGGAACAGAGAATATGTCCAGCCGATTCCGAGCCAACGGCGTTGGTTCTCATAGATAACGAAGGTGAATCGGACGCCCGAAGAGTCCCCCCGACGCCTCGTTGCTATGTTCACCGCATGGCCATGGCTTTGCATCAAGCTTGACTGTGTTTTATCAACATTCGAAGAGAATGAGAGCCCCGTGATCATAGAACATATCCAGCGGATGGTCAAGGATCGCCAGAGGATGACGCGGGATACCCTTGCCGGTCGGGAGTGGTAGGTGAGAATAATAGTGCCAACGATCATGATGACACGGCGAGTGGTAATTAGGTAGACGGGTGGAAGAGTTAAGGCGATCCAGATGGGGGTAACAAAAAGGATTCGAAAGAATAGGGTCGTAAGAGCCGGTCGCGTGGTGGCAGACGTCGCCGTCCTTTGCGTGGATAAGAAATCGGTAAGTTCCACGAGTGGCTCCAAGAGAATGTTACACCGTGTGGTGAAGGTCCTTAGAGTCTCCACGATTTCGTCCAGTGTTTCATGACGATTGGGGGATTTGTCTGACACAGCTCTCTGATGGCCTTGCTTCTCACCCAGGTGAGCCCTTGATGACAACGGGGAGTAGCGTCTCCAGTACATGCCCAAAATGAGCCCGATCACCACCAAGAGTGGTCCGGCCCATAGGAGGATCACATCGCCATAGAGCACCACCATCCAGAAGGCTGCCACCAGCAAGAAGCTCTGCCACCCATCTCCAGTCGTCCATGTAAGCAAACCCGCAAGTTTGTTCAGCGGCAGAATAAACGGATGCGAATAGGCCAATGCACGAGTGATCTGAGGAGGAGTGGCTACGAGCAGGGGTGATTTGCGATGCACGATGATGCTGGAGCGCTGCCTTGATGTCACAGAGGAGCCGGAGATGGTGGTGGGTGAGAAAGCAGCGACCGTCGGAGGCTGAGAGTCAGCATGGTCCTGCGCGGATGATGAAGGGGCCATGGAATCTATCCACGGTAGATCTTCTGTCGCGACATCAGTATCCGGGGAGGAGGTGGATGAGAACTACCAGGTCCACGTGGACGAGATTCCGAGACGACTAGGAGGAGGAGTGGGAAGGTCGGGACTCGTGAGAGCCAAGGAGGAGGGCATCTGTTGTATCACGTACCGAGAGCTGCCATCCAACAACAGAGACGTCATATGCATCCAGGGTCATTGCGGGCGGTGAGCGGGGGAAGGGAAAAGGGCAAGGGAGAGAGGGAGGGAGCGCACGATTAATGAGGGCCAGACCAGACCAAAAGATGGGGTCAGAAAGAGCGGCAGGGTCCAGGAGGGCAGATCATCTGCGGGGATCGAAGGGGACTCGCCTCAGATCCGCGGGTGCAGATGAAGCTTTTCGCCTGCTGTTCGGGAACATGTGACAGCCTGCCTCGCTGGGCCGTACCGTATCGTATTTATCATCTGTTCCTGTGCCGGGGGAGGTAATGGAATACCGTTCGTGACGGTCACGGCAGTATGGATGGTATGCATCTCCCCCGGGAAGTACACAATAAGTACTCAGTACTTTCGGAGGTGTAGCTGGAGGGACGGACGGAGGGGCCAGTCCTTATTGGAGAACCTTCAGAGACAAACAGATTTCCCACTGAGGTGTCACGCAGGGGATGATACTTTCTATCTCAACCAATTTCGCAAGGTCCATCTGCACAACGAGTCATCATGCCCCAACATGGCAACTTGGTAAATATTACCTGCAACAGCGGTTCAGGAACCAATCCGGGGCAATGACTGCCTCAGGCCAACAACCGGCATCGGACTAAAGCCGCTGCCGAATTTTTCCCTCTCCGTCTGATTCCATCGCCATCTGGTCCGCACCCGCAGCACCCTTCTTGACAGCCAGGGCCTCCCTCCACTGCGTGCCAGTCTCATCATTTGTTGCTCCTGGAGCCTCGATTAATTCTTTGGAGTCGTTCATCGGCACACAAACCCCATCACCATGGTATGTGGAGAACCTCACCCCCCGTGAAAGCTATCCAACTTTCCGTTCGGATCTACATCAATGCTCAGGTATACTGACCTTGTTTCTTCCCCATCTTCCAGGCTCACCGTATTGTCACTCAAGTCGTCGTCACGGGCGCCCGTGTCTTCGGCAAGGCCTTCGCCGAGGCCTACAAGCAAGCTTCCGCCTCATCCAAGTACGCCGCGCAGACGGGCAAGAAGGTCGGCGCCAGCATGTCTTCCGGATTGTCTCTCGATGAGGCATGCAAGATCCTCAACGTCAAGCCCCCGCAAGGCGGCGAGGGCAACGTCGAGCAGGTGATGGAGCGGTTCAAGAAGTTGTTCGACCTGAACGATCCCCAGAAGGGAGGCAGTTTCTACCTGCAAAGCAAGGTTCTTCGCGCGCGCGAGCGGTTAGAGATGGAGTTCCGACAGGCCGAGCGCAAGGCTGCCGAAGAGAAGGAGCTGCGCGATGGTTGGAAGCCCAAGGTCTACAAGGACCGGTGAATGCGGCCCTTCTACCTAGGGCACCCCGCTCGAGTTCTTCAGGAATGACTGATGGTTCTCGGGCTGCCTCTCGGAGATCTTGCGTTTTCGATTGATTCAGGCTCGGCTTATCCGTATGGTCGCAGCAATCGCGCCGACCGTTCGAAGCCCATTAGCGATCTCGTCGACCTCCTTTCTTATCCCTCTCGGTTTTCGCGGCATAGCATGGCGTTTTGGTGATTCCAACATTGAGATTGGAAAGAATTTTAGATTCTCATATTTATATGGCGGGTTGCATCTCAGCGATGCAGATGGACCCGGGAAGTGCGAGGTGGCCACCGAAGCCAGGGCCGTCCTTATGGCGATGGTAAGGAGGTGTCCTCCGCGGGGCCATCTGACTTGAGACGATATCCATTTGTGTACATTATTCGAAAGACGAAGGGCTTGCGGGCCAACAGGGCGCAAGGTGGACTTTTTACCCTCGTCCCCCTTGTGTCCATTTCTTTTCAGTTCTTAATGATCCCTTCTCCCCTCTTGCGTCCTACTCGGAGGATTTATACCTGTACTTTAGTACCCCGAAGCGATTGCTTGCGTGGTCATATCGTGGCTGGGCGTTGTGTACAAATGTCAGCATCATATACACAGACCGGAGTTCTCCATAACTTAACTGCACTCGTATAGCCAACTATATGGCCTGCGACTCTAGATGTCCTGCACTGAAACAAGATCTCATCGGGATCCGCCATCGCGGAGCTGAACGGGGAATTAGTGGCCCGCGAATGTCCCCTCCCTCCCCTCCGTCACTCTCTTCTCCTCGTTCAGTTACGATCCCCGGGTTCCCAAACGACTCTGACAAGACGAGCAACATTAAGGTATTAACAATAACTTGCCCCTTATGGACAGTTTGACGTCAATACCAACCCAAATTATGGTAGTAGTAGTAGTATAAGATGAGATGGCCTATATCTAATCTAGGTTTTTATTGTTCGAAAGCTTGTCACACCCAATATCACAAGCCCACACTCCACAGAGCATGAGTCGAAGCTACCACTCTAGTCTACTAACGGTTCTAATCTAGAGTATTTACATTCCGATGTGCCTTTATTCTTTACAGTAATCTCGTCCCATCCTTCCGGTCACTCTCAACATTGCAGCTTGCAAGCCGGGCCAGCCAGCCATCTTGTGATTACACCATTCATGCAGATGACGAGGAACAGGAGGTACTGCCTGAACCTATTAGAGCCCGGGCAATAAATTCCTGCTTGGTCATTTTCCCACTGTCTATGAGTACCTTGGTCTCCTCTATCTTCTCCAAGGCTTCATCATACTTATCTAACTCATTCATCTTCCTCTCCGCGAATGCCTCTAGCTCTTCTACATGGTTAAAGGCCTTCTCGCGCCTCGTCTACTTGGCGCCCAGATGTCAGCATAATTACGTAAAAGAAAAACTGCGATAATCATTGAAGCTAGAAGAGAGGAGCATGTACAGCCATATAGCTCCAGAGGCTTGTAACCACTTAATAAGACTGGAAAGCTCTCTCTCTTTATAGTCTGGCATTCTTACCTCTTCTTCCTCTAAAATACATATAAAGATATCTAGATATTTAAAGTACCGTGTAGCAATCTTAGGTGGCTTATCACCCTGGTAATCCCACGTGCTATTAACAGGCTTGTCTTAAAGAAACCACCACGGTGCTGAGCTGAACAGCTAGGTAGGCCCAATATAAAACTACTCGAGATCCACTACTCTAATAACCATGAGATCTTGCCTGCTACAGACAATTAGGTCCGCCAAGCCAAGATCATCACAAATCAGCTTGAACTTGCAACGGTCATACTTCGCGTGGACTAAATCAGGTATCAAGGTTTAGAAGATCTTGAACGCTACATATTTATTTTTCATATTATAGAAACCAACCGTGGAATTCAGCTACTGAACAAGCTACTCCCAATCCTGCCCGGCAACATATTAAAAGTATTCAGTCGTTGTCGTAAATCCTTAGGCTCAGTCACCTAGACACTATTTACTTAGTTAACCCACTAGACCAGTCAGAATATCTCGGAAGAGAAGAGGAAAAAAAAGCAACCAGACATACCAAATATATTAACTCCATCATTCTGTAGAATACTATATGCCTTAAATATTAGGGGCTATGGCGGTATAGGGCTTTAGGCTTCTGCCTATGGTAATACCAGACTACTAATCCGGAGCTTGAAAAGCTGAAGCAGAAAATTCACCAACTGCCTGTAGATAAGTTCTATATCTGGTATTACGAATGTCCTCTTTGATAACTCTAGTGGGACAATCAGTATTGGGATCCTGAAGAAGATCGCTCAGGCTTACACCATCTATAAAGTCCATTATGATAAACAGATCCAGACCAAGTAGGTTGCTGGCAGCGAGACCCCACACCCAAACTCGCGGGACGGGAATCGTAATCTTATTATAGATGAGATCCAGAGCCATAACCTCCATAGCCACCTTTTCATCAGCGTAGTCGTCACAGACCATCCCCCCATGAGGGAAACGAACCATCCAAGCAGTGCCGTCCTGGAAGACTATCTTCATTCCGGCATTAAATACCCCATGGTGAAAGGGACCGTCCAAGTGACAGGAAAGTTTCTCAACATGGAATGTTGACACCCACTGGCAGAGACAGCCCATTCGGTGGGACTCATTCACCTTGTCAACCCACAGTTGACCTTGCACCTCGTGAACGACATCGATCAGTGCGTTGGTGTCCATACCATCAGGGAAGGCCTCAATCCATATTCCTTGAGGGCGAGCAACTTGGGTGAGTGAATGAGCCGGCCGAGAGGCGTGTGGACGAAAGAAGGGGGCCAGCCCGTGCCTGAGGTGTCAGGTGTCACGGCAGCATTTTTATAGTCCTGCTGTTGGACAGCTTCGTTTTTTTTTTTCTTTTTTCTTTTCTTGTTTTTTTTTTTTTTTTTTTTTTTTTGGTGCTTCGTTCATCAAGGAAACTCCTTGTAACCACAGCTGCTGATAGACAGCATTTTCGAGATGGATGCGCATCTCCACACTTCCTAGAACCCTTATAGAACGACTCGAAGGATGACGGGCTTAGCGGATTGTCCACGGCTATTGAAAATGGTCGTCTAGAGTGACCGATTACTTGCACTTATCGGCAAGTGGGCCCGCCGGGCTGGCCTCCTGATTTGATGCCATTCCGCAATGGACAGGTCCGGGGGCTCTTCATAACAAGAAGAAGACTCCATGTCACGAGATCCATCCGAGCAGTACTTCCTGTTCCTCCTTCCATCATGTCAAGAACACGACGGCTTCTTCGACGGGAAATCACCTATTCGTTTGCCAAGGAAGAGGAGGTCAACATTCTTCATCAACTGTCTTACTATGATAAACAGAACAGGTTCTTTTCTCATCTCAACCATCACCAACGCTGGATCAAGAACATTGTCGCGCATCATCTGAATTTGAGCTCACCTGATGCTTGTCATGTGTCAAACGTTGAGTCTTGGTTACACGGTAGCTTCAACGTTTGCATTCCTGTCACTGTCTGCACTAGAAGTGCAAAGCAGGTGATTCTTCGACTCCCGCTCCCTTACAGGGTTGGGGAGGAGTTCATGCCGGGCAACGGAGATGAGAAGGTCAGATGTGAGGCAGGGACCTATGCATGGCTCCAAGAGAACTGCCCGGACGTGCCAATTCCAGGGTTATATGGGTTTGGTCTGTCGACTGGGGAAACTGTATGAAGACTCATGCCCGATCTCCCCCTACCCAGCTAACTTCTCTTGGTTTACTTGCTTGGAAAACTTGCCGCTCCTATACAAGTGGTTTCACTCCATCAGGCGTCGGGTTTTCGCATGGCTAGGGTATCCGACTCCATCCAGATACGTTCCCCACCCACCCAAAAGAGAGCAGGGCGTTCACTTCAACTATCTGCTTCTCGAGTACATCGAACCAAGCCGGGGAAGCATGCTTTCGGACACATGGACCGATCATCAACATGACATCAGATTACGGACAAATCTTTTCCATGGCCTTGCCCGCATTCTCTTGAGTATCAGCCGAATCCCCATTCCCCGGATTGGCTCGTTTCTCATCGACCACAAGGGGTTCTTGATTTTAGCAAACCGGCCACTCTCCATCGGCATTCAGCAGCTGGAGAACGGACATATTCCCACAGGCATGCATCGTGACTGCACATACTCCACTGTTGACTCTTACGTGGCAGATGTGCTCACATTCCACGACAATCGGTTTCGGTACCAACCAAACGCCGTGAATGACCTCGGAGACTGTGTCTTCCAGCTGTCCTCCCTCTCCGCGATGCGAACCATATCCAAAACATTCTTCCAGAGAGAACTTCGGCGAGGGCCCTTTGTTTTCTCACTGACGGACATGCATCAAAGCAACATCTTCGTTGATGCGGACTGGAATATTACTTGTCTAGTGGATCTGGAGTGGGCCTGCTCTTTGCCGATTGAGATGATTCGGCCTCCTCACTGGCTCACAAGCATGGGTGTTGATGAGCTGGTGCTATCCGAGTATGACAAACTGCGGACCGAATTCATGGACGCCTTAAATGCCGAGGAGCAAGAAATGGCAGAAAAGCCCAACTCGCCCCTCCTCTCGGACGTTATGAGTAAAACATGGGCAACAGGCACCTTTTGGTATACACTGGCGCTCTCCAGCCCCTCCGGTCTATTCACAATCTTCAAACAACACATACGACCACTATTTTGCACAGAATACATTGAAGAGTTTAATTTGATTATGCCTTTTCTTTGGGACAGGAATGTGGGACGCATCGCAAGTCATAAACTTTCTGATAAGAAAGAGTACGACCGCCAACTCCAACAGGAGTTTGGTGTCGAATCTCCGGTCTGATTTCTTTCAGAGAGTGACTTTCTAAGAAGAGCCTTTTAGTTTACCCTCTTCCTGGTGGAGGTGGGCTTGAATAGCCCTACCTAGAGTCCGCACTCCTCTGTTTATCTAATCTTTTCAAGGTACATTTGACCGGCCGGCTTTTAAGAGGTCAAAAACAGGTCAAGAAGATCTCATCATGCTTTACTCTAGTAAACCGTTATGCGAAGTACTCCGTACTAGGATCTCATAGTTCAGATGGAAAATAGTTCTTCCACGGTTCAGATTCCACGCGGAGTTAATTCCAGACCCCGCCGACCCCCGCGCGGGCAGGGGGAAATGCATCCATTTCTAGTCTGAGGGGCAGTCTTTTCAGCGTTGTTTCCACAGTCCTCACAGTTTTCACTATCCAAGTATAGACATCTGACCCCTCCATCTCCCACACTTACAGCGTCGTCTACTTCACCCCCAAAACAAACCACTGCAATCACTCAAACAGACAGAAACATGCCCCGCCCCTCAGAACGCCTATCGGCGCATCTCCCGCCGCTGGTCATGGGCACCGCGACCTTCAACAACCAATACAACCACGATCCCTTCGCCCTCCCCACCACCGAACTCGTGCACCGGGCCTTCTCCAGCGGGATCCGGGCCTTCGACACCTCCCCCTACTACGGCCCGGCCGAGGAACTCCTCGGACGCGCCCTCGCCACCGACTTCATCCGCACCCACCACCCCCGCGAGACCTACTACCTCCTCACCAAGGTCGGTCGCCTCGCGTCTTCTTCCTTCGACTACTCCCCGCAATGGGTCCGCCACAGCGTCCGCCGCAGTCTCCGTCGTCTGCACACCGAATACCTCGACGTCGTATACTGCCACGACGTGGAGTTCGTGTCCCGCCAGGAAGCCCTCGATGCGGTCCGCGAACTGCGTCGTATTCGGGATACCGAGGGGACGATCCGCTACGTCGGGATCTCCGGGTATCCTGTCGACGTGCTGAGTGAGATTGCGGAGTTGGTGCTCCGGGAAACGGGCGAGCCGCTGGATATCGTCCAGTCGTATGCCAATTTCACGTTGCAGAATACGAGGCTGTTGTCGCGGGGGCTGCCGCGTTTGCTGGCGGCGGGGGTGGATGTCGTGCCGAATGCGTCTCCGTTGGGAATGGGGTTGTTGCGTCGTGATGGTGTGCCGATTGGGAGTATGGGTGATTTTCATCCCGCGCCGGATGGACTGCGGAATGCGATCCGGGAGGTTTCGAAGTGGGTGGAGGAGCAGGGGGAGAAGTTGGAGGTGGTGGCTATTCGGTTTGCCATGGAGAGTTGGCTGCGGGATGGGGCGAGGGTTGGGGCGCTGGGACCGCCGCTTGCGCGTGCGGTGGACGCCGCGGACTCGGAGCCCATCTCTGTCGCGAATACGGGTACTGGAGAAAGGCTCGGGGTGAGTGTCATGGGCGTGAGCAATTTCGGGGAGTTGGATGAGACGCTGCGAGTCTGGCGCAGTATCGTGGATGGGTTGGAGAGTCGGGATGAGTCGAAGCAGGCATCGCTGCAGCCCTCCGCGGCGCAGGGGCCTGGTCTTTTGACCCCGTCAGAGGGGATCATTACTGATCAGGCTTGGTCGAAAGACCGACGTACTCGGATCTTGTCTCTGGCGCAGCATATCCAGACGATTCTGGGCCCCGAGTGGACCGACTATGTCTGGGATAGTCCGGGGCCGGACTTTGTGAATGTGTTGCCGGCTGATCATCTCGCGGCACTGGAGAGAGATGCTCCGCAGGTTGCTGCTGCTGATGAGTCCATGGTTACTCCGCCTTTGGATGGTTGATAGAAAGATACCCGCTGATGCTGCGTAATGTCATTTTCTGTGGTTGAGTTATGTGAAATACGCAGACTGTCATGATAGTGACAGTGTTAACATCCTATTGCTTTGGACTTCATCCCGCTTTGTATAGAGTGGTTACAATGCCAGTTGATCCTAGCAACACATGCATCTAGAATAGTCCTCTGACTTCATCCGCACGTGTATATGAATAGTTATCACCCAAACCCAACATGCATTACTAGCCAAGCTGTCAGACCCGCAAAATGCAACTGAACATCCAAATGAGCATTACATCTCTCTCACACAGGGAGTGACACACAGAGAGACGGGGAGAGAGGCATCCTTTCCAAGCTTCCTCTCCAAGGACTCGCATCTAGCGCTCCCTTGATGAGAAGGATATGGAAAGGGAGTAGTATGATCATCACAAGAGACGTAATCGTCTCCATGACAGACCAATTCGATTCGATTTGCTTCTAATTCAATCTCTCTGCTGCTGCCGGTGCTACTCGAAACAGACTGGCTCTAGGCGATGGATAATTCGTTCTGTGGAGGAGGCCATGCAATGCAATGCAGGCAATCACAATAATATCGGGTTGCCGAGGACTCGAGTTGTGAACTCAGATCCGGGTGTGGATCTAGCCCTGTGCGACGGTTAGCAAGACACGTAGACAGGCAATACGTGTTGTAGATGCCCTAGCAATGAAATTGCCAGGTGTGAATAAGATCAATCCATCGTGACAGAAGGCCAACTCCTATTGAGTTGACGGTTAGAGGTGCAGAGCATAACCAACGGTGTAGTATTGTTCCAAACATCTCGAACAGACCGCAAAACCCAGCGTAAATCATAGACTCCCGTGGCTTTTGCGCCGAGGAAAGGGGTATCAGACGCTCAAAGACGGACAAGAAACCACAAGTGAGAGAAACCATCCCAGGGTATAATCATACAGAACATGCACTGTTAACCCAAGACTCAAGACAAAGAATATGCACCGATCTAACTCGACTCCAACGGGATATGCATTAGCTCTGACTGGGTGGGATCGTTCCTTTCTCTCGCAGCATGAGGTCTCGGTCCATATCTGACTGCGACTTGTAGCCTCCAAGGCTCATCGCCTGCTCGTTACTGATGGAGTAAGGGACGGACGATAGGTCGGGACGCAATCGCTTGAGACGAGCCGCACGTTCCCGCGCCGCCTGCTGTTTCTTCTGCAGCTTCGTCATCTTATCCTTTTGCGACTTGGGTGCAGCAGGAGGACCAGAAGGCAAAGGAGGCGGCGGAGGAGCAGACTCGGCCGGAGGAGAGGACTGGGGAGGCGGTGGGGGCGTGGAAGCCCGACGGTAGCGAGCGAATCTGGTATCGTTGTCGAAGACCTGGCGGAGCTGCCACCGCTGCTCGGCATACTCCTCATAGTTCGCAGCGATAATGGCATCCAGGATGCTGGCTTGTGTCTTTCCGGACATGGCCGTAGAAATCATGCGCTCCTTGAGACGCCGATAAGCGTCCGAGAAGGCCCTGAAGATCAATGCAATCTCTCGCGTTCCGCCCGAAATATCGTTGTCGGCATTGTTGGGATCCTCAATGGAGAGGCGGGGGCTGTTGTTGTAAGAAGGCTTGTAGATTTTCTGCGACACGAATGCGTTAGCCGGCGAACATGACACTGCCATTGATGCAGCTTACCTTGTTGAAATAGCCCGGCGGAGCCAACCGAATCCCCACGGTGTCATAGTCAAACCCATTGCCATAAAACTCAAAGAAATCCATGAGAATGCTGCCCAGGTTCTGCGTCATATGGCCATGCGGCAGGTGTTGCAGGAGACTCGTCACGAGACAAGTGATGGAGAATCCTCCCAGCCCGCCGGTTGGTACTTCATTGAGACCCCGAAGGAGCAGAAACTGCTTGATGACCGACACGATCACGGGCATGGCGGGATACTCGGACTTCCATTGCTGGAAGGTTTCGTTGGCCACAAGTCCGCTATCATTGTCAAACGACAAGTCCACCCGCAGGCCAGTCAATTTATCCACAAATTTCAAAATCGGCACACGCGCATGCGCGATGGTCTCGATCGAATTGGGCACCGCTATGTTCAGGTTCTTGAGGAATGCAGCGAACGCATAGATCTGGCCTTTCCGTTCGCCGAATGTCTTGATACCGTGGCGCATAAAGTTCGTAGAGAGTAGGACCAGGTCGATGTCAGCCGTTGGTAAATACAGACCGGACGCAAAAGAGCCAAAAGGACGGAGCTGCACCCCATAGTACCTGCTCTGGAATGCAGACTGTAGCCTCGCCACCAAGTCCTCTCGCACGATCTGTTCGTAGCGGACTGGCTTGACCCAATGGTAGAAACTCAAGATTTCGTTGTGCAACCTGCTTGCGGTCAGAAAAGATGCCCGTTTTCTATAGCGGGGTTGGCACGCACCTTGTGCCCAGATGTAGGCTGGGGGCCATGTTGCTTGACCATGGCGTGGCATCCTCCGATGAACGTGCCCTCCACTCATCAATAATCGAACCATCGTCATAGTATTTACTCAACGGCTTGCCGGTCTTCTTGGAAACACCCTTGATCTCGTCATCGTAGGTTCTCTTGCGGTTCCCGAACGCCGAGTCCTTGCCTTCCAGCTGGCGTCTCGGTCCGGTGGGTGCGCCTTCAGGCGCGTTTCGACCCGCTTCGTCTTCATCACCGAGGCCACTGAGCGAGATAAAATCCTCATTGGTCTTCACCGGATCCTCTTGCGTGGGCTGTGCCGCCGTTGCAGCGATTCGGGCCTTGCGAATCAATTTGACCACATCCACCCTCTTCGCCTGGGTCTCATCCGGAGGTGGTAGAACAGTGTAGGGATCGGGGTTGGACCATCTGGGGGCCGGGGCCGGTGCTGGAGCAGCCGTCGCGGTGCCGCTGTTGTTGGTGTCTATCGCGCGCTTTTTGCGTGGGTGGGCCGCTTCATCCTCATCCTCCGAAGACACGTCCATATCAGCCTCCTCACTGTCGCTAAGGTTTGCGATCGGCGCGAACTTCAACGCCGGTTTCGAATCCGCCGCTCCGGCGGGAAGCAGCTGTTCTGGGGTGGCCTCTCGCCTGGATCTCAAGAGCGGTCGTTCGGCCGTTCCAGGTCGCGAATACCGGAAAGTGAACTCATGTCTGGGGTGATGTGAAGACCGTCGGTCATTTCCGCGAAACTCGAAGGCCGGCGGCATGGTCAGGGCAGGAAGGAATGAAGAGAGCACAGTCAAGATAACGTGGGACTCGTAGTAGATGTGATCAACCCACAGTGACGCGCTCCGATCCTTTTTTTTAAGCGGCGAGGCGGAAGGGCAACGACTCGGCTGCATTCAGAAGGCGGTGAGGACCGCTCTATCCTTCAATTGTATCTATCTACTCCCTCCATACTCCATACTCGCATTCTGATCTGTCTCTCCCCTCTTCAGCCCGTTTTGCAACTGCTGAATCAACGCTTGATCCAATGCCATCTCCGCAAAGCTCACTCTCTGCGTGGCCCATTTCAACCACCCACTAGCTCTGGATCCTTCCTCGGCTCGGAGCAGGCCAATACTCACATCGATCAGCAGCGGTCGTTCTTCATTGTGCCAAAAGATCGATGCTCCACAGCAGCCGCAGAACTCGCGGTAAACTCCCGCGGAGCTATTGTACTGCCGCATTGTGCCAGTGCCAAATGCCAGCGGCGCTCTGCGGGTGTCGTAGAGATTCGATTTGGGAATAAACGCCCACGATTGAATTGGAAACCCGCTGGCTAGGCGACAGGATGGACAGGCGCAAGTCCCTGCCAGATATTTGGTGTTTCCATCCTGCAGCCACCACTTCACGTCTCCTGGATTTCTTGAGGATTGTGAGTGATACGGCGCAAGCAGGTCGGGCCACGGTGAGGTGGGCTTCGTGGATGAAGCATCCGGTCGCGTGATATAAAATTCTACTCCCCCACAATGGCAGCGGGCAAGTAGTTCGTCGGAACTGCGGGATGATGTCTCGAGTACTGTCTCGGAAGGACAGCTCAGAACGGTGTGAAGCCAACACGCTGAAGCGGGATTCCCTGATTCCCCAGGGAGAAACGAGGTCAGACCACCATCACGCGTCTCGGCCGCCCGCCAATGCCGTATAGCTTTGGTGGGAGGACTCCGCACTAGCAATCCGGCTGCAACAAAGAATTGCCCGGTGTGCTTCGTATGCACAAAGACATGGGCGCCACAGGTCTGACAGAAATAGCGGCTTACCCAGGCCGCTTCCCGGTATTTCTGGAGGCCGTCCAGGCTCGGTGGCTTAGCCTGCAGGGGATAATACGTAGAGCACAGCATGCCTGTGACCGTGCGACAGGCGGCGCAATGACACAAATTGAGGACCGAATGGTCGGCGGCCAGCTCAAGCTCAATCTCCTGTGCCACGCCTCTGCACAAGCAGGCGATAGGATGTGTCACCTTGCCTGGCTGCATGCTGGGCGGCCAATCTGATCACAGTGCTCTGTACTCTGTAGTTGGAACTCCTACGCAGTGGAGCGCTTGATGCAGACCGGCTATCGGTTATTCTTTATCTGTTGATTATCCTGTTAGCGGGTAAGAAAACCCCATCCCACTGCAGTAACTCTTGCGCCTGCCCTGCTGCATCCAGCCAAGGCATCCCGTAGAAAAGCGGTTGGCACCAACCTGCCAGTCTGAACGGCAGCTGCACCACACTGGGTCATTAGGTCCATCCAGGACATCCAGTCAGGGCAAAGGACTGGGACAGCAGAGGGGGGTGGTGGTTGTGACTGGAGACGACGTGCAGAAATGCGCTCATATCTCAGACCCGCACAGAGGCTGAGGGGCGGATGGGTTGAGGGCTGAGGCCCGTCGGCGTCGCATGTATAAATACCGGCCTGGGCGACCCCGCCTCTCTTCCCGTGTCAACAACTGAACTCATTTGCCTAAGAGTCTGCTCTTCTCATCACTCCCGCATTCACAAAGCTCGTCTTTATCCCTCAAATCATATCATCATGGGTAGGTCGTTTGCTTCTACCTTTTCCTCGCCTGGCTATTGGTCTGGTGGGGTAATGGCGGGGTAGCCGTGTTTGCTTTTTACCCAACATGATCCTTGTTGATTTCTTCAATACCCTTCCTATTACCATCGATCTCTTGTTATTGGAATAAGAAGCAGTAGATGTTTGCTAACATCCTTTCCTTTCTAACAGGTGATCACGGTTGCAGCTGCGGTGCCTCCTGCCAGTGCCCTGCCGGCCAGTGCCAGTGCCCCGTATGTACCACCCCATACTTTTCCAATGATATTTCTCACAACTAATCTTCCCTTCCTACAATACAGAAATAAATTATTCCCTACTTAAGAACAAGACGTGGCTTGAGTCGGAGGATCCCTTACTTCCTTGCTGGCTTGTATTTCGGGGTAGATAGGGTAATCGCAGATGATGCACTGATTGTTCTATTTGCTTGTTTGGATATATGTAGTGAGGAGAATGTAGATGATGTCACGGGTAGAACTGATAAGCTGAGGGCCAGAGCAGTAATGTGATGAGTTAGTATAGACGGTCAGAGCACCTGGGGCGTGGGGGGTCTGCTGACCACCATGGGTTTGTGGGTTTGGTTGGGTTATACTCAGTATGGAGTAGATAACTAAATGCTAGGCTATAGGATAAGGCATAGTGATGATTATCATCATAGGCTGACTACTGGTTATAGAAGGAAATGCTACATACAGATAGACATAGCAACGCACTCTCAACCATATACAACAAGCAGATACTAGTTAGTACCTTCTCTTCCCTCTACAGTATACACCTACAACATGGAATCCAACCACCTACCACCACCCCAATAAACAACAATCAAACCAAATCAAACCAAATCAAAAGAATAATTCATTATATACGTAACTCATAACCAAACAACCACATCCCCAAGCATATCCACGAATGACAAATCAAATCATTAAACCATGTCCGCACATGCAACCACCAATCTCCCTACACCGATGTCCCCAATCCCCTCACATCAAGAATCGAAGCAGAATGGATAAGATGAAGGAATGAATGAAGATAGAATCATCAGAACGGAATCAGACATCTTCCTTGCAATCAATTTCTTTCATGGATAGTGGCGTATGAATGCATGCTGCAGTGGATAGGGAGAGGGAGTGAGTGTCGACGAGGTCGAGAATGAATGGCTGGTTTGGTTGGGTGTTTAGTGCTATAGGAATGGATCGTTAGTATCTTTCTTTCTCCTTTCATTCTATCTTTTATTATAGTAGTAAGAGGGAAGATATACCTTGCAAGTGTTGCAAGAGCAAGAGTTGCAGTTGCCGGAGCAGCAGTTGCAAGCGCAGGGAGACATGATGAAGGATAGTATATGGGATATACTAAACGAGGATGGTGTTCGAAGAAGTAGAGAGTGCTTGGCTTGAAGGGTCGTGGGTGAGTGAATACTACAGAAAAAGAAGGATTGAGAATGCGGACGAGGAGGGATCTTTATATGTGCTGGAGTGATGGTTGCACCGCGGTTTGCTTGACCCCCCTGCCCCTCCCTTTCGTCTAGAGTCTGGTGACTGACTGACTGAATACTACTACCTAGTCTGTATCGTGCAAGTGGAGAAGAGCTTGTGGGTACAGAAGAATGGGTATACTTCTGACTGGGTCCAGGTAACTCTCGCATGCAGCGAGGCGTGGGAGAGCATGGTTTGGTACGAGGGACTTAAGTGGGAAGTCTCGGGTTGGCTTGCGTTAGGGCAGAGTTGATACAGATACCTGGTTTGAGGTTGCATGGATCTTATTCGAAGTATAGTATCTATTCCTATCGAGTAGTTTGGAGAGATAACTGACCCCCGGCCTATATGTACAAACAGGGCAAACCTGGTTAACTGCGAATCTTCCCGTCAATCAACGGCAACTTCCTTATCGAAATGGTCTCTTCTTCCTGGCTCCGACACTTGGGTCCCTGGCCGTGTAGACGAGGTTTGGTTCTCGTTGCTCCCAGGGGAAGGTGGGGGAAAAGAGGAGCGGCCAATCGGTCAATAACAGAACTTCCCTCGTGGGTTACGAGTTGCTGGGGATTGCTGGAAGCTATCATGCCACGTTGGAGGAGGTTGTCGAGGTGGGTGGGGGAGCCAGGGAAAAGTGAGGCAGCAAGTGGGAGGGCAGCGATGTTGGAGGGGGAGTGGATACCTTCTTGTTGGGAGGTGTGGTTATTGTTCTCATGAGATATTTGTTATTTGCTATGGGTGCTACTACGATTATTGTAGTGAGGATAATACGTCGGATACAAGGTTAAAGATGTGTGGAATTGGGGCAAGTAAAGGAACCCCTCCTTCGGCTGCATCTGCAACTGCATCTCCCGACCCCTCCTCGTCCTCCCTCTTCTGACTTTTCCCCCCAAGAACCACCAACATGGTTGCCTTCACCGGGCCGATCATGGTACGACAAGTGCCTAAAGTTCCAACTAACCCCAAGACAAAGTTACAGAGATGCTCTGCAGTGCTCCATTTACCTCTTTCAGCCATGCATGGCCCAGGACCCACGGCCTGTTTCAACCTCTTTTGTGGCAGTTGCTGAATGGCAAGCAAGCCCACACGGCCTGAGCAACAGCAGTTTCCAACCGCGACAGCCCGCACTAATCAAGAGGGCAGGCGAAAAGAAGGTTCAGGGTCACCACTAATCAGCAGCAGCAAAGATCCCCACGGGCGGGGTATACGCCAGGTCACTCGGCAACAGGGAGGGACCATCGGACAGCGATCTCATCCGGCACCACAGGATAATCATTGCCGCGTTGGTATCGAGTTCATCCAAGGCTGTGGCATCGGAGACTTTTCTTCCTGGTTATTCGATTCAGCTGCTTGCAGGATCGTCTGATCGGTCTTCCTGCAGAATGGCATGGGTTGAGGCAGCGAGGCTGTGTTTGCGTCTGCCAGGGAAGTTGCTGGAATCAAACGGTTGGAGCCGGAGCAGGAGGTACGGTATCACTTTGGGTAGATTCATCTGCTGCATAGGTGCAAGCTTGATCATCGTGCTGACCATGTGCTGGTCGGCTGCATCAAGGACATCTGTACGGCGTCAGAAGGAGGCCTGGGTTCCGATATCCGCCGACTGCTACAAGTGATCCCCTGATTATATTCGCTAAGACGACCACAGCATTTGATACATGTTGTCCGTAGCCACACATCAAAACTAGCCACCAGCATGCAGGCAATGCCAGGGCCACCGGTCAGCAGCTTATATACAGGCAGTACAGCAGATGCTGTGTATGGAGTATGCATTCGAATAAGCAAAACTATAAACTATACGCTCTAAAATGGCCCTGGACATGCTTCCACACTCACAGCTCATCCTTGCTGTTCGGAGCGGCATGGCTCTCCTCGCCTCCGGGACACACGGCTGGCGAGGTTACGTGCATCGAGTACACGCACTTCTCATCCTCGGCCACCTTCAGAATCGCGTCCTCTTCGCCGCATTCCAAGATGACGGTCGTCGATCGGGCCGGTCCGTTCCAACAGCCCTGTCCATTGGCGTACTGCAGAGAGACCTTCTGCTCGGGAACGATGTCGCCCGACTCGTTGAGCACATCCACGCTCACGGACCCAATGCCAACATACTTGCCCATCCGCGTAGATCCGCCGCCCTTCTTCGGAATCTGCTTCGTCTGATCCAGGAAGCAGTGCTCGTACGTGTACTCACCCGCATCCTTCGAGACGCAGACACCGCGGAGAGCCCGGAAGATGGAGGCAACACCGTAGTCTGTTTCAAGATCGGACTGGTGATCCTTCAGCTGCTTCTGCATATCCCCGAGACTCTTCTCCGCCGCCTTGACCGCGTCTCGAGCTTCCGTCACCACCTTGGATTCGGACGTAGGAGAAGACTCTGCCGCCTTGGACAAGATTCCGTTCTCTTCGAGAAGACCCCTAACGATGGTCACCTTGCTTTCGACAAAGTCAACGAGGGAAGGCGGGAGGTAGGCCGCCAGCTGGTAGACTAAAGCTGCTGTTAGACGTGGACATCCATCACCCGCACCCAAACGAGGAACATACCGATACTAGCCTCACATCCATCCTCCTCATTCTCCCACTGCTCCCAGTTGATGCCCGACTTCTCATCGTCGGGCTTAACCATCTCGTCCAAATCACGGTCTTGAGCACTGTTCACCGCGCCCTCCAGAGTGCCCTTGGCAGCGTAGTCCTCCCAGCTGCGCACAGCGCGCTTGACACCCTCGTCGTTGAAGTTAGGGTTATATTCGACCTTGAACTTGGAGAGAATCTCCTCGAGCTCCTTCACTCGGGCGCGGGTGTCATCCCGCTCCTTGCGGACCTCCACCAGGGCGCTCCGGAGCTCCTCAACCCGGCCCTTGGCCAATCCCGCGAGCACATTCACCTTGCCCTCGGTTTTGCCCTTCACGACCTTGCTCTGCTCCTCCTTTTCCACCACCTCCAGCTCCGCCTGGAGCTCCTTGACCTTAAGCTCCTGGGCCTGGATTTCCCCTTGAAGACGCTCAATACCCTCCTCAACCTCCTTCTGCTGTCTGCTAGCTTCTGCGAGAAGCTCCTTCTTCTTCTTCAGAGCCGCAGTCATGGACTTTTGTCTCTGCTCTTCCTTCTTCCGCCACTCCTTGCCGATCTCCTTGCACTTGTCCGCGCACTTGGTGCCGCCAACGCGGGCCCACTCGTCACTACCATCGCAGCACAGCTCGTAGTCGCAGATCCCGTCATTGACCCGCTGGAAGGGCACATAGGAGGGCTTATGGCCCTTGTTCTTGCAGTAGAAGCCCGGAAGGGCGGACACGAGCTCGAGATCGTCAATGCCCGGGCGCTCACCCGGAGTTAGGGCCGAGTTGCGAGAAAGGTGGGCACAGGCCGCCGTTCCCGGTTCATCACTGCCATCGGGACAGTCACAGTAGTCGTCGTTCACGGCAGAGAAGGGGATCTGGATGGCCGGGTGGGAAATGCATGTGAAAGTGGAGGCATCCTTGTAGAATTTGGCAACTGCAAACGTAGACAACATGTTAGCTAGGTGAAGCTCCCACTGCATTGTACTCGACCTGTGTAACCAATGCAGCACCAATGCCCACAAATGGCGTGGTGTGGATACTCACATTCGGGTCCTACTCCCCGGGGTCGAGACGAGGCATCACCGGCAGCAGCGACGACAGTCGAGCAAGCGGCTATGCTCACGAAGAAGAGCGATCCCTGAGGAAGTATCATGGTGGGAGCATTGAGCGCCCTAACCAATGCTGGAATGGGCAGCGAAACAAACTGGGGACGAGAACTACCAGAAATGCGGAGAGAGCTTCTGGCCAGCTGGTGATAACCATCCATTTCCCGCCTGGCTTTAATCCGGGGCATTGGCCCGGCTGACTCAGCCCCTTATCGCCCATCCCATCTGCAGTGGCAATCATCAATGGTCCATCGCTACTTTCTCCTCTACTCCAGTTCCTGTCTGATTCACTCGGCGCCAATATGGGTAACGACGGTGGCAGGTAAGTCTTCGATCCAGCTCACAGAAACTCCCCCCCCCCCCCCCCAGTCCTCTAGCTAATCGCCTCATCGCTCAGTATCCCGACCCGCCGCGAGCTCGTCCGCGAAGCCGCCCGCAATCCCAGCACGGCGCAAGTAAAAGAAGCGCAGCGCGAATTACAAGAACACTTCTGGACCACCTGTCCCTTGTCGCACAAGCAATTAATCCGACCGATTGTCTCCGACTGTGTCGGAAACCTCTACAACAAAGACGCCGTGCTCAAATTCCTCCTCCCCGACGAAGAAATCGAAGGCATCAGCTCCAAAGCCGACTGCGAGGAGATTCTCGGGGGTCGGGTGAAGGGTCTCCGGGACGTCGTTGAGTTGAAATTTGAAATCGATGCCGAGCGCGAAGAACATCCCGCTGCGAAACAGGAGAAGCGTGAAGCTTGGATCTGTCCCGTCACGGCTAAGCAGCTGGGCCCGAATGTCAAGTCTGTTTACTTGGTTCCCTGTGGCCATGTGTTTTCTGAGGAAGCGATTCGTCAACTTAAGGGTGATAAGTGTTTACAGGTATGTTTCATTGCTTTACTTTTTCATGTGCCAGCACGCTGATTGGATGTAGTGCGACGAGCCCTACACTTCGGACAACGTGATCTCGATTCTCCCGACAAAGGACACCGATAAACAACAACTCATCGAGCGCGGACAGAAGCTCGCCGAGCAGGGTCTCACGCATTCGTTGAAGAAGGCCCCTGGGTCAAAGAAGCGCAAGAAGAACGCCAACGGCGACGCGGCCGAAACGGGCGCCACCGCGGGCAAGGAATCAAAGCCAGCAGCCTCCGGCGCGGGCTCACGGGAGCAGTCTGCGACCGCGAGTCGAAGCAACACATCGACGCCCACTCCTAGTGCATCGAATGGCATCAAGAATGCAGCCACGGCCCTGTTGACGGCCCGGGTTCTGGAAGAGGAGAATGCGAAGAAAAAGCGGCGGAAGATGCTGGGTGCCAATGATAACATCAACAGTCTCTTCACGAAGGATAACAAGGATACGCAAGCGAAGAATACCGATTTCATGACGAGAGGATTTAGTCTTCCTGCGGCAGCCAGGAAGTAGTTTGCTTTTGGTGCTGTTGCAGTTTTTTAAAGGCGTATGGGGTTTCAGGTGCCGGCTGCGGAACCGGTTGTTTTTGCTAACTATGGTTGAGATCTTGCACATGCTATCATTCGTATGATAGATGGGTTATACCGGGCGAATGAACAAAATGAAGTCAATTCCTATTGTACAGCAAAATTCTTCCTAGATATAACATGCTACAAGAACTAGAGATAATCTTCGAGCCATTTAAACCGGTCACGCACACAATCTACTCAAGAAGTCCTCTCGCACGAAGCTCGGACTCGATAAGCTTCCTCCGGCCCTTCTCGTCATCCCGGTGCAACGTGGTCTGCCTCTTGGAGAAGACCTTGACGTTGGACAGGGTCTGGAGCTGCTTGTCATTCTCTAGCTGCTCGGCTAGCTTCGTCGGCTTCGGGTGCAACTGGCCCTGGATGTACTGCATGGCGTGTTTCACATTGGTGATCTGGCTGACGATATTGTCAGGGAAGTAGTGCCCACTCAGCTGGGAGAACCGCTTGAGGAACTGCACGAGAGAAAGTCAGCTATTGCCCCTGCGAGAGAACCGCGAATCATAACATTCCGGGGACATGCAAATGGATAGGACCACTAACAGCAAACTTGATAGCCGGATCAGTCAACGGCAAGGACGTAGCACTCTTAAACCGAGGCTCGGTGTATCCAAAGAAACGAGGATTCGGGGCTGGCGGTGACGGGTCCTCAACGATCTCGAAATTCTCAAACTCCTCGACCTCGATGTCCTCGACAGCCTGCTCCTGCTCCGCGGCTTCGGGCTGGGTACCGCCGATTTGCTCGAACACGTAGAAAAGAACCTTCTTGGCGTTCTCGTTGTGAAACTTCAGGGACTCGCCCCAGTTGGGCGAAGTGGGCAGGACCTTGGTTTTCCAGATCAGCTTGAAGATTGGCTTGTCGTGTTCGACGACCTTGCAGACGTGGGTCAAGGGCCTGTTCAGCGCCTGCATCAGGCTGATTTCGACGGCGGCTTGGTGGGCAGCGAGCGACAGAGGACCCTTCTTGTAGAGCTTGTGCTTGGGAGCGAAACTATTCACCAGCAATCAGTCAACAGACTCATCCCCCATATCGATCCATCATCTGGGATTCAACGACTTACGAGCCATATGTATCAGCCTCCGAAGGAGGAGCATCCTTCCACCGTCCCAAATGACCCACACGCTCCAGGCCATGCCACGTCGTCGCAGGCTCATAGGAGACGCCGGGTTCCAGCCCATCGGACGGTTCCGCCAGCTCGTTCGTCTCCTCCACCTGTGGCTCCTCCGGTTCTTGAGGCTTGGGCTTTCCGAATCTCTTCTCCAGGAGACTTTCTCCGTACGGGTCCTTCAGACCCGGGGGGTTGTCCGTGCCCCAGAGCTTGCGGCGGACTCGTTCACTGAGCGAGTCCGCGTTGGAGGAGGCATGGCGCAGGAATTGCCGGGCGACAATGGGGCGTGGACGCGCCTCCTGTCTGCAGATGGAGCAGACGTAGAGGGCCCGGGAGCCCGGAACCTCCAGGTTCAGCAATCGCAGTGAGGGACGCATGTTGACGGCGTTGCGGGATTGCTGCGTGCCGGGGCGTCTCCAGTCAACTTTCGAAAAGTTTCAAGGATCCGGGAGGTTAGTCACGTGATGTGAACCGCCGGGCTTGGCGCCGGGTAGAAGTATAACCATTTACTCTTGCCATGGGAGGAATGTTGATACAGTATTTAGTTGGTATGTTGGGTATAAGAACAATCAATTGTGGGTGTATGTACATGCGTCTACGCTGATATCATGAGAACTAATCGCTGTAACCGAACCCAAACTGTACAAGAAGAAAACGCCCCATTTTTACTCCCGAACGAACATACCAGCCATACCCATGCCGGTACCAATGCACATGCTCACAACACCGACCTCCTGGCCGGTACGCTCCAGCTCAGGAAGGAGAGTCGCTAGCTGTCTGGCTCCGGTAGCACCGAGAGGGTGGCCAATGGCGATAGCACCACCCTTGGGGTTCACCTTGGCCTCGTCAATGCCCAGCTTGCGGACCGAGTACAGGGCCTGGGAGGCAAAGGCCTCGTTGATCTCCCAGATGTTGACATCCGAGACAGCCATGTCAAGCTGCTGAAGCAGCTTAGGAATGGCCACCGCGGGTCCGACTCCCATCTCATCGGGAGCACAACCAGCAACGGCAGTACCAACCCAGCGGGCCTTGATGGAAGAGGTCAGGCCGAGTTCGGTGGCAGTCGAACGGCGCATCAACAGAACAGCAGCGGCACCATCGCTGACCTGCGAGCTGTTTCCAGCAGTGCTAGCGCCAGTGGCGGAGAAAGCGGGCTTCAGGCTAGCCATCTTCTCAACCGAGATGTTGCTGCGGATACCGTCGTCCTTGGCCACGGTGATCTCCTTGGGAGGAGCATCGGGATTCTCAGGGTCGAAGCTGAGGGTCTTCACGGGGACGATTTCCGCGTCGAACAGGCCGGCATTCTGGGCAGCAGTCGCCTTCTTGTGGGACTCGGCGGCGAAGACGTCTTGGTCCGCCCGGGAGATTCCGTACCGCGAGGCAACGTTCTCGGATGTGATACCCATGGGCATAATGCAGTCTCTGGAGTCCTTGGAGGGAGACTCCTTCAGCTCAGGCCAAAGGACGGTGGGGATGGCACGGGAGCCATAGTTTCTGGTCATGGACTCCATTCCTCCACCAATACCGACGTTGATGGCTCCGGCGCGGATGCCATTTCCGATGGTCGAGATCGCCGCCAGACCAGAGGAGCATTGTCTGTTGATCGTGTGGAAAGGGACGCTGTGGGGGAAGCCGGCGTGGATCTGAGCCATACGGCCGGCCTTCGCACCACCCAGCTCCTGGAGAACGGAACCGATGGCGACATCGTCAATCAGAGCTGGGTCCAGGTTCGGGTTCGCCTCGAGAGTAGCCCGGAGCACGCTAGCGAGCAGCTCCTCGGGGTAGGCATCCTTGAAGCCACCCTTCTTCGCACGGGTGACCGGGGTACGGAGGGCGGAAAGGATAACGATGTCCGAAGGAGACTTCTGGAGGACCTGGCGCAGGCCCCGGGGAATTGGAGAGGCCATCGTGACGGATTTTTAGAATGAGACACGGAGGTGCAAAAGGGCTTTGGGGGGGTGGAAATTCTCGACTTTCACCTCGCCCCGGTATAAAACCGGGGCCCGGCTACATACTTATATCGAAACGATGGCGACCGGAGGAAATTCCGGGGCTCGGGATGGCTCGCGTGCGGCCAGAGCCATTTGGACGTGGCTTTCAACTGCCGGCAATGAAGATCGGCTAAGCGCACTGCCGCGGGGAGGAAGGCAAAGTCTGGGATGCAAAGTGTGGGGAGCTAAAAGTACGAATCGTAGTTCTCCCCGGGAACTCTGGCCCGAGGCTGCCCCCGACTCTTTTGAGAGAGATCTTTCTTCTGGATCATGACCGATCCTTGTGTTCTTTGATTCTTCAACTCAACAATCTCTCTCTCTCTCTCTCTCTCTCTCTCTCTGTCTCCTGGTGATCCTGGCCTGTTTTGATCCGACGAGCAACGTCGGCAATGGCAAACTGCGCGTTCCGCCATCGGAAACGGGATGCTTAAGTCAGCCCCTTCGGAACGGCGCATCGGATCACGATGGAAACTAGAAAACTAGACCCTGAATGGCCCCGAAGGGTGCTGACGCATCATTGAATAGTTATCGAAACTGACTTCTAACCACCAATCTATGAATCCCCTTTCCTCATCTTGTTTATGTAATATATTAGTACTAATAAAAGTCCTCAATTCTCCGAAATCGTAGGTATCATAAGCTAAACAACCCGGCCGCCTATACCTGCGGCATATCCTCCCAGAACGCCTGGTATCATCGTGGTCATCAATTAACGAGTAGGATGAAGCAAAACATAGACCATAAAAGAAGGGAGAAGTGCCAAGTATCAGTGACGGATGATGTGACTGTAATGACCCGGGACTTTGCGCCGACACTTGTCGCAATCCGCTCGGTACCCCATGGAAAATGCTACCTTCTTCTTCGACGCAGGAGTGTGCGCATTGTCCACCAGCCTCATCGATGGCTGCAGGTCGACCAAAGTTTCTGGATCCCATGGCGGAGGAGACGCCGGCTGCGACAAGTAGGTCATATCCGCATCGCTCGCCGAGTCTTTGCTGCTGACAGCCATGGCATCCTCATCGTCACTGACCGGGCTAGGGAGGCGTTGACCGCACCACCAGACTCTATCCGGGGTCGCGTACGGGTCTCGAAGGGCACCCTGCTGCGTAGAAGACGTCGAATCTTGATGGTGGCTTTTTGCGACAGAATCTTTTGCTGAAGGGACGACCCCATATGCTGAGTGTGCTGTTGGCCGTTCGCTTGTGATGAGCGATTGGTCCACAAGTCTGTGCGTGATCGGTGCATTCTGAAACTCTGGTGTTTCTTTCCAGTTATCAATGTCCATATTTGCGCTCAGTGTAGGAAGTTTTTGCGCATATTGCTGAGTTGTCGTTGGTATTGGTAGATTCAGAGGCTGAGCTGAGCAGTCATAGCCGGCTTTACCACCTCCATTATCATCCTTGTCATCGTCGGAGGATTCCACCGGGGTCGGAGTTGAAAGGCCAAAGCGGGAGACAACACGATTGCTTTTCTGGAGTGACGGGAACTGGAGGGTAGTTGAGGATGCCCGTAGGGCTAGAGGTCTGTGCTTCTGTTTAATACTTTGTTAGCTGTGGAACAAGTATGGCAAGGACCTGTTGAACCTTGAGTTACGAACCTTCTTTTCCCGAGTCGCGTTCCCATCGAAGTCATCGTTCTCCTGATCTCTCTGACGCTTGGATGTAAATGCAAACATGACGCTTTGAGTACCGAGGCTGTCCAAAATCACTGTGCAAACAGAGAGGGTAGTGGCTAATCAGAGTATTGCGATGTAGTGAACCAGATTCAGAATCACATTGAGTCCGGTGAATATACACTGTAGAAGTGTGAAGGACGATACCCATAGGAGGCAGGCCTCAATAAGCGCACAAGGATCAAAGTAGCAAAGAAAACAATCTAGGATCTAACAAAATGACATGTCATGATTACTCTTCAGGCTGAATGACTGGATAGGGACGTCAACACTGGAGTCAAGGAAGCGAGAAATAGAAGAATCCAAGAATGGGACCTGGAACGTGGAAGTCCTCTGCGCTTTGTAAAGTCCCTTCCAATCAAGACGGCCGGGCTGGCTGCGGGCGTCTGCCGAGGCTTAGCGCCCACGGGCGGTGCTTAGTACCGTAAGATACGTCCGGGTAAGTAACTGCAAAGTACCTTTTCCGTACCAGTCACTGCAACTGCCTGGCCTTCTTCTCGTCACGAAAAGCCCGGAGTAACCGTCGATCTACATATAGAATTACCTGGAGGAAGAATCGCCGGGACCCAGCCGGTATTTCTCAATCTTTACAAGTAGGGAGAAAGTACGGAGTCCGTACACCCTTTTCAAACCTCATTCTGCATCACCCCTGTAGTCAGCTGATGCACTATACCTCTGGACAACACTACACGCAAGCTTACTCGCCCTACACCTCGAGTGCCCTTTAGGGATGCAATTCTACGCAATATACCTACCGAGGATACTCTGCAACGTACGAAATCGTAGACCTTTGGAATTACTCAGTACCAATATGAATGACGTCACGTCAATCTGGGTTTCAAGATACTCCATGTGCATTTCTATCATGTTCATATTCCATTTCACAATCTGCTATCTAAGCTAGAGCGGTTAACAGATGGCTTTCGCAAAAAGTGGGTTCGCCCTTGTCACTCCTGCCTCAAAGGGACTTGGTTTCGCCTTTGCACAACAGCTGCTGTCCCACACAGACCTACCTGTTCTTGTGACTGCGCGGAGAGATGGCGGGGAACTCCGTAACAGGCTACTGAAAGAGACCAGCAATGAGTCTGACAAGGCTGAAGAGAGATTAAGGGTCTTCGAAGTTGATGTGACCGGTATTCAGTAACATCTATGCCCCCTCATGCGTTTTGGTCCTGAACAATGTCTTAGATGAGACAACCATACACTCCATGGCCACACACATGCGAGAGGAATATCCCAAGGCTTCCCTACGCATTGCAATCACAGTACCTGGTGTTTTACATGTTGAAAAGTCTCCGAGTCAGATTGATGCGGCCGACGCTTTGCACAGTTTTAAAGTGAATGCCCTCGGTCCCCTGCTTCTGATGAAGCATTTGGCTCCTTTTCTGCCAACCAAGTCATCAAATGGATTTGCGGATGACTCCCCGCCTACGTCTGGAGAACGCCCATGGAAGCTCCCACCCCATGCTATCTACGCCATGATGGCTGCGCGAGTGGGCTCCATTTCCGATAACTCGGCTGGAGGCTGGTATTCGTACCGTGCCAGCAAGGCATCCGTCTTTCAATTGGCCAAAACCTTCGATCTGTATCTGCGGTCTCGAAGCAGAGACCGAGCATTCGCAGTAGCAATGCACCCAGGAACAGTCCAAACGGATTTCACAAGAGATTACTGGGATGGGAGACATATGCTGCAGCCAGACGAATCCGCAGCGAGGCTATTACGGCACCTATGCGGGATGCGAACCGGGGATTCTGATGGACGAGGTCGGTGCTGGGATTGGAAAGGAGAGGAGGTTCTGCCATGATAGCCATGGATGGCAAGTCCGGCATGGACATCCTGGTCTATGTATACTAATTCTCAAGCCAAATTTGTGGCACATATCCGTGATTTTCTCACCTCAGATGTTATAGGCAACGCGATAGAAACTTTAAGATACGAGATTTCCGCCGAGCGTCCCAGCAGTGGATCTGGACATAGTGGACCCTGGAAAGCACCTTGTATTGACTTCTGGAGCCTCACTGCAGAGGTACATACATGAAACTACATACTACATAGATAGTCTTTGCAAGTGTGTGGGGGAGGGATCACGGGCGGCGCAGCGACGGGGAAGCGTTCTTCCCTCCGCTCGGTGAGTCTCCGGCAAAGCGATTAGACGCGACACCCCGTCTAAAACGCTAATCCGGGTCGGGATGCTTCACCACCCCCAGCTCACTCTTTGGACGGTTCTTTAGATTCTTAAACCACTCTTCTCACTGAGCAGCAGTACCCCTGGTGACCCACCGGATCTGTCTGACTCGTTGTATCCTCTTGCCGACTCGGTTATAGGTCCGGTTCGAGCCCACTAAGACCGGAGCTCGCTCCCCCGGAACCCCCAGGCCGTGGTAGTGATTCGCCAGTGGAGGAATAACCATGCAAATCTACTAGATCGACTAGATCGACTAGATCCAGCCGTCAAACGGCCACTTCCCCAGGTCCACACGGGAACTGCCGCCCAGGGCCACTCTGTTTCGTGTATACTGTATAGGTAAAGATGATGTACGTACAGCGGCATGTTACCATACGAGGGTGACTGGCTGGGCTTGCAGCTTCCCCGCGATAGGGATCCGACCACCACCTTCGATGGCGTACTAGTCATCTCTGCTTCTGACGGACCGATGTACACAGGCAGTCGGGCTGATCTGACACTTGCCTGGAGCTAACTACGCTGCACCATATCCCACCGTCCTACGACGAAAATGATTCCAGAGGGGGCAGAAACCAGGGAGATAGACACGCAGGTCCAGCTGAAGGCCGAACAAGCCGCGTGCATTACTCTCTATCTAGTATCTACTTGGTTAGCCACAGCCCCTGGATTCTTCAGCAGCCTCAGCTGCACCCAGTCGATGAGGCTAACCTCATGCGGAGTGGACTCGATCGATAAGCGGTGTTCCTACGGAGTACCTCAGATGTACATATGCCCCTGCATGCATGGTCTTCAATTTCTACCCTAAGACTGTCGACTTCTCCGCACGGAGTGCCCGATGACTATACTCCGTCTGACATGATGAGATCCGATGCTTATCGCACAGGACTCGTATAGATCGGCCATTGTGCATCAATGATCTCACTTATGTGGGAGAGTACCCACGTTAGTGGTAGCAGTATCTGACTTGATGCAGTCGATGATCTAGAACCCTTGCAAAGCCGGTTCCGAGCTTAGGCAGACGGACCTCAGCCGTACGCCCTCAAATCGCAACACCTCGTGTCTTGAGTGTCGGAGGCACCCAAGGGCATGAACATTGACGTAAGCTTTCTCGGCCCGGTCAATCCCAGGGGAGGCTGCAATTCAAGAGTCGAGCGGAAGACTTGCTGAGTTCCTCGTCGAACCCGACTGACCGAGATTCGGAGTATTTCCATCCATGATGTGTTCTGGGATTAAGTCATGAAAGATCCAGTCTAGGACACTGGACTATCGTTTTCAAAGGCATTTAAAGTGTGACACAACCTAAGCGGGAACTTTATTCGTACCATGAGGGAGCATGAACCGAGAAATTGGTTGCAGAAGTGAGCTAAGCTGAGTGATCAAGTCCTGCAGTATCACACTCATGAAGGCATGATCACATCGGGGATTGGGCTGGGAGAGCCGAACCCGGTGTTTGGTTCTAGGAGGGTCTCTCTATAACCTGCTTGCCCGGGTCAATCGAGATCGAGACCAACAGCCGAGAGGGAGTGGAGGAGACTGATGATGGTAATGATGATGATGATGATGGCTCGAGAAGCAGGATACGACAATTCAACAATATTGATGGGGGTTCCATACGGTACGGTACCGCCACTGGCAGGTTGCAGCCAGCCAACCTTAACCCAAACCAACGAACGAACAAATATTGTGTGTGTGAATCATCGGCTGGTCCGCGCTCCTCCCGCCGGCCCACTTTTTCGCCTTTCATTTGCATTCATCCCAATTCCATCCCATCTCATTGCTGGAAACTCAAACCACTCTGGCGCCAGTTTCTTTCACGCTTCCTCGCTTGTTCCTCGTTTCCTCCCCCCCCTTCCGACTTCGCTTCGGCTCTTGTCTCCCCATCTGACTCATATCTATCCACTCACACGTTTCTAGACTTTCTAGACCATTATAAAGTCTGCATTGTTGTCCTCTCCATCTTCTTCACTTATTTCCATACATCCGGCACCAGCCACATTCTTCACACATTCCATCCCCCACCATGCCTTTGATCCGCACCACAGAAGTATCTGAGGACACTCGCGGTGAGTAATTGCCTCTTGGCTTCTCAGAGAGCCATCTGCAGACCGCCTATACTGACGACGCCTTCCTCTAGTCCTGGGATACGATGCCCTTCTTCCCCCTCAGTTCCTGCAGACCGAGATCCCAGCTGTGAGTCATACTTGCCCCGAATTTGTTCCCTCCGGTTGCTTTTGGAACCCGGCCACATCTCCAAGCTATTTTTGGCCGTCAATGCCCGCATAGACCACCCGTGCTAACAAAATCTCGTCTAGCTAAAAACTTCCCTTGAGGTTGTCAAGGCTGGCCGCAACCAGGCCATTGAGATCATCGAACAACGCGATGACCGTCTGCTGGTCATGGTCGGCCCCTGCTCGATCCACGATCCTGCCACGGCCCTCGAGTATGCCGCTCGTCTTAAGGAGCTCTCCGACAAGCTTTCCTCCGACATCTGTGTCATCATGCGTGCTTACCTTGAGAAGCCCCGCACCACGGTGGGGTGGAAGGGTCTGATCAACGACCCCGACATCGATGAGTCCTACAACATCAACAAGGGTCTCCGTGTCTCACGCCAGCTCTACTCCGACCTCACCAGCATGGGTCTCCCCATCGCCAGTGAGATGCTGGATACCATCTCTCCCCAGTACCTGGCCGATCTGATCTCGCTGGGTGCCATCGGTGCCCGTACCACCGAGTCGCAATTGCACCGTGAGCTCGCCTCCGGTCTCAGTTTCCCCATTGGTTACAAGAACGGTACTGATGGCAACCTCACCGTTGCCATTGATGCCATTGGTGCCGCCGCGCACCCCCACCGCTTCCTGGGTGTTACCAAGCAAGGTCTGGCTGCCATTACTAAGACCTCGGGCAACGAGCACGGCTTCGTCATCCTCCGTGGTGGCAGCAAGGGCACCAACTATGACCGTGAGAGCATCAAGGGCGCACGCGAGTCCCTGCGGGGCAAGAAGCAGCGCGAGGTCGTCATGGTTGACTGCTCGCACGGCAACTCGAACAAGAACCACCGCAACCAACCCCTGGTTGCCAAGGAGGTCTCCGACCAGCTCCGCGAGGGCCAGGATGCCATCATCGGAGTGATGATCGAGTCCAATATCCACGAGGGTAACCAGAAGGTTCCCGCGGAGGGTCCCTCCGGCCTGCGCAAGGGTGTCAGCATCACTGACGCCTGCATCGACTGGGAGACCACCGTCACGGTTCTCGAGGACCTCGCCGACGGTGTTCGCGCCAGACGCGCCGCCAAGATCGCTCAGGCCAAGGCAAGCAATGGCGCTTCCCACTAAGCGATGTTGGATGGATGATCTGAGTCTACGAACCCCCCCCCCCCCCTAAGCGAGTCTGTTTTCCTTCTATTCCACCTAATCCGATTTAGATACCATAGCCAAGGTGCTTCATTCTCCCTCCATTTTGGTTTCCCATCTGGCTTTGCGGGCTCTTGCCCGGGTGGGCAGCACTTTCGGGTCTTTACTTTCGTAAAAGTCTGACTGTATCTTTTTTTTTTTTTTCTTTTTTCTCTTCCCTGTCTGTATTTCTTCTGAATGTCTGTCTTTCGGGTAGACAGTAATGATTTCCTAATAGAAGCCCAGCCGGTCATGGTTCCGATGCGTTAGTTGCCCGTATGGATGCACAATGGATTGAAGAGTCTATGGATTGGGATTACATTTTGCGGTTCTGCCACAGTCGACGGCGCTTGTAACCAAGACACGAGAGAGAAAATAGATGTATATGTACACAAGAGAACACAACCTAACCCAGTAATACACAGGATCGGGAACGCAAGGGCAAATACGCATACAGCAGAAAGACAACCCGAACAGACGCCGCAACCCCGGATGTGGAAGACAGGAATAAAAGGACGATGCCATGCAAACCAGAAACAACAGGAAAGTCGGATGGCCGGCATAGGCGTCATCTCTGCGATTCCTTGTTTTCCCTTCCCTCCTCTTTCACTCCGCCTCTATCTTCCCTTTTTCCCCCATGACGGTTTTCTTCACCGTCCGGTGAACCAGCTCTTCCAGCTTCGCGTTGTCTGCTTCGCGGCATCTTCGGCATTCTCTGCAAGTGTATCCAGCTGTCCCTTCGAGGCAGCGGGAACCGCAGCCTTGGCATCCTCCGCAGCCTTTGCGTTCAGGGCCTCCAAAACTCCGGGCTTGTTGTTGTTGGCGTCATCCAACACGCTATCGGGGATGGAGCTGGTATTGGGAGCCTTCTCATCCTGCTTCAATCCCCCGAGCAAGTACTGCTTGACCTGGTTCCAGGGGCGCTGTGCCTTGGCCTCCTCCTTCTTCTGCTGGAAGATCTCACCGATCTTCTCATTCTTCAGCAGCTCCAATTGCTCGGAGGTCGCGGTACCGTCGGCGTATGCCGTCTTCGCATCCTGCAGCCTCTGCAGCTCCTTCTCCACCCACAGAGCCCGCTGGCGACGGTTGTATAGCGTTAGAGAGATGACGGAGTACACCGTCAGAGCACCGCAGACACCTATTCGGAAGACGCGTCAGTTCATGATGACCTTCCAGACAATCCCCCGTATACAGCCCTCTGCCTTCATGTATTATCCTTCAGCCAAGATAGAACCTACCCGACGCAGCAATGAGCGTGTAAACCATGGTCTTGTGGGCCTTGTTCGCAAACCGACGACCGATCTCGATCATGTTGTCCACCCGCGACGTCGACTGAGCTAACCGGGCCGCGCGGGCCTGGGCTCTCAACCGCTCAACCTTCTCCTTGGGCGTCTCCGGCTTGCCGCCGGGGCCCAGATGCGGCTGAGAGCTGGGGCTCGGTCCCGACTGGGCCATGGAGCTGGGGAGCTTGTAGGGAGCCGCGGAACCGGGCTTGGAGTGGGCGTAGGGCCCGGTGGCCGTGAACCGGGTCGCGTCGGCAGCGGATCGGGACATCCTGTTAGGCTGGAATGCGATAGGTGCTGAGGTGGTGGGGGGGGGGAAAGTGGGAGGCGGATGGGAGGGGGGAGCGAGAGAGATGGAGCGTGGTATGATGTGACCGATATGACCGAAGTGACCGGGAGGAGGATGGCAGGGCCCAGTTAGTCGGAACGGTACATTCGGCGGGGGGGAAAGAGGGCGCGCAGAGTAAAGAATCCGGACAGTAAGAGGGACGCAGCCAGAGGGCAATTGGAGGGCAGGCTGGCAGGCTTGCAGCAGAGAAGTTCGACGGGAGTCGGGAAAGGCGATGGGGGAGAAAGCCGGCCGGGAAATTTTCAGCGGAACGAATCCAATCCCACGGCGTCCAATTCGCAAGGCGGCCAACCCGTCGATTAGTAGCTCTTAGTTAGTACTTCCTCCGCAACTACGATCGACTTCACCACAACGCAGGCACCGCACAGCGTCCAAGGACTTTCAGTCTCCACCTCATGACTCCTCCACAATGGACTACAATGCCGCAGATCTGACCTCCGTCCTCAGAACCCTCTCCGCCTTATCCAACCAGCAACCACCACCACCACAACCACCTGCTGCAGCTCCCCCAGCTCCCTTCCAGAACAACACCTCTCAATCCCACGGACTGGAAGACGAAGAAGATCCCTACGAACCCTCCGAATCTCTCCCCCACATTCCCATAGCTCCAATTTCCGCCCCAGCATCAGCACCAGCAACATCCCCCCAAACCGCAACCTCATCGCAGACCCGAGCAGCACCACCACAACCACAATCGCAACCACAACCACCCAACCCCCATTGGAATGGCACCCCCGAAGATACATCGACGATCACTACATGGCCCTCCGCCCTCCGCTACGTCATGCGCACTGTGGCCCAGAACGAATCCATCCAGCAACGGATCCGCTGGCTCATGCAGCGCCAACACGACCACGAGAAACAATGGTGGCAGGGCCGCGAGGCTCTCCTCAAGAAACAAGCCTCCCGAAGTGAAAAGAAAAAGGAACTTGATGCCGTTTTGTAAGCAAGTACCTACTTTCTCAACCTCCCAACATTCGCACAGCAATGGGATAATGATGATGTCGAAGACCTGACATGGATATGATTCCTTAGACGCTCCGTCGGCGCCCCAGTCGACGAGAACAAACAAATCTCTGTATGTATCAAACACGCACGCCACTTATACACACACATGCAAACACAAACACACATATAAAAAGCAAGAACCAAACGCAAGACACAAAACTAACCACTTCATCCCTGCCACCCTAACAGACAGCCGAAGAAGACCGCGCCGAACTAACCAACTACGACGCCAAAGTATACAAAGCCTCCAAGCAAATGTCAGAGGCCATGGGGGCCGAGCTCCGCACATTACGTATCCCGTTCTTCTCTATCAAGAAAGACCTCATCTCCGAATCGACTACTAAGACCCCAGAGGGAGCCAGATCAACGAGTGGGAATTCCTACGATCCAAGCAAGCAATTGCAATTACTTCCTCTGTCACGTGAAGAATTGTCCGCCCTTCAATTGCGAATGTTGGAGTTGCTGCAGGATCTTTGCAGGGAGTGATGTCTGATGATGTTGATGCTTCGCCCGCGTGATGTAGAAAACAGGACTGGACTGGTTCATGGACGTGGGTGCCGTCCTGAAAGCTGTTACGGCATTCCTGAGTGCCCGTGACGTGCAATGTACCTACGCAATGGCCCCGAGATTGTATCGCAAGTAGTAGTGACGCTGGGACTCTTCCAGCGCAACCACGACGGATTGGGGCTGACGTTCTTGGCATGCCATCTCCGGCGCAGACAGCCTGTCAGCTGAACACACGGTGAAGATCGTCCCTGGCATCCTTCGCGCAGGGGAAGCCTACATACTACGCGTCATGTGCACTGCGCTCGGGTGGACCGATGCTCTTGTATGGACGATTATTATTATGTACACCCCAAAGGTTCTATCGCAGACCACCCGCTCAACCGTCTAGTCCTCTCGCCTAAGCATGAAATGCGCCGCCCGACCTTGGAACCTGTATATGCAATAGCGATGAATACCCTATGAAAGCACAATGCAATGATTGGGTGTCCCAGAACATGGCAAACGACCATGTTCAACCCCGGTGCCGCAAGCGCGAAGGAAAGCGGCCAAGTAAATGCAACCCAGACGCGGAACACCTTGAATGCGAATGTAGCCGACATGCCGAACGGTCACGCAGCTGTTTTGAGCCAACACAGTATGAGAGGGACCGCCTTTGTTCCGGATATTGTGATCTACTCGAGCTTTTTCTCCGCAACAGCGACGGCCACCGCCACGGCCGCTCCCAGAATGGCACTCTCCGGTGCCAAATCAAGACGAACTTTAGCTTCCGAGGTACCATCCAAGGATGGGCGTAGCGCGTTCGTCTCCTTCGCAAGGTCATTCAGATAGCCCTGGCAACGATCCCGGAACCCAGGGTATTTGTTGATGACACTACCATCGCACGCAATCGATAGACTCAGGGGATTTTCTTCACTTTCCACCACGGTCACCTCTTGGGTTTCCTTGATCGACGGAGGTGCCGAGGTTGCCGTTGTGGGAAACTCGACCTCGTTACGCAGACACCACATGCTGTGAATTGCCGTGGCCAAGTATCCCGCAGCTCGCTTGGAGACAGTCTGACAGACACGTCGGAGGAACCGCAAATCGTCAATTGTTGGAGACACCGCAAATGTATGCTCCTTCTGCAAAAGCGCTGCAGATGACGCGAGAAGCGGAGATGTATCAGCCTCCAGAGCAGCCACAATGCTGGTATCAAACGAGTAAGCATCGCGCATCGAATGAGGTAGTTCTCCGCCAAATAGCTTGGCAGATTCCACCGCTTCAACGATGATAAGCCGGATGATCTCGCCAAGGTAACGCCCAGTAATCATATATTCCAGAGGCTGGTAGTTGGGCCGGAGATGTGTGCGGTTGATCACCTCGTCCCAGCGGGTCTTTGGGAGGATGCCGCCGCTAAACATGCTCATTTCGCTGTTGACAATCACATTCTTGGCATAGTCGAACCAACCTGGGGGTCTAGTGCCGAACTTAGTCAGTCCAATCTCATGGACCGGAAAGTGAATCGCCACGTTGGTTCCCGTGCCTAGGATAAGCGACATGCGCGTTTTGGGTTCGATGTAGGCCCGGGAGAGGAGAGTCGCCGAGCTGTCGTTCACAATAGCATCCACCTGGACGTTGAGATCACGATTCCGACAGGACTGGACGATGAGATCGCCCAGCTCTTGCCCAACCGTCCCGTTCGAACAGTGGAATCCCTTGCCCATGTGGATGACTAGACCACTACTTGCCGAGGTTTGTTCAATTGGAAACGACCATGACAACCCCATGGAAAGCGGCACGGCCTCTCGACCGCAGTTGGCACCAACCTCGCGTAGCATCGAGTCGATTTTCTCCGCCATCCAATCAAAGAAGAGCGTTCCTTCCAGCAATTTCACGTCATTGTCGATATACGACGATGATACGTGAAGAATGCGCATATCTCCCTGCCCTCGTAGCTCAACCAAAGCTACTCGGAGTGTTGACCCACCCACATCCAGCGCCAGATAAGTCCCTGTTTCAGTTCCAGATGGCAGCGCATGATTGTAAGACGGAAGCATGCAGACCGGGCTGGACTGTAGACAAGATCTGAACTGTACACGGATCTTGTCTGACATGGCGACCATGTTCTGGACGGACAGGGGCGCCGTGAACAGATGGTCCACCTCGTCAGCGAAACTGTCGAGGGACCGACGACCCCAGTACACGCCATGGAATGGCTTCCGCCGCTTACGAGTGGGGTCGCGGAAAATGGAAGGGAACAATAGCATTGCCTCCAACGCGGCGACAATGTTTGTGAAAAGCTCCTGCATCCGATGCAGGACCTTGACCAACGGGGCTGACATCATCAGAGGGAATGGATTGCTTAATTGAAGTGGAAGGCGACGATTGTCGAAAGGGAATAAGATGAGGGGCGGGTGTATGAGTGGATGATGTATCAAAGTTGATAGGAGCTCATACGGGCAAGTGGATCTTGAAGAGGTCAAAGGGCCATGGGTACTAATAAGCGCCACTTCAAGATGATAAGGAAGGCGATCAAGGCTTCCGGGTCAGAAAGTTGATCACCAAGAGGGAAGGGATAGCAGGACAGGTGCGAGATGCAGAGTAGAACGAGTCTCTCTATCCAACGATCAAGTCAAAATGAACGGATGGATGAGACTCGAGGTGACACCGGCCAGAAAATGACGAATCCTTGCACCGCCTGCAGTGGGAGTTTTCCGCAAGGAGGGAAGCGAGTGGGTGAGAGAGAAAGCAGAGGGAAGACCAGGGTTGCTGGTGAAGATAGAGTCGGCAGTGATAATCGGGATCCTTTGACGGACAGACCCGACGGATCGAATTAAATGACGAGTGGGCGTTTCCAGTGCCTGGCGGGAAGAAAGTGAATCAAGTTGCACGGAGTGGAAGGAGGTGAAAATGTGGCCCGAGCAGGTGTTGATACTCTCCAGAGGGAGGGGAGGGGTGTTGTGGGAGGTTGATGGTAGAGTAGTAGAGGTAGTAGTCGTGAGTCGTATTAGTAGTGGTTTAGTCGCAGTAGTGAGGATTATTATTAGTAGTCGTGGTGGTAGTAGTTGGTAGCGGTAGCGGTAGCGGCGGTGGTACCAGTTGTCGGTCGTCGCGGCGGATGGGCGGAGGGGAACGAGACTATGACTAGCACTATGACTCGGGGCTTGCTCTGGCTGAAGGTATGGGACAACGCGCGTGCAATCATTCCTCGTCCGGTTTCGCGTATCCGCTGGCTGGGCAGGATTTAGGAATGAACTGTGAAACAGAGGCGACGAAGCCGGATGAAGAGATAGATAATAAACCCAGCCCCCCGGGTCAAGATGAAGGGGAAGAAGGGGAGGAGGAAGAAGAAGGAAGGAATCCGACGAGGTCGCAGCGTGGTACTCGATGGTCGCCTCTACGGCGTATGGGTATGGTGTATGGTATACGGTGCCTGGCAGCGGGCTCGTCCCGTATGGTATTTACCTGGTAGGTACGGAGTACTTCCAGTAGTACTCCCGTAGTAACTTGGTATAGATCCTGGTCTCCGGTGTGCTAATCGAGGAGACGATCGACTACCACCTTACTCTGTACCTCCAAATCTGATACGTACGGCCGATGGGAACCAAGTCCCCCTCTCCATTCATTCATTCATTCATTCATGAATAATGATGACATTTGACAGATGCACGGCGGCACTAGTCCGCTGATAAATGGCATCGATATTGGGCCCGTCAATCCACCAGCCGGCTAAATGTTTGCTGAGATTGGGTTATGCCTGAAACCTGGATCCATGGCCGGTCTAGAACTATGGGGGCCACCATTGGACTGGTCGAGGAAAAGCCAAACGAGCCATGATCGAACACAGCGTCGGACCGGCAGCAAGCCACTGCATGATCATATCCCGGCCTCGAGGGCGCATAGCCTCCGGTAGCTGTCTTCGGGGTGGAGATAAGCATAATCGTCGGTTTGGAATCATCTGCAGCCATCTTATCGCCACCGAGAATCAGAATGGCATAACAAAAGAAACCCCTCAATGACATAGTCGTTCATCCCTGCCGATGAGTTTACTCTATAGATACGACACTCGAGATTCAACTAAGTGGGCCAGTTGGAGGTTAACGCCCGCAGAGTTGCATCCAGATGAACCTGTCTTTCCATGACCCAACCAGTCCGTAATGTAATTCCGTATAGTTGTTTGGATACTGTTTCGGTAACTCGTTTACCATTCAGCTGCTTGTCAGAGTTGCCCGACTTGCCCAGAGAGCTGTTACATAACTGAGCAAGATGAGGATGGCCGATTCGAGTGATCATGGTCTCATGGTCGGGTACTGACATTCCCCCCTCGCATTCCCCACGGTGGCTTAGGGCCACCATCTGGCATGGAATTGTCAAGCTGTTGTGTGGACTTGTGGTATGTAGGTACTAATGAATCGGGGATGTGACACCTTCTGGGCCCGTTGGCCCTCTGAGTGCAACGGTGGTAGTGGGCCGGCTCCCAGTGGCCGGGAGTGTTACACTCGTGCGAGGGTTACGGGCCCCGCGACCCTTTTTCATCACTGCCCCCGCCAATCACCGTCGCCCCGGCCCTCACCACTTCATGGTTACCAAGACTTCGTCACTGGCAAGATCGCCTGGTCAGTGTGTGCTGTACCTTATCGGGCTTTTCGTCCGAGTCTTCCAGATGCTTCGCTCAGAGCCATCCAAGAGCGTCTGGGCAACCCCGGCAGTACTGAAATCCCCCGCCTGCCCGGAATACCCTGAGGATCACCATCCTCGGGGCACCTCTCTACATTCCGGAGACGCTGCCAAGGACCGAGGCATGTATTGTCAATGAAAGATACTCTTTCCTCTCATAGTGGTTCTGTAAGGTATGTATCGAGGACAATCGACCAGTGACCAGGTATCTATCTCTGTGTCCAGTACTCTTCGGCTATCGACAATAATCTACATAGCACTGGAAGGTCACTACCAATTAGGCTTAGGCCTGTGCAAGGAGGCAAATACCTGTCAGGTTCACGGTCTACAGGCATCTTGCAGAGTTCTATTCTGCAAGGGACGTCATCCTTGTTGGTATCCACATTCTGATAGGAGTCGTGTGTCTGGTTGACTTCACGGTCTGTTTGCTTTTCCGTATCTATATCTGATCACTGTGATGGCCTGAGAAACTCATTCATCTCGGACCTTGGCGCCCAGATAATATGACAGCACTGCTGACAACAGTCAATCCAATGTCCGCCCACGTGGCCTCCACTCTCTCGCAATCATTCCGTATTCTAAGACCATGCACGGCTCCTCAATCACGCCATGGACGCCATAAGCTTCACTCGTGAGTTGTATATCTATCCCCACAGTGTGCCAGGAGAACGCTCAGACCAACCGAAGAAAGCCTTGCTTATGAGAAACCCCTCAGCTACCGTGCATTTTAGTTGTAACATTACCTCCAATTCCCAGGGTGCCAGAGTCTTTACACTCTGAGATGACGCTCTGCTGGGACTCTACCACTAGGGAAAGATACCTGGAAGAAACCTCACATTGTGGAATATCTAGCACTGTCATCCCCAGGACCCACTGCTCCAGTATAGTGCAGCCATGCAACCCAAGCTAGCATCATCGGCCTTTGTTGGTCACGTCACTGCACTTCAGCCTGCCCGGGTACAGGCCTCGTATTCGAATCGGGCCGCAGGGTACCGCAGGGAAACGAGATCGGGTCATTCGGGGTGCAACATTGTGAGACAGGCAAGCTGGCATCATACTAGATACAACATGACCACACTATACGTTGACCGTGGTGCGAACGTGTCCAACCGCTAGACCTTGCACCACCTGTCTGCAGAGGACTGTGTCACGCTGCCTCGGTACTCGCGCCTAGAGTTTCTATGCAACTTGCCTGTTCTAGAATGCGTTCATGCAAGGCCTCTACCGCCATTGACCGATCATTCGCAGCGGTGCGTTCGCTTATCTCTCGTCCGGATGGTGATAGCTTCAGGTTTCGAAGCACGCTCTTCTAATCCAAAAGGTGTAGGGATCGGTCCAAAAGTGACCTCTAATAGCCCCGTCCGCTTTCTCGCTCAGTGCGGGTTTGAGATGGCGAAGTTCCGAGTAGTATCAAGTGGCATGACATTGGCCTGAGAATACCCTACGCTGGTGATCCCATTATATTCCGCTCTCCATCTGGTCCTGGTGAAATGTACCAGAGGCCACTGCAGTATCGGAGCATCTATTGACTACTCCGTATGTACTTGTCGACAGGGCCATTGTCATCTGGCGTGCCTCATTATGACATCACCCTCAGGCAGAAACTGAAAGCGGTCCGCCGGGGAGGGACTCGAAGAGTACTCTCTCGCCATCGGATGCTTCATCTCTAAATCACACATTAAAATACGCAAAAGTCCAAATTACCCTAGTATCATGTCGACAGAAAGGGTTCAGGACAAGACGGGGGAGCAGATCAACGACGAGGACTACGTGTATACAAGATACCGTGGAGGAACCCATCAAGGACGAGTATGTCCCCGGCCATGGAATCGCGACTTGGCGTATGAGCTGACTGATCCGACTCAGGTAGACAAGGTAGTCACGGACGAGGCCGGAGCACACGAGGAAGATGTAGCCAATCCTCCGAAGGTACGTCGAGCCCACAGACTCGAGCCATCGGGATGGACGGCTGATGACAGCCCAAGGTCATCTTTCATGATCAACATGGACATCGAGTCGCACATAATCCGAAGACACTGGAGAAGACGGGGTAGAAGTAACCTGGTGATGTCAGTGCAGGATCACGGGCAGAGAGGAAAGTGTGAGATAACAGTGGCAGTCCAATGTAGTGACTCAAACGATTGACAAGGCGGAAAAGTCTCCGGAGGTATTTGGGTCGATGATGTCTGTTTCTTTACTTGGCCAGACCAGAAATTCAGATGACTTGGCTTTGAAGGTATGGTCACTGTGCCTTGGGTTCCCTGTAGCCTTGGTCTATTTCACTCCTGCCTCAACCACATGCTTCCCCAAATCTTGGTCCTCGAAACACCCTAGACCAACAACATTCCCGTGCCAGCCGGTCTTTCACGGCGATAGCTGTGAATCTGACCAAGTCAAGATGGCTCTGAGCGGTTCATGTACCGCACAGAGTCACTTGATCATCCTGTTCACGGCTCTGTTGTCCATTACTGATAAATTCCGAGTGGGGATTATGCGCCATCATGGCAGTCATCTTCAAGCCGATTGTATGACAGGTTCCTTCTGATTACTTCATGCCCTCCAATGTCTCCTATCGGTTTGCGGATGGCTCCTCAGGTCGGGGTTTGTTGCAAAGCATAAAGTTGCGATTGCTCCCCTAAACTCTTGCAGAGTGGATGACCGGCCATAGGAAGGTCAGACAGAATGCTGACCCCAGAGTGATCATGCACCTATTCCAAAGAAGATGTATCCAATAGCTTCGTTGCCCGGGAAATTACGGGCTTGCGGTTCTGGATGGCTGTCTGCGACTGGTTCTTGGCTACTCCCAGCTTATGGCATCGCGGATCAATGGGTGCGTGGTGAGTCGAGCCAGCATATGAGGCCGCGGTCATTCGAGAGAAGGCTCGGAAGATTGTGCACTGTAAGATACAGTGGTCTCTCCACAGGCTCTCTCCGTTAGCCGTCCCTCTCTTCTGGGTGAGCACCTTCATCTTCCTGCAGACCCGTCTTGACTAGCACCGTGCATCTGTTAACGTGCATAACATGAGGTGGCCTACCTTGGTTGCATGCTTCATCTATGGGGCTTTCTTCAGCCCTGCACTTCTCTGCGCCTCGCCCCTTCACAGTGGCTCATCTGTATCGAACCCGGGCCACGATCTCATCTCGGTCCTGTCGAGTGCAGCCGAGGACCCCATGGTAGATGGGAGAGTTTCGGACACGGTCTCGGAGATCCAATCAAGAATCGCAGCAGATGAGAGCTCGCAGGAGACCAGAGGTGACAGAGTGCAGCTGGCATTCCAGAAGATCGAGGCCATCTTCACGAACCGCACCAACTCGACTCTGCTCGATTTCGTGCACGACATGGTTGCCTCAGGCCTGCTCCCATCCAAGCTGCTGTCCTTTCTGAACGGGTACCTGGACAACACCATCAACTCGGGCCTTAACAAGAACCCTGGCCTGGACGGTGAGCGGATCTACCCATCCCGGGCCGCCAAAGATGCACCGTATTCGATGCCGGAGGAAGCTCTCCGCCAGGCCATCCATATCTCGAGCTTCTCCCCGTCTGGGAGGAAGGGACGAAAACCAGTGATCTTGGTTCCGGGAACTGCCGCACCGGCTGGAACCTCGTTTTATTTCAACTTCGGAAAACTGGGCAGTGCTATCCCCGAGGCTGACGTGGTCTGGGTCAACATCCCCGGTGCTTCGTTGGGAGATGTCCAAATCAACGCCGAATACATCGCATATGCCATCAACTACCTGTCCGCGCTCTACCAAACCAAGGTCACCGTCATTGCGTGGTCCCAGGGTGGGCTCAACACCCAATGGGCGTTCAAATACTGGCCATCCACCCGGGAGGTGGTGGAGGATTTCGTCGCCGTGAGCCCGGACTTCCGAGGAACGATGGTAAGCACATTGGCGTGCCCCTGGTTGGCGGGGACGCTGTGTACCCCCGCCCTCTGGCAGCAGGGATGGGACACCAAGTTCGTTCACACCCTGAGGGGTCTCGGGGGCGACTCGGCATATGTCCCCACGACGACTGTCTACTCTTCCTTCGACGAGGTCGTGCAACCGATGAGTGGAGAGCAGGCCTCCGCGATCCTCCAGGATTCCCACGGGGTCGGGGTGTCCAATAACCATCTCCAGACCATTTGCGCGCACCAGCCTGCGGGGGGCATTTACACGCATGAGGGGATCCTCTATAACCCACTGGCCTGGGCGCTGACTATCGATGCGCTAACTCATGCCGGACCCGGAGATCCATCGCGACTCGACATCCGCAAGGTCTGCGAACGTTCCCTTCCCCCACAACTCAGTCTGGATGACATGCTTGGCACCGAGGGCCTCCTGCTGGTTTCCATGTCCGAGGTTCTCAGGTATACCCCGAAGACGTTCGCGGAGCCCGACATCATCGGCTATGCCTCTCGAGCGCTGGGGGGAGAGGGGAGGGGGATCAGACGAGGGAGAGATTTGAGCATGTAGGCATTCGGTACAGAGTCCTGTGTAGTCACTGGAGCTGCCCGGGTGGAGAGTGGCCACTACGCAGTACGTCTACTCTACACAGGGTGTCTGAAAAGGCACCGATCAATTACCCGAACGGGTTCGTGTGGCTTGGAATGAGCTTGAGCTTAATAGGCTAGTAAATGGATTCAGTTCACGGAAGTGCTTGATTGATAAGTGGATCAGTTCCAGCCGGAAGCGCAGCGTGGCAACCGTCATGGTGTCTGACTTTCCCAACTGGATTGGCAGAGATCAGCTCACCGCAGCGGAGTCAGAAGCGCCGGTGGGACTGGGCCGTGGACTGTAGGTACGATGTATACGTAGACCGTGCAGACAGAGAGAATCAGGGAAGAGGCTTTTCCCGCGGTTTCTCCTATGCTGTGGACAAGGAGATCCGTACTCTCAGACAGTCGGCTATGCGTCGGGAAAACACGAGATGCCCAGGAGGAAACCCCCGTAGGCTCTCCGGGAGGGTATACTGTATCGTGTATACTATACTGGATGCTGTATAGATCCTAGATACCATCACGTGGTCTGCCACACCATCCCAGTTGCCTGACGCTTCCTTTTCCTCGTCCCCCGCCATCATCGCTCACTTTTTCCCCGGTAGTGGCGCATCACGGTATCTCCTTATCGAGAACCACTGATCCAGGGGTCCGTCGGAATCCCAAAATCTCATTCTTTATCTAGATCCTCCCCCGCCCCCTTGCACCGTACGCATGCCGCCAGCCCAGCTGAACCACGCTATGGAGCAAGACTCAGCTCGCTACGCCCTCGGAGAAACCGCAGAGTGAAAGGGAGCGTGGCCAAAATAACAATAACAAGAATTGATTTGGGACAGTGGAAAAGACAGCCCATTCGGACTGTCGATCGCTTCTGCTTGATCACTCGATGATGGAGTTCGGCGATTAGCCTGAGGCGTCCATGGGTCGAACCGGGCAAATGACAGCCCCCCTGGGAGAGGCGTAATTCTCGTCATTCGCCAATCGCCCAGGCATTTCTCCCCCAGGCGGCACGGTTCGCTCGTGGTTGCGGGTAACCGGCATGGACTCGCCATAAAACTCTTCCAGAAATCCAGAAAAGCAGGCTGGCCCGGCCAATTTCGCTTAGTGCGCCAAGCCCATGGGGAGGAAACGAGTACGTGGACTGTCGCCAATTGATAATAATGGCCGGGGAGGTTTGAATCAGACAATCGGTCATCATCATGGGTCGCCCACCAGCCACGCCCTCTGACCCAGCCGGTCTAGATCTCCAGAAGGGGTAACTCGGGGGTGCAAAACGCTCGGTTCGGTGTTAGTGGCTCTGCTTCTCAAACAACCACGCACCGGCACCACCCCCCATCCACGCACACTCCCAGGGGAAAGTGGCGTTACAAAGGATTCTATTCCAGTGTAGAAGTGCCGGTTGACTCGTCCGTTTGGTGCACCACCCAGTGGGATCATGGGACACCCCCGGTCATGAATCTGGGTGAGTGCCGGGGGGGTGCAGCTTATCCAGCAATCAGAATGGCTCCTGCACCGATGAAGTTTGCATCGTGGCCCGCAGCTCCACCGTCCGAAACGCTGCCAAGAGTGTCCGCTTCGTCTGATCGTCAGCGGCCGTATCAGCACTTACGTTGTCACTGGCCGTGCCCGGCCCAAATTATGGAGACTCCGTAATTCTTTGCGGAGTCTTAGCCTATGCGGATTTGTGCTGGCTGAGGGTATTCCGTTTCGGCGGCGCCTTGGATGGAGTGTAGGACTGCAGGGGCGCTCCATACATTACCACTGATCTTCCGGATGCCCTCGACCGACGTGCACCTGGCTGCTGGACGGACGACGACGACGACCGTCTTAATGACCCGGTCGTCTCCCGCTATCCTTTTTCTTCCCTTTCCGCCAACTTTTGCCCTTTCCCCTAGCTAATCGTCGCATTTTGGGGGGAGGAACTGTTTCCTCTCCTAGCCACTCCTTCAATATGCTGTTCTTCTGGGTTCTGTTGTTTCTTTCGTTCCGCACCATTGTTGCAGAGGCGGAACCGGACAATGATTTGATGTCCTTTGTCACGGTAGGCGAAATGCCCGCGGATGGACGCTCCTCGTGCTGACCACCAGCCAGCTTCCGGAAGTGAGAGCGTTGAAGTTTAATATCGCCTACTACGATCGCGCCGCCGTTAGCCCAGGCTACTGGTTCGTTGCGCCATATGGCGTGATTGACCCAGAAGCACCGACGAAGCAATGGAAGCCCTGCCAAGTTGGACCCTACATCTATGATGCAGATGGCGTATGTGTCTCATTCCTCCCGACCTCCCTTTCCTCCCAGGGGGCACAGGGATGCTCCGAAAAATGAGTGGCCACCCCATCTAGTAGCTTACTAACCGTCGATCTGCAGGTGCTCATCTGGGCCGGATCGTGCATGTTCGACAACCGCAATATCTTCGATTTCAAAGTCGTCAATGATATCGATGATCAGGATCATCTCTCATTCATCCTGCAACATGGATATCAGGATAATGGCCGGGACAAAGGATACGGCTACATTTTGGACCAGCATTACAACGTCGAGAACGCTGTGCCGGTAACCAATGACCTTGGGGCATTCAACATGCACGAATTCAACGTCCTCCCTGGCGGAAAGACGGCTTTGGCTTGCGCATATCGAAGCGAATACGTCAACTTAGGAGACCTCGGTCGCCCGGATGAGTACGGCTGGATTACCGCCGGTGGCTTCGTCGAGATGGACACCGCTACCGGAGAGGTCCTCTTCGAGTGGAGTTCTACCGGATACATCCCTATCCACGAGTCCGTGAAAGTCGATCCTCGATGGGCCGCTTCTCCGCAACCCGGCTGGGATTATGTTCACGTCAACTCCATCGATAAGAGCTCGACCGGAGACTACCTCTTATCGGCGCGATTTACGAGCACGCTCTACCTAATCTCCGGGGAGGATGGACACATCATCTGGCGTCTTGGTGGCAAGTTCTCGGACTTCGTTCAGGACTTCACCTTTTCCAAGCAGCACCACGCACGTTTCGTGGAGTCCAATGCCACCCACGCGATCATTTCCTTCCTGAACAACGCCTCCGATGAGGCCGAAAACGAGGAGAGCGTCTCAGCCGCGATGTTCGTGCAGGTCGACACGACGACCACCCCCATGACGGCGCGCCTGCTCAGGCACTACAACCGCCCGGACGGCGGCCTTACCCGGCTGCGCGGTAGCGTCCAGACCCTGCCTAACGGAAACACCTTCGTCGGGTGGAGCGAACAGGGCATGCAGAGCGAGCATTCGCCCGATGGCAAGGTCCTGATGCAGGCCCGATTTGCATCCACTCGCTTCTCGACCTACCGCTCGTATAAATTCCCCTTCATCGGCCGCCCCAGCGCGCCCCCAGACGTGGTGGCCTCGGTATACGGCACCGACGAGACCGACCTCGCCACGATCTTCCACGTCAGCTGGAACGGCGCCACCGACGTCGCCTCCTGGAACTTCTACGCGCGGGCCGACCGCAAAGGCCTACCGATCCTGATTGGCAACACCACCAAGTTCGACTTCGAGACCATGTACATCGCCGACGGTTACCTCGACTGGGTCTCCGTCGAGGCCGTCGACAAGGACGGCAACGTCCTCGGCACCTCCAATCTCCACCGCACGGAGACTCCGCAGAACTGGCGCCTGGCCGGCTTCCAGGGCGACACCAAGCCGACGGCCGATGACCCGTCGATCCTGTACGGGCAGAAGCAGACCGAGGAGGAAGACGTGGTGGATCCTGAGGCCGCGGCCAAAGAAGCGGCCCTCCAAGCCGCCAAGGAGGCGGCCAGAGTTGCGGCCAAGGCGAACGAGGTCATTCACGGCATCGGCGGTCTCTTGATCTTTATCCTGGTCACTTGCTCGGTGGGTGGGCTCCTGGCGGGCATCTACTGGTTTCTCCGGCGGCGTCGTATGCAGGCATACCATGAGGTTCCATCCGAGGAGCACCAGTCCTTGACACGCGAATAAGAGGTGTGCGGAGGTGAGGGTGCTCGCGGGCTGGCTGGGGGAGAGAACGGAAGGAATCGAAGACGATGGCTAGGTTATTTTTGCATATCGCGGGCGTTCATGCATGTCTAGACTCTCCCTTTGTATCGCATATTCCCCCTTGACGACTGACGTACATATTGACTACATCTAATTGTACTTGCATAAATAGACAGTACCTGTGATACATATGCCCCGTTGGTTTCTTCCGGTTAAGCTATTGCATGATAAGCTAATCTACACGATACGCCTTCCAGGGATGCATGATGTAGACCCTAATAACAACAAAAGAAGAAAGGGGAAAGAAAAAAAAAAGAGACCCTTGCGAGTGTCAAATGATTCTCAACGCACGTTTGGCTCTCACTGTTCCGCTCAACTCTTTCGCCAGACGTTCATCCTCCCTGAGCTGGTACGCCAGCGGCTTCATAAACCTCTTCTCCAGCGCCTTGGCCACCTCCTTCAGCTCCTTCTCGGTGAACCTAGCCGTCTGCAGACGAATGCTCACAAAGTCCAACCTGTCTTGGTAATCCGCGAAGCGCATGAGTGGCAACGACCACGGCTCGCCGATCTCGAGGGTGATGGGCCAGTCACGGATGCGGAAATCGATGTGCAGCACGCGCAGGGCGGGACAGGACTCGATGAGTTTCCCGCAGGCGCGGTAGAAGGCCCAGTCACTACGCACTTTGAAGACTCGAAACCTGGTCAGATGCGGCTCGCTGTACATGGACTGGTTAATCTCCACGTGCCGGATGGCGGCGTGTGCTTCTTTGGGGATGATCTGGAAGAACCGAGTCATGGCTTTAGTGGAGTTGAAGATGAATTGGGTGGACGAGTAGAGGAGACAGAGCGTGTCACAGTACATGATGCGACAGGTGAAAGGGATGGCGATGGGGAGCAAAGATCGGTTTATGCGCCATAATACGACCTGCGTCGAAGGATCGCGGGGGCGAACTTGAGTATGGTAGAGTCGGTAGTGGACTCGTTTGGTGTGTTTGCTGGGGTTTTTGTCACGCTGGCGGACGAGCTCGACGCGGTGTGACTCGAAGATGTGCGCATATATCTTGAACCGGAGCTCTGCGGGTAAGAGCTGGAAGGGCGAGAGCTTCTGCGGTGCTTTGCCTTTGGGTGAGGTAGGTGGTGTACGTTGAGGAGTAAAAAATGATGCTGTGGACGCCTTCCTTGCTGCCTCTTTGGGCTTGTGCTTCTGGTAAGGTGCAGGCCATTGTCCGCGGGGCCTGCTTCTTCCGTAGGGACGGCCGCGAACAGGCGCAGGGGGGGCATTCAAGCTGGGTTGTGATGGCAGTGAGTTACAGTGGTGTCCACGAGGGGGGCCTCCACGATGGGGCTAGCTTTATTAGCATGTTGACTCTGTTTGGGACAGCACACTCACATTGGGGGAGCTAGGGTTCAGACTGTGAAACGAGGGCTGAGTTCCTTCGACTTGGGGTGTCTGAGAGGGCGTTGATGTGCCTCTGGGTGCCTTTCTCGGACCCGGATGCCATCTGGCTGCACGGCCACGAGGGAAAGACATGGTTCAGAGCTCTTGCTGGACAGTGCAAGCGAAATGTAGCGAGCAAAGAATGGAGATGGGATGAGACGAGGGAAGATGAGAAGACAAGAGGAAGGTGGAATCTGAAGAAGAAAGACTGGATTGGAGGAAGGCTGGTTGTAGAAGTCAGGCACGACGGAGAGCCAGGGCTAAACTCAAGAAATTGATTTAATGGTAACTATCAATGGGATAGTAGTAACACCTGCTACTTATTGTTGGGCCAGTCAACCGATTGTTATACGAGGTGGAGGAAAAGGATCATAGTAGTACTAGTTTGGAAGTATATACCTTTGGATGGTCTCATGCTGTTCAAACTAGCTCGAGACAACTTCGCTTGACACCGACTGGGTAGGACCTGGTTTGAGATAACGTTAAAGTAAAATGAGGCTGTTTCTATTATGCACCGTGGAAGTGAAAGTAAGAAAGAGAGAGAGAGAGAGAGAGAGAGAAAGAGAGCAAGGCAAGCGAAGAGAAAGAGGGAAAAAGAAGTATACATCGAGCCAGCCCGCGCTAGGCCCAAAGCGGCAACCGTCACCAGAACCTCAGCGGTCGATGTTTGTCTGCTTTGCCTGCTTTGCCTGCTTGCACTCTTCGGGTTTTCCTCCCTTCGCTTGGTCGACAGTATACCGAGACAACTTCAGTTCGCGCCAACTTTTCTCGCCTGCTCAATCCTTTCTCACTGTTCTACCCCCCCTCCTCCCTCCCTCGATGTCTCTCCGTCTTGTGCGTGGTGCCCTGCCGCCCATCCGCTCAGCCCAGGCCGTGGTGCCCCCCCACCGGCATCTCCGACTGTCTCTCCAGCGCCCCTATTCCTCTTCCTCTTCCTCTTCCTCTTCCTCTCCTCCTCAATCCCCCAACCCCACCCACTACAGCCGCTCCAACTTCAAAGTCCTCCCCTTCGTCTGCCTGTTCGCCCTCGGCACCGGCTCGTACGTCCTACTTGTGAAATCCCGCACCGGCGTCCACAAACCCAAGCCCGATTCCACCAACTGTAACCACCCC